TCAGGCTTGATCTACGACGAGACCCGCGGTGTCCTCAAGCTCTTCCTCGAGTCCGTCATCCGTGACTCAGTCACTTACACCGAGCACGCCAAGCGCAAGACAGTCACATCGCTCGACGTTGTCTACGCCCTCAAGCGTCAAGGCCGCACCCTCTACGGTTTCGGCGGGTAATTTTACCGCTGCTACCAGTATGCTGTTCAAGGCAGCTATTTGTTCTTCTCTTCTATTACTGTGCAATAGTGTAACAGCAGCCATACTGCAACTATGAGCCTTGGCAAGCCATGGCTCTACATTTTCATCGTCTGTTTGTCTCTACGTGTGCTCTTATTTGCTTGCATTTACCTTTTAACGCATTGGTAGCCTCGTTTTGTACGTTGCCTGCGCGCGATGAGCTGTTTGCGCTTGTCTTTCGCAGCACGACGGCTGCTCGTCGTATTTTGTACGCAGCAGCTGGAGCGTTGGACGAAGTCGCAATCAAAGCAGTAACCCCTACACGGCTACAAGCGTGTCCTTTTCAGGTGGCGGCGTATTAGTTCGACTTGAATACCTCGATGGAGACCGGTGTAAACTGAAGTCCCTCTAGAAATACATTCACGGTCCGAAATGGACAGTGGTCATGTCTACATGCCTTGCATCGGGACGGCCGCACGATTATTCTCTTTCGGGATTATGCTCCCAGCGCCTTGCCGCCCTTGTCTGCGCCTGCGGCGCTTCTAGCCGCCAAGATCATATCTGCGACAGCATCGACACCTTCGTCGTGCTTGACGGACGTAAAGACCGTTGGGCCATTGTCGCGCATCTTATCTGCATCGCGCCGCATGACGTCGAGGGAGGCGCCAACGTACTGGGCAATATCGATCTTGTTGATGACCAGCAGGTCCGATTGCGATATCCCAGGTCCGCCTTTGCGCGGCACCTTGTCGCCACCGGCAACGTCGATGACTGCGATGGTGGAGAGTCAGTGCGGAGCCTTGGACGATACTGACGGGAGACAACAGCTCACCGTACACGTGGAAATCTGCCAGCTCCACGCTGAACGCAGCAGCCAGGTTGTCTCCACCCGACTCGACGAACAGCAGTTGTGTCTCCTGTGAGAGCAAGCATTTAAATTTCAGCGCCGTCACTCGCACTTTTGATTGTGAAGGGACACACAAATTCGGCTTGGAGTTGCTCAAGCGCCTCGAGATTCGCACTGATGTCTTCCTGTACACTCAGAAGAGAAATTGCGTCAGGCTTTCCGACGCCGCCAGTCGCCAGTTTGAGCTTGGCACGCACCCGAATAGCTGCATGTGGACATCCCCCACTCTCGATAGCCCGGATTCTCGAAGTGGGTTGGAGCGCAGAATTGCGGATCAAGAATTCTTGATCTTCACGAGTGAAGATGTCATTCGTGACAACTCCAATGTTGTACTTTTCCCGCAGCTTTCGACAGAGTGCTAGCAGGAGCGCCGTCTTTCCGCTGCCGACGGGCCTGAGTGTTATGATCGCACGGTCGAAACAGAGAGTTGGAGGGACGTTGTCAGCTCGCAATACATTACCAGTAATCGAGGTGGCCCGTCCATCCGCACACCCACCCGCCAATGCCGATGGTGAAAGCCCGCTCATTCCAGTCTCTGTTCGAGTGATCGGGCATGTCACGCTGGTGAAACTTCCCTGGGTGGTCCATGACATCGTGCGTGTGCCCATGCTCATTCGCTGCACCCGACTGCGCATGCGTATGGGAGTGACCGGATTGAGCATCGTGTGAATGAGCATGACCCAACGCGGTGCCCTCCTTGTTGACGTCCGAAGCGAGTTTGAAGTCGCATACCTGCGAGCTACCCTGCGTGGCCGCCATTTCTACAGTCCAGTCGAGAAAGGGCTGGATATTTTCGCTTGCCAAGTCCATGCGTCTGAACTTGCAGATCCAGGCACATGGGAGGTGATAATGTCAAAAGAGTTATTGACACCGCGTGCAAGTCAAGTCACAGTCAAGCAGGTAAAGCGGTCAAGCCCTGGTGTGACTAGTTCGGCTGCAGTGGGGCACTTGGCGGAACCACAGCAGAGGAGAGCAAGAGACAGTTTCCGAAGGCATGCGCAACCTCATCATTCAAGTGGACAAATGGCTTCTACCTTCGACCCCGAGCGGCTGGAATCAGTGGACCTCTTGCATGCAGATGCAACAGATGAGAACATAGGATCACAGAGTCTGGTCTGCTAGGCAAGACGGGCAGACTTTGCGAGGCACCGCTTGACTCGCGACCCGATTTTGCGGACGTGCTCTCGGAGGGTGAAAGTGTGACAAGCACCGTAACCATGGCTGCGGCGCCGAACTTGGATTCTTGGAAGCAGCGTGCAACGGAGGGCGTCTTCAAGGTCACCTTGGACGTGAGATTTTTGTCAGAGCTACATATTATCGCGGAAGGATCGTGCTCACATCAGTCCTCTGCAAACTCGTACCCGTTGACAGCGCAACAAGGCTGAGGACACAGCGTGGGACCTCATTTACCTCAAGGACGTTGCGGAAGAGCTGAGCCAGGAGAATGCCGGCCAAGGTGCGTGCCACAAAGGAAACACATTTCGCATTTCACTGCGTTCGCTTTCTTACAACACACCTGAAACATGCTCCCCTGAACAGCTCCCATAGCTTCACCGGACATCGCGGATCGACTCCTGATCGCGAGGCTGCAGCTCGATCCGGACGGCGAGAATGTAACCGACGACGCGGACAAGCTTACTGCGTTAGCCAGTCTCGACAAGGAAGAGACATGCTGGGACTACCTCATTCGAGCATGGAGGCGGTGTAAGCAAGAAGAGCTCTCATTGAAAAAGGTAGGTTACTTTGTTCGCGAATGAAACACATGCCGACTCACAGCTGCCCTGCTATTTGTGACACAGACGCTGCCGAATGCGCTTGCACCAGCTCAGGCCGTTCTCGATGAACTTCGCGGGCTCATCGTTTCCTACCTCGGTCTGCTCATCCAGACACCCGACATGTTTCCTTGCAATACGAAACCGAATGGCAAGGCGATCAACGCACTATGTCTTCTCCCTTCCATCGTCAAGACTTCCTCTTTTGTTTCTATGGGTGCCTTTCCTTCCACCAGCTCATCACAGTCGGCATTGCTCAAAAATGAATGGGCTTCCGTAGAGCCTCACGAGACGCCTTTCTTGCTTGCCGACTTGGCCAATCGCTTTAGCGAAGGCGACGACTTTTCCGAACTGCAAGATATCCTGGGCCCGACACTTCAAGAGATTAGCAGGCGTATCTTAGAAGGTGAGGAGGTCGCGCCATCAAGCTCGCGTGGGCCTCCTACACCAGGCGGAACTGGCGGCAGCGCCGCCCCGCCTCCGGCTCTCGCAGGACGAGGCCAACTCTCCCCGCAAGCGCTAGCGCAGGCAGCGCAGACTGGCAACATACAAGCCGTGCTAGCGCACCTGCTCGGCCAGCGCGGTGCTGCTAGGATGCCGGGTGCAAACACAGCCGGAGCACAGGATGCGATGGACGTAGACGAGGGGGATGATGCTTTTACAGATATCCCTGGCGCACTGCGCAAGACCAAGGAAGGCCCGAATATCACTGGTCTGGAATGGCGGCCTTACCTGACAGCACTTGTGGAGGCAGCGGGCAATAAACGAATCGCTGAATTTGTGAGCGTCTGCACTCCACCTTCAAGAACTACTGCGACTGCTACTGACCAAGCCCGTGTTGCCCGTTCTTTACATCCAGATGACCAAACTGAACTCATTCGACCCTGAAGGCGTCAAAACGCCGCAGCTAGAGCGCAAGTCTCTGCTCGGGCCAATCCTGCGGCTGTCGGTGTTTCCTGATGCATACCCTTCCATCACGGAGCAATTTTTCAGCAACGCCAAGAGCAGGAACCGCGCGGACATTGAGATGAATGCCAACTCGCTGCGATCTACGATGGAAATCGTGCAGAGCTCGAACTTCCGGATATGCAACTCGATCGTGCGGAGCGGGCCGATGGCGAGGGAGGAGATGCTGCGTTACTGGGGGCGCGCTTGCGACTTGAATGCCAAGCGGGCAGGGATGCGGGTGAAAGCGAGCGCCGTCTCGACCGACGCGTTCATGGTCAACCTCTTCGAGCTGACCCTGCGCTTTGCGGAGCCCTTTATGGACGCGAGCTATTCGAAGGTGAGCGAGCAAGAGCAGCTCCGGGGTGTATGGAGTTTGAGCTGAAGAAAAATTCCCTGCATCCAGATTGATCGAATAGACATGGAGTACTTCCGCCATCAGAAACGCTTTGACGCAGCAAACCTTACGCGCCTCAACGCCTCTGAACCCGAGGCCGCCAAGTGGGTGTCTGATGCGGGCACAGCCGCCTCAGCGCCCAACTTCATCACCGAAACCTTCTACCTGGCAACCCGGCTGTGCACGTTGGGGCCGGTCAAAGTGATTCGCAACTACCAGGAGCTGGAGAAGGACATGCGGCGCATGAAGAAGCGTGCCGACGAGTACGAGGGCGATCGAGAGCAGTGGGCGAGCACTCCGCAAGCCCCGCAATACGAGGCCTTCATCAAACGTACACGCGAAGCGGTCGATCGCATGCAATCGACGCTCATCGCGTACAACGTTCAGCTACTCGACCCAGCTTTCGTCACCAGAATGGTAAGCTTCACGAGCCTGGTGATGACTTGGCTTATCCGCGTCGCAGACCCACGACGCGCGCATCCACGCAAGATGGTCGAGCTTCCGCTTCCGGACCAAGCTGCAGTGGAATTCACCATGCTGCCAGAGCACATATTTGAAGATGTCTGCGAGTTCCTACTATTCATCGCAAAGTACCGGCCGCAGAGCTTGACCGAACCGGCGAAGAACGACCTCGTGTCGTTTTGCACCACATTCCTGCTTTCCAGCGCGTACATCAAGAACCCCTTTTTGAAGGCCAAGCTTGCCGAGATTCTCTATTACAACCTATGGGAGTATGGCAATGCACGGCAGGGCATTCTTGGCGACACGATCAACATCCACCCGCTCGCGTTGTGCGGCCTCGTGCCTGCACTCATGTCATTTTGGGTCGAGGCTGAGTCGACGGGGTCTCACACGCAATTCTACGACAAGTTCAACATCCGTGCTCACCTCTGCAAAGTCTTCGAGACGATCTGGACCACTCCGCAGCACAAGCAGCGCGTCCAGGAAGAGTCCAAAAAGGCGCGATTCGTCACATTCATCAATCGCATGATGAATGACGTCACTTTCTTGCTCGATGACGCGCTGGAGAAGCTGCAAGAGCTGCACAATAAACAGCAGCTGATGGACAATCCGGCCGAATGGGCTGCTCTCACTGGCGAACAGCAACAGGAGCATTCGAGCCATATGCGAGGTGTCGAAGAGCAGGTGGGGTGGATGCTGCAATACGGCCACCAATTCCTCAACATGCTCATCAAGTTTACTGAGGAGACAAAAGACGCCTTCATGGAGCCAGAGATTGTGGACAGGTTGGCTGCCATGCTCGACTTCAATCTAGACGTCTTGGTCGGTCCTAGATGCCAGGAACTCAAGGTTAAAGAGCCAAAGAAGGTCGGCTTCAACCCGAGGCATCTGCTGCAGCAGATCCTCTCGGTCTATCTCAACCTTGCTGCTCGCAAAGAGTTCATCAAGGCAATCGCCAAGGACGGGAGAAGCTACAAGAAGGAGATATTCGTGAAAGCAGCATCAATCGCATCCAGACATATGCTCAAAAGTCCAGCGGAGATCGAAGCGCTAGGGGGGCTCATAGAGCACGTCGAGGAGACAAAGGGCAAGGAAGAGGAGGAGGAGGAGGACCTTGGCGAGATTCCAGATGAGTATACTGGTGAGTAGAGCCTGCGAGCCTTTTGAGATGCTTCTATGACGTCACTGACTATTGTTGGATACCTGCGCAGACCCGCTCATGGCGACTCTGATGAAGGATCCCGTACGCCTGCCTTCATCAAAGGCGATCCTAGACCGTGCCACAATCAAAGCGCACTTGCTCAGCGATGCATCTGACCCCTTCAATCGCATGCCTCTGAAGATTGAGGATGTATTGCCCGGTGAGTCTGCTCAAGTGGGTTTGACCCCTGCAGGGCTTCCCTGACACTATTGTTATCCTTCTCAGCCGATGACCTGCGCGCAGAGATTGAGGCCTTCGTTGCAGCGCGTCGGAAGAACAAAACAGCTTCATGATGCAAGGCGTCCGGTGCAGCTGATCACGTATTCTCAACAAAGTTTATTCAATACGTTGCAGCAAGTCGCGCTTGGAGATATTCCCCGCCTGTGATGCCTTCCTTGTGCAGCAAACTGGCAAACTTCGTCTTGTCTATTTCACTGCGCCAGTCCTCTTTGAGAGGTTCTAAACGAGCATTCTCATCTGGTTGGCAGAAATAGGCGCTACGATTCGAATCCATTGAGCATGGAGGGTGTTCGAAGAAGGGTTTCTGAATGAGACTCACATCGAGTACCGTGAGCTGGTTTGGCTTTCATTCTGCGGCATTGCGACGCGATGCTGCGTCGACTTGAATCTGGACGCAGACCAGAACTCCATTGCATCCGCGACGTTCACCACGATGCAGCCGGGCTTTGGAGGTACATCAATCCAGTGACCACCGTGACCGTTTGTTAGGTCCACCTGAAGTCCACCCACGTCTTTCTGGAAAAGGAGGGTGCACGAACCCTGCGGGTAATAGGGGGCGGTCAGAGCTTGCTCATGTTTCCGGTACAGCAATGACAGTGGGGTCGCACGTAGTCTGAATGAGATCCCGCCCGTATCGAACCGTTCGAATCTGGCGATGTGACCGGTGCCGGTGGATAGTGGATCAGACGTAAGCGATCGAGCTCGGCCTGCATTCCAAAATTGTATTTGTCAGCCTTGGGCAATGACGTTAGAATGAAGAACGAGGAGACACACATGATGGTGCGGGGCAAAGTAGTCGTGCGACAGCTGCGATGGCATTCGGCAGTACGATCAATCTTCTTGCTGGTACGATGGCAATACCTAGCAGCTCACTCCAAGGGCCAGCGCAAAGCCTTCCAGGACACGGAGCGACACCAAGCGACAGCTTTCAAAAAATAAACCAAGTTCGTCTGCCTGCGACTGCAACGAAGATGGCAGAGGCTGCTGTGGTTGTCCTGATGCGAATTTCTTGACGTAAAATGACTCTTTCAAGTCTCCAGCTGTGTTCTTGGTAGGGTCAAGCTTTTCATGCATCAATGCCGTGTAGCCAGAATTATTTATCCGGTCTTGCGTCCTTAGCTTTTCTTCCATCGCTTCAGGTGACCTGTCTGAGAAGAGCGCATCGGTCATCTCGAACGCTTTCGATACTTGATCAGTGCTGATGCCGTGATCTGTGAGGTAGAAAAAGCCGGTCTCTTGGGATGCTTCCCGAATACAGCTGCCTAGCGCGTCTCGGTCAGCACGGAGAGAGATGACCGGTAATTGCTGTAAAGGCATGCAACTCATTGTGAGATATGAAACGATCCTTATGAGTGAATAGTTCGTAGCCGACAACCACGTTCAAGTGATCAGGCTCTCTTCGACGGGCGACTTTACGTTCTTGCGAGGTTTACTCGACTTGTAACCAGGGTGGCGGTGTGTTCGGTGGGTGATAACTGATAAGGGGCGCATGACCATCATCTCGACCATTGGAGACGATGAAAACAGATGTGACTATGAGATTCACTGTGAGCATAGAGGATGACGAGATGACTCACGAAAAGTGAGCTCATCGTTGAGGTATATGCATACAGTGGTCTGACTCTACGGCAATAGGCTATGTATGCTACAAAATCATCGCTCGGTGGCCAATGCCACTACAATCGCAACATCGTCTACCTTGCCTCCTGGATAATGGATACCATATCGCTCCGCCTCCCGCTCGAATGGGCTCCGCTTCGTTTGGCTGAACTGGCACATTTTGCAGTATTCGACCAGGTTGTGCGCGAACAACTGCACAAAGCTGCGCTCTTCTGCGAGTGGATCGCTCGAAGTCGTAGCGTCCACATTGGTAGGATCGAGATGTCTCATCGTTGAAGAGGCAGCTGCGCCTTTTGGCGACGCCGACAATGTAGAGGAGTTGCGCCGCGCATTCCACGCCGAATGGTGCTTCTCGCGTATGAAACGCATCAGCTGCACAATTTCTGCAGTGTGCACATTGTCCCACAGTCCATCCGTGCCCGCGAGAACAATATCACCGTCTCGCAGCTTGCAATCCCAGAGCGCTGCGTCTCGCGGCGTATTGGCGATGCTGCCTTCTTGTGTCATCGATGCTGGCAATTTGGCAAGCTGATAGGGTGTATTGAAACCGTACTGCAAAGGGGTCGACGCAAAATAGACGTCCTCCTGAGGCCGTGGCGCTGACCTTGATGTCTTTGGTTGCACAACGTGGGGTTGCATTTCGTCCCGTATTGTACGCAAGGTGTCTTTGCCCCCAGGGTTGGCCCCGCTTACGGTCGCATTCCATCCTTGCCGCAGGATGATGAAGCCACTGTCGCCTAGATTGGCGCTGCGAAGGACACCTTTGCTCGAGTCAAGCGTGATAACACAGGCAGTCGCACTGCCCGCAATGACGAGCGGCTCCTTCTGAACAGCATCGTACGCATGTGACAGCAATGCTTGCGGTAGACCAGGGTGATGCGATGGATCAGGCGCTGGTCCTTTGGATGGATCGAGCTCATCGTTGCTCAACCGCTCCGGGCACGCCCTGAATTTCGCAGCCTGCTGCGTCACGTGGTACATCAGCGCCTGACTGACGAGACGAGCAAGCATTACCATAGCATGGGTCAAGTGTGAGCTCGAGCATTTCGAACCGCTGATCAGAATGCCTCAACTCACGAAAAGAGGGAGGGGTCGACACCGTTCTCTGTCCACCCTCCGACGCCGTCAGCAACGCCAATGACGACGTCCCCTTCCTCGTCTCCCATCGGATCGCCACTTGCTTTGCTCATGTCAGCGCAAGCGATGGCATCCTCGCCAGCTTCGCCGCCCTGTAGAAGCTCATCTCGCCAACGTCCGATCTCCGTGTCGGCCATAAAGCCGATCTGCTTTGCCAAAGTTGCATATCGCATCGCTTTAGAGCTACCACTTGCCTCTGCAGACAAGCCTTCCGCCTGCTGCTGCTGCTCTCCTTCGGGATCGCGCGGCTTACCAGCAAATGCGTAGCCTGTGACAAAGTGGTAAGGCTGCTTTGAGAAAAGCCTCGCGGAAGTGGACAGCGATCGCGTCCCGGGCGGTTGGCCGAATACCGTAAGCGTGCCGTAAGGTTGACGGCCAGTTCCTTTTGTTTGGAAGGCTCCTTGCCACCTTGCTTCACTGGCAAGGGTTTGCTCAAAAGCAGTCGCGGCTTTGATAGCCTCTTGTGCGCCAATTCGCAAGCTTCGGACAAACTTTACATTCAACCCACTCTTCGCGAGCGTCTCCTGAGCCTCCTGCGCCTTGTTTCCCTTGAATCTTGCGATGAGCGGCAAGCTCTTGTGCTTAAGGCCAAACTGCTCGAAGGCGTCGATGATCCCCAGCGCGACCTGGTCGCTCTTCGTGATGCCCCCAAAGATGTTCACGAGGACAGCCTTGACGCTCGGGTCCTGGGAGATGATGCGGATAGCCGCGCGTGCATTCTCGCGCGTTGCACTTCCGCCGCCGTCGAAGAAGTTGGACGGGTGTCCTCCCTCGGCAATCACTCCGTCGAGCGTGCCCATACCCATGCCTGCGCCGTAGCCAAAGAGGGCAATGTTGCCGTTCTGGTGCTTTCGGTAGATCAGCCCTTCCAACGCGGCCTCGGCTTCAAGTGCAGAGAGATCGTGCAAGACTGCGCTGGTTGCATCCGCAATCTGACCTGGCCGCGTTTGAGCCTCTGGAGCTCGCATTCCAGCCTTGTAGCCGATCTCTGGGCGTGCGCGCAGCGCTGTGAGCAACTTTTGCCGGCCAGCTTTGCCTGTTGTATAATCGTCAAATGTAAGATTTTGAGAGTGCACGTGAACCTTGCTGCCATCTTGGCTTAGCTCGATCTCGAGAGTGAATCTCTCTCCATCTGCCTTCCAGTAGAGCACGAAGAGGTCCTCCAGGAACGACTGCAGCAGAACTTTGCACTGAGCACCAAAGTGCTCGCCCAGTGCAAGGTCTCTCTCCAGATTGGCCAAGGATTCGCTAGCGCCTTGTTTGGCTGTGGCCCGCAAAATATCTTCCGCCGCTGGATCGCACCTCTCTTCGATTGCTCCCATCGGCTTGATTCGGCCAACATCAATGCAGGTGAGGCTGGTAAGCTCGGGAAAGCTGCGGCGCGCACTAGCAACCGGTATACTTGCTGGCAATGTCGACACCGTCAGCGTTGGACCGTAGTGCATCCCGGGCCGCGAGGGATGCGGGTGGCCTTTTCTGTCGGCGAGAAGAAGAACCTGCAAGCGAAGCGCCGCAGATGACGGCGCAGGTGCCACAATCACCTTGCCAGCCTTCTTGAGCGCAAATGGAGGCATGCTGGACATGAAGATGTTGTGCGAACCAAGGACCTTTTTTGCGATATGCTTGGCCATTTTCTCTCCTTTCGTATGGTGGACAGTGCCTTTGAGCCCGGCGTCGAACGACGGCTCGCCTGCTCTAAGCGGTGTGGTGACGAAGCGACCATCTTGCGGATGTGCGTCTTGAATGTCAGCGATGAGTGTTGCCTGCTGCCCTGGGAGAGAGTTTGCAATGGATGCTGCATCCGATGGACTGCTTGCGAGGGTCGGCGGAGCGACGCTGGCAATGTGCTCGCTAAGGAGAGATAGCTCCTGCGAAGGAAGCAGATGAAACTGCCGCTGCTGCCTTTTGAGAAATGCTCCAATGATGATCGGTGCTCGCCGCCCCGAGTGACCCAGGAGAGACATTCTGTTCAACGACATAGCTTGCTCGCGTCGATATGCTCCGCTCAGAGTGCAGCACGGGCAGCTTTGCACGAATGGGTTTGTCGTTTGGGCTCGGCGCCTCCACTTAGGGTAGGCCTGGCAGGGAGCGCAACGAATATTTGGAGCTGCTGAGGACCTCTTCGCGGCCGAGTTCTCAGACAATCAATGCCCAAGCGCATGACTCTTGTGCAGATCTTTGATCATGCTGCGTGCCATCATCATCCATAGTTGTGACGCGTGTCGTTTCCCGAGTCAGTTTACAAGTCGCGAGTCCGAGACGTTGCGTGGCGAGCCATCATGGAATTAAAGCCCGGCAGGATTGCCGACGAGAAATAGGGTTGAAAGGAACCTGCGCACGGCAGTGCACGCGACGCGTTCACACAGGAAAGAGAGAGGAACGCGTTGAAGACCAACCGGGCCAGCACGTCACCTTGTGCAATCGCACTCAACATTCGAAGTCATACGCCAGCGTACTTCCCGACCTTTGAACTTTTGGTAACACTGAAAGGGCATGGAACCCAGAAATTGCGCTTTGTCGTTTGAGAAACTTGCTGAAATCAGGCCACTGCGATCGGAAACTCAGTCGAGATGAATGACCAGGCGGATCCCGCTCTTCAGTTCTTTCCGGATGGCAAGGTCGACTTGTACGGTGTTCTCGGCGTCGCTGCGGGCGCTTCGGCAGAAGAGCTTAAGAAAGCATACAGAAAGTGAGCCTGAAGAAGGAATGAAATGATCTCATGTTCTCTTTGCTGACATTTGCGTTGGTTCATCCACTCTCGACATGACGCTAGGCTAGCCCTACGTTTTCACCCGGACAAGGTGCTCTCCCTTTCGTCCTCCAGCAATGCTGCTGCTTCCTCCTCGAACAGTGCGCCGACGACGGCCGAGGAAGCATCTAGAAAATTTCAGCAGCTCGGATTCGCATATGCCGTCTTGTCCAGTCCGGCCCGTCGCTCTCGGTACGACCAGACGGGCAGGACAGACGAGAGCCTCTTTGCTGGCATGGGCGATGACGGGGCCTTTGACTGGAACGAGTACTTCAAGGAGATGTGGACCGGGCAAGTTTCTGGAAAGGCACTTGAAGAGTTCAAGAAGAAATACCAAGGTATGTATGGCCTTGGCGATGCCATTACCTATGGTCTTAAGGATGAAGACTTGGCACTAACAACTCTTACACTGGCCCTCAGGCTCGGACGAAGAAAAAGCCGACTTGTACTCTGCCTATAACGATGCAGCTGGCTCACTGGAAGCAATTTTCACGCTCGTACCATGCTCCGAGATCCTTTCGGACGAGGAGCGCTTCGTCAAGCTAGTCGAGGCAGCCATCAACGTGGGCGAACTGAAACGCCTGCCGAGTTGGGATGCGGAGGTGAAGGACAAGAAGAAGCGGAGAGCGCTGCGCGAGAAGGCTAGGAAGGAGGCTAGCGAAGCTGAGCGGTATGCGAGGGAGCTGGGCGTATGGGACGACTTGTTCGGCAAGGGCGCCAAGGGCGGAGCGAATGGTAAAGGCGCCAAAGTCTCAGATGCGGATGCAGACGAGGATGAAGAGGGCGAGAGAGAAGGGCATGAAGAGGGCGACGAGGATGGTGAGCAAGCTTCAAACCCGAAGACAAATTTGAAGGGCAAGAACAAGGCGAAAAGCAAAGGCAAGAATGCTAGTAGCCAAGCAAATGGCGCAGCTGAAGGAGACGACGGCATTGCAGGCCTAGCTGCGCTCATTCGCAACCGACAGGCATCGCGCCAGAATGGTCTGGACAACTTAATCGCCCGAATGGAAGCAGATGTGGCGCAAGGGAAGTCCGGCAAGCGTGGCAACAAGAAAGCGAGTTCGGACAGCGCAAAAGGGAGCAATAATGCGTTACCGACGGATAAGGAGTTCGAGGCGCTGCAAAGCAAGATGTTTGGCAATAAGAACGGAAGCGAGGGCTCGAGTGGCCAGAAGAGAAAAGCGGCAGGCTCATCTGGCAGCAAGAAGAGGAGCAAATAGCAGCCGTTTCAGCGATCGAGCACTCAGGCTTGGAGACGAGGGACAAAGTTAAATTACAACTGCATATCTAGTTAGCCATTCTTGTACAAATACACACATTCATCATTCGTCCTCAGTTGAGATCGAGATCGAATGCATCAGCCTCCTCAGCCTCCTGCATTGCCCTTGCTTCCTCGGCGCGCCGCTTCGCCTCCTCGAGCATTTCCTCTGTCGGCAAGCCAGCCAACGCTGTCGCCGCACCCTCCTCACTGCCCTCGCCAGCTTGCGGCCCAAGCGCGGTCGCAGCAGGTACAGGCGCGAATGTCACGCCCTGTCCGACGGCCAGCGCGCCCAGTGTACCACGTCTCATCATTCCTTCGTCGGGGAACGGAAGCTTTTCGGGCATGCCAGGCATCTTGGGGTCATAGAATGCCATGGGTGGACGTTTCTCGCTGCCTGTCCCTTCCTTTGCGACGTTCGGCTTTGTCTCCTTGCCTTCAACGCCCTGGTGTGCTTTCGTGTCCGCTTCGGCTTCGTTTTCAGTGCTCAGAGCCATTTGCGTCGGCAGTTTGAAGCCTGGCGGCGCGGATGTGATGGATGATAATCGGCTTGCATAGGACAGCACGTCTTCAAAGGATAGTGGGTCTATGGATGATGCATGCATCAGTCACCCTTGTCAGCAGCGCGTCCCTATTTCGTGCAGCACGTGCTACAGATGCATACGTACGCTTCTCTGCTTTGTTGACCGCCCTGGTCTTCATCTCGCTGTTCTTGACGATCCAGTCCAGTTCGCCCTTGATCCTCGCCAGTTCACCTATCGCAGCTTTCGTCCTCTCCTCGCGGAGCCGCAGCCCGTCTCGTAGCGCTTCGATGCGCGCAGCGTTCGCAGCATGCTGTCGCGCAAGCCGCAAGTGTCCTTGAGCCTGTACGTCGAGTGAAGCGAGCGAGCGGAGCGTCTGTACCACGATCACTGGGGGGGTGTTGTAGCCGCTCTCTGACGGTGCTGAGGTGTGCTGCTTGTTTCCAGCCGCCGCCGCACCAAGACTGCTCAACCCGGCAATAGAGGCGATGCTGCTGGTGGATAGAGGCTGCTGATGCAGCATCTCGAGACGTGATAATAGCGTCTCTGTCAGGCTCGCAAAGTGGTCGAGATCGGACTGCAGCAACGATCGCATGGGAACGTCCTCCAAGTCGTGTCCATGTGGACCGCCTGGATGTCTAGCAGGGGCGTTTGGAGCATTCATCTTGGGCGCTCCACCACAAATGCATACACTATGGGCTTTGGATGCGAAGCGATTCCCGCATGAAGGGGAAGGTTGATGGAAAAGCGACAGCAGGGAGCAATGATTGTTTCAACTATTGCTTTCAGGGATATCACCGTCACCGCGCAGACCCCGGCGACACGGGGCGGCTCTCGAAAGTTCTTGCGCAGAGATCCAAATGCAGATCTGTGCCTCTCGTGCGCTGCACTCACGGATTGACGTGATGACTGGGTGCAGCTGCTAGCCTGACGTTTGACTGTTCGCAAATGAGCAATGCGAACGAGAGTTGCTGCACTTCGAAAGATTTTCGCAGAAGCGCCGTGACACAATTCCAGAGCGGTTGCGGGAACTCTTGCGTCTTTCGCGGCTCACATTCACAAGCGCGATAAGCGAGTAATGACGAAAGAATACAAAATCCGATACCGGCGTGCCTATAGTACATAATGCGCGGTTCAAGTATGCTGGGAAGCATGCGCAGCGCAGCTCAGTAGTAGAGAACAGTGTGTAAGAGCGGATGTGAGTGTTTCTCGGCGTGAGTGTCCAAAATGCGTGCGATGTCTTCATCTACATCCGAAGATGCTTCGATCTAGAAAGGATTGCCAGCGACGTGTTCGAACGGGCATAGGAAATCTGTCTTTCAGCTGCTGTCCTGATTACAACAGACAAGAGCGCATAAATGGATGCTCACCGCTTTTGCTAGCTCAAGGATCGCCTTGGCTGCTATTAAAGCCTCCTCGTGATTGTCCTTGATTTCAACATTGATGACGTGAACGGCTCTATTGAGCTCACCATTGCGTGACAACAGGTCTGGTGGGAAGAGTTCCAGTCAGTTTCCATTGAGTAGCTTCGTACAGCGCATTGATCCATCCAAGCTGAACACTCACCTTCGCACACCGCATCGTAACACCGTTCTTCGCACGTGATCACAATGTCCGCCGTCTGTCGAAGCTCGTGCCACCTCTGTGGCGCCTTCTTGAGCCTCCTATTGCGGTCAATCATCGGCAATATGCCATTGGCATTGTATAGCTTGGGATCTTTCTTGAGCAGGTCCTGGTAGATGTACTCGTACTCTGTTCCAAAGCTGTAGCTGTTCGGGCGGTCGATGGCCGGCCCGGGAAGGCGAACCATGGAGCCGGTGCCTGCGCTGATGACGCGAAACTTGTTGTGATGCAGGACATTGTGTGCTTCCATCGATCTGTTCTGGTTGGATGCGCATACAACACAGAAAAGCGTGCTGGACAGCCGCTCGATCTCTGAATTCGTGGCTCCAGCGGCCAGCATGCCCTTGTGCAGCGCGTTGGCCTTGGCTAGCAACGAAGGATCGTGCTGCCCGTTCCCATTCCATCTGCCACCGCTGAGCGCCATCTGTCGCGGCGTCAGTGCCTTGGTTTGTCCATACTCCGGTTGGGCGGTCCCCTCGTACGATAGCCCCGGCAATGCACCCTGTGGGAGCGGCGAAAGGGGCGCGTTGGAGGCGATGTGTGATGCCTGCGCTGACATGGCGACGCCTTCGTCTTCTCAAGCCTTCCAAGGCGCTTTCGGGCACGATCACGCCTTCAAACTAGTTCACTACAAAACACCCATCCACAGACTGTAAGCTCGGATTCCATGCTACCCAGTCCGAGGTGTGAGGACAGCAGCTAGCAGCGGTGATGACCAGATAAGGGCATTAAAGATGGGGCTGGTCCATGCCACATGCGTTGCGAAGCAGGCCAGCGAGTTTTCCATTAGAGCATGTGCCCGTAATGGCGAAGAGCGAAGGACCGGAAGGAACCAGCTCAGCTTCTCTCAAGCTCTGTGCAAGTTTGGCGGGTTAACCCACGAATAGATGAGACTCATACATAGGCGCCTCCTTGCGTGCGTGGCCCTCCCATTCCGCAACAAGCCAGCGGCAGGTGTAGATCGGCGATTAATCGTCGCAAAATATGTATGCCCCACGCAGCCCTCAAGCGGATCCACAAGCCACAGCAGCACAGCTGCATACAAACTCCGGCGCAGTCGGCACTCCGAGCCCAAACAAGTCACCGACGAGCGTGTGAGGCCAGTCTGGTCTGTGTCTGAGTCATCCCACTAGTTGATGGGGAGCCGAAAGCGAGACCGTTTGGGCGTCGACTAGGCACCAGGGCACTGTGACTTGCAAGTCTGTGACCAGGGCCTGGGTTACCACTCACCAGCCGTCCCACTTGCACGGCCAAGCGCTCAGCGGGCTGCAATCGCGAGACTCGAGGGCGAGATGACGCGGCTCAAGGCGGAAGGGTTGGATGGATAAGTATCTTGTTATCGCCTTGCCTTTCACCATCGCAACAACCCCCTCCCAAACATCTCCATCACATTGTCCATGTCGATCCGCTCCAAGCTAGGCATACATTCGATTCACTTATCTCGCAAGTAACACTTCCGCATACAAGGTGAGAAGCCGTGGAATTTGCTGCGTGTGGGCCAGGTCCTATATCACGCGAGCGTCGTCATTGCTCACTGCCGCCCGACAACATTGAACGCGTTGCTGATGTCGTGCTCGTTCGGACATCTGCAGATGCAGATATTTGTCAAGACTCTCACTGGAAAGACCATCACGCTCGAGGTCGAGTCGGGGGATACCATCGACAACGTCAAGGCCAAGATCCAAGATAAGGAGGGCATCCCGCCAGATCAGCAGCGCCTCATCTTCGCCGGAAAACAGCTCGAGGATGGCCGGACGCTGTCGGACTACAACATCCAGAAAGAGTCGACGCTGCATCTTGTGCTTCGATTGCGTGGAGGCATGCAGATCTTCGTTAAGACACTGACGGGAAAGACCATCACGCTCGAGGTCGAGTCGGGGGATACCATCGACAATGTCAAGGCCAAGATCCAGGACAAAGAGGGCATTCCGCCAGATCAGCAGCGTCTGATCTTCGCCGGAAAACAGCTCGAGGATGGCCGGACGCTGTCGGACTACAACATCCAGAAAGAGTCGACGCTGCATCTCGTGCTCCGTCTGCGTGGCGGTGCCAAGAAGCGCTGCCAGAACGGCACAGGCAACCCCGAGGCGCAGTGCAAGGACGCCGCGGTCAGGCTCGTCGGAGAGTGCCCGCACTGCAAGCTCGTGTTCTGTGCCAAGCACAGACTGCCCGAGCAGCACAGCTGTGCCCAGCAGGAGCAGGTTCGCAACGCTGCTTTTGCCGCCAACAAGGCCAAGCTCGAGAGTGAGCGGACACCGGCAAACCACGGCCTTGCTCATTGAAGAGGAGCGCGCGCACGCACGGCATGATACCACCAACATCTTGCGTAACACAACACGTCACCGCATTGGCGTTGTAATTTCCGCTTCACACCGGCGCGCCGCCGAGTCATTGCTCTCCCTCTCTCGCCTCATCCACATACGTCCGCCCTCTTCCCATTCGAGCGGCATGCCTTCCTAGCAAGTCAGCCAGGTAGCACACAAGCAAGGATTCTCTCTCTAATAGCACTGCAGCACTTTTCAGACCTTGGCCCTGTAACAACATTCACATTCGTCACACCACCCTTGCATTGTCATCCTCTTTGGTAAAGCATATGATGGGCTGTTTGTAGAAGTTGTGCGCTTGATAGGCAGCTGGCAACAAGCTACATGCCTGCTCGGTTCTAGTTCTGTTAACTATGCACACTTTTCACATGAGAACAAAGATCCAGCACACGAAATCCACACTAGGGGCGAAGGATGTCGTTCAAAGTGCAATCTGTCCGCACCGCAAGCCGCTAGTCAATGGTAGTGAGCTAGCCAGAAAGCCCGCGAGGGCGGCTCGTGGGGTGCAACTGAAAGCGGGTGGATCCTGTTGCATTCACGGGGTCCACAATGTTGCTCGAGTTGCCTCAATAGGTCATTGCTCAAAAATGTACGAGTCCATGCTTTGGACAAGGGTGCGCATATAGGCAGCATCTGACTTGGCTCTGTGGATAAAGTGGTTGCTTTGTGTGTTCATTCATTACGATCACAGTGCTGCTCTCGACTTGAGGCCATGCCTGGGACGTTGGAGAAAGGATGAGCTGATGCTGATGATGTGGATGTGCTACCCGATTTAACCCGGTGCGTGAATGGTGGCCGCCCGACCGACGATGAAAGCGTAGGGAGGCTGATTCGTGAGGTCCCTCCAGTGGAGTCTCTGCAGCGCATTTCCCCGCGCCCGCCCACCCGGTCTTGCGTGCCCGCTGCCTGTCTCTCCGTCCGTTGAAAGCATCCATCGAGATTACACAGTGAGGCTTTGGCCGAGGTCGTTAGCCGAAAGCATCTCCTGTATGCGATAACCATGAGCGGAATTCCTTTCTAACATCGACATCCATCTTCTTGTCCATGCTCATCCTTCTGTCTGGCAGCCAACGATATTGGTTCAGAGTCGGTTGTCTGTTAAACGGGAGCTTCGCGCTTTGCATACAGTCTGTTCGAAAGCATCTTCGCCAACCCTACGTACGAGCACAGTCACCACCCTCCTGGTTGCACTGTAAAGCTGCACTTTCATCAGTCACCTCGCGCAGCTTGCAGTTGCCGGATAATAAGAGCGCATATACAAAATGACAGCTGCCAGAGTCAACTCGATCCAAGGCCACATCAGCAGCAAAGGCAGCAGTGAGTGTAAAGAGCGTGAGATGAATGGGGGATGGCACACAGAACGGTAGTTGAGCATGTCGGAACATCTCGGTCAGCTCTTGGGTGAGATTGGGGTGGGCAAAGGGTTTGTGCTGCTCGACGGATGTGGAGATCATGTGACGCGCCACTCTGCTGGCCAGGAGCCGCGGCTATTTGCTATCCACCATCTTCCTCTCCACCTCCCAGGTTCCCAGGTAGGAGTCACGGACCCCCCTTCCTGTTCCTGTCTCTATCAAGAAGTACCATTTTTAGATTGACTCGGCAGTTTCCTATTCGAAGTTTCTGCGAGCCATCTCTCGATCCCCATTTTCAAAGCACTGACAACCGCCCTGCGGCTTACTTTCCAACTCTTTTCACCATGCCATCTGCAGATGTTGCCCATGTCTGGGAGGCCGTGCCGCAGGCTCCAGCGGACCCCATCTTCCAGCTGACTGCGTCGTTCAGGGCGGACTCTTTCCCGCAAAAAGTAAATCTCGGCGTCGGCGCATACAGGGATGACAACGGGAAGCCATGGGTGCTGCCATCGATCAAAGCTGCCAAGAAGGTATTGTTGGAGGATGAGAGCATCGACCACGAATACCTCTCGATCACCGGTCTCAACGACTTCACCCTCTCTGCTGCCAAGCTCATCCTCGGCAAGGACAGCAAGGCGATCCTAGAGGGCCGAGTCTCCAGCGTGCAGACAATCTCAGGCACAGGCGCGAATCACCTCGGTGCCGTCTTCCTGAGCAAGTTCTACCGCTTCCCCGCCAAGAAGGAGATCTACCTCAGCAACCCAACCTGGGCGAACCACAAGGCAATCTTCAACCTTGCCGGAATCAACCCAACAGATTACCCATACGTGCGTTCATGGCGACTGCTGCCGCCTTTCCCGTGGCAACACTGACCAATTCCTTCCCCTCTTGTGTTTGCCCCTCACGCAGTACAACCCACAAACGATCGCACTCGACTTTGAGGGCTTTACAGGCTCGTTACAGAGTGCGCCAAACGGGTCCGCTTTCCTGCTGCATGCTTGCGCGCACAACCCGACCGGTGTGGACCCAACCAAGGAGCAGTGGTCCAAGATTGCCGACATCTTTGGGCAAAAGGGACACTTTGCCTTCTTCGACTGCGCCTACCAAGGCTTCGCGTCAGGAGACCTTGACGGCGACGCCTGGGCCGTGCGCCACTTTGTCGAGCGGCGCGACATTCCCGTGCTTGTGTGCCAGTCGTTCGCCAAGAATGCGGGCTTGTACGGCGAGCGCATCGGTGCGCTACACGTTGTCAGCCCGACCAAGGAGCAGAACGCTGCCGTCTTCTCGCAGCTCAGCGTGATTCAGCGTGGCGAGATCTCAAACCCGCCCGCGTTCGGCGCTCGCCTCGTCACGATGCTCCTCACCGACGAGCGGCTGTGGAAGCAGTGGCAGGAGGACGTCAAGACGATGAGCTACCGCATCATTGACATGCGCAAGGCGCTCTATGCCGCGCTTAACGACAAGCTACACACACCGCCGCCGAAAGGCGCAAAGGACTGGAGCCACATCCTCAAGCAGATCGGCATGTTCACCTTCACTGGCCTCAACCCGGCGCAGTGCAAGAAGATGGTGGAGACGCACCACATCTACATGACCGGCAATGGCCGCATCTCCATGGCTGGCATTTCGTCCAAGAACGTCGAGTACGTCGCGAAATCCATCGACGATGTCATTCGCACGCTCTGATGAGCAAGTTAGAGTAGACAGAGAGGCTTGCGTCCCCCCTTTTCCTACTGCTTCTCTCTGCTTTGTTGGTCAAGCCAGCTCATCTGCATGCCACCGTTCTGTATTATATCATACACGGTCAATTCTGTCGAATGAGCCCTAGCAAATCGCACGCAGCTACCCCTCGTCATCCATCTCTTCACCATCATCTTCATCCTCTTCGTTGTCATCGTCCGCCTGGTTTTCCATGGCGCGCGAGGTGCGGCTGGACGCGTGGCGAGCGCCAGCGCGTTTCCTCTTTGGCGCGCCGCCATTCTTCTGTGTCTGGAGAAGCTGCGAAGGCAACTCGTCCATCTCCTCATCGTCTTCGCTCTGCCCTTCGCTGCCATCTTCCTCATCATCGTCATACTGATCTTCCTCGTCTTCCACGCGGCCGCCCGCTCCCTGCCCACCAGACGACGAGTGCCCACTGCGGCGCGTCGACACGCGATCAATAGTGCGCTCCTCGTCGCCGATCTGCGTCGGGTTCCATGGCTTCTTACAGAAGGGGCAGTCCTTCTTGTTCCGCATCAGCAGTCCAACGCAGTAGCTGTGTACGTTGCAGTCACAGTCTTCTGTTGAACATTCCAGGCCCTGTGAGAGATAGTTGTGCGATGCGGAAGCTGCGGTGAGGGTCTGAGGCAAACAAGCAAGGAACCGCTTTCTTCGCTCTCAATCTTCATCCATGCCGGCAGGTACTCACAATGGTCAAGAGCTCCTGGCATTCTTTGCATTTGCGAGCATATGCTGGGAAACCCTCCTCCAAGTATGACCTGAGCTCGAGTAGTGATCGCTGCGTGAGCGTGTACCTGCCTCTGGGCGTCTTGCGGATCCAGCCGTGGAGGATGAGGTTGTTGAGCAGGTCTTGGCATGCCCGCTTACTCATTGGCGGCTCCACTTGACCGGCTTCGCGCAATGCTGCTAGCGAATTGATGCAGTAAGTTGCGTTGGGGGCTGTGAAGATGAGTTCGATCTTTACTTGCAGGGATTCGTCCGTGAGCGACGCTATCTATGTCAAAGGGAGTAAGGAATTATAGCATACACACCAGACGCTTGATGTATTGTAGCTCGGGTTTGGAGTAGCTCGATGCAAGTTCTGCAGGTGCGTCCTGCTGCAGGTTAATCTGTCGGGTGAGGCAGAGTAGATAAGCTTGGACAGCTCCAAGGTCTCGCCGCGGCGTCGCAACTCGAGGGAGCTCACAATGCAAACCAGATCAACGTTCGTGCTCTGGTCCTTTGTCTCGAGCACGTCGAATCCGAGCGTGTCCAACGATTCGGAAACGTCGGACAGAAAGTCTTTGAATCTCGCTCGGTCAAAGGGCGCGCCGCAGATGCTCGTCGCGGTCTTCCAGAGGGCGAGGGCGTGGTCGCGATGAAGGACGCGCTGGGTGAACATGGCCTGCACCCACGCACGACGTGCCATGTCGCTTGCGTCTTCGCCCATCTTGCAAAGTTTAGAATCAATCAGAAGTGCAGTAGCTTCTGGAACGTGGCCTTACTTCTTGAGACCTTCCGTCTTGTCATCGAAGGCGGGCCCAAATAGGAAGAAGTCTCTCATGAGGAATGCCATACAGCCCAAATAGAGCGTAGAGATGGAGTACCAAATGTTTGGAAAATGACGTGTGTTGTGGCCCCACGCGGCGTGACGTGACATAACGCGCTCTCTTTCTCGCTGGGAGAGACGAGAAAGAAGCGAAGGTACAGCGAATTCTCGGTTGCGTATGTATCCTCTTTTGTGTATGCATCAACCTCGCACTATGGGTGTGCCGCTACCCACACGTCCTGCAGACTGACCCCGCTTGCACGATGCCAATATGGTCATAGCACCGACTGGTACCGTCCCGGTGTTGCAAGCAAGCAGCTCACTCATCGCAGCTAACGCTGTCGGCTCATCAACGCGTCATGGCATTACAAGACTCCTCCGGCCCTCCTCCGCACCGCCATGGGCACATCAAGCAAGACCCAAAAGCGTAGCGAGGCTACTGAGTCGGAGCAAGGCTATAATCTCGCAAGAGAATAGACTCAGCACGAGCTCAAGCGCAGCGCAGGAAAGACACAACCTGAGAGCTCATTCATCGACGGCACGCGCTGGTCTTGCCGAAGAGCTTCGAGAGGTGATGCGAGCGTCTGCGCAACCGGTCGCGATCATTACCACGTACATGGCGCGAGATCCCTCCTCTGCAAGCGGAGCGGCTTCGCAAAGCAGACTTGTCCATGGCGCCACGCTTTCATCTTTCACATCCGTCTCGTTGGACCCGCCGCTTGTCACTTTCAGTTTACGAGTACCCAGCCGACTCGCAGACGCTCTCGTGGACATATCTTACTCCTTGCACGAGTTGAGCGCGTCAGACTCCGAGCAAGCTCACTTTGTCATCAATATTCTGAGCGAATCGCAAGAATCGATCGCGAAAGCATTTGCTACGCCAGGTCTGGAGCCGTATTCGACGGGCACGCGGGACGCAAGCAGCGAGACTGCACACCCATTAGACTTGCACGAGACACACCCGTCCCGCTTCGCGAGCGGGGTCCCTTTTCTGGCGGATGCAGTCGGCGCACTGGCTTGCAGGCTCGTTGGCGTATTGGACATGCGCCACGGTGTGAGTGAGGTCGCCTGGACGCCCACAAAGCATATGAATGGGCCCGAGAAACTGCTCTTGCCTCGCGGGTCCGAAGGACACACGGGAAGCCTGTTATTCATTGCACATGTGTGTGGAATAGACAAGGTGCATGCTCGGGAAGATGATGAAAGAACGCGGCCAATGGTCTACTGGCAGCGCAATTTCGCAAGACTGAAAGGGTAGCACCTTCTCCAGCCCGGCGTAGAGGCAATGATGGAATTGCTCTTTGCAAGTGTACATGTAATGAGATGCTAATTGCAGACATCAACTTATCATGGGTGAACGTCGTGTGCGACGCAAGCAGAGGTACGGATTCCGACTTCAGACGGAAAGTCTATGAGGAAGAGCCGAAGAGTTGAAGCATGACTTCTGACTTGTATGTACGCACGATCCGCCTGACTGCTTGGAGCTGCTTCCGCTCTCCCTCGTGGCAATGACATTTTGAGTTGTGCAGGCACATTCTGGACTGCAACATGTTCCTGCTCTCTCACCTACCCTTCAGATTCGCAAGTGGAACACATCTTCAGCTTGTTGTTGCAGAACATTCTCACGAAGAAGAACAAGGCATCTTCCCGGACGAGCAAGATGGAAGACGCAGATCTGCAAGCGATCCGGCAGGCCAGGTTGGCCGAGCTGAGGGGCGGCGGCGGAGGCGGCAGCGGCAGCGGTGAGTTTGGAACACATGCATCGTTGTGCGACCACAGATACAGACTCATCACAAGTCCCTGCCTCGTGTTAACAGGAGGTCCCTCATCGTCCTTTCTCGATTCTCTCGGGGCAAGACCGCAAGGCGGACGGGTGGGCGGAGGAGCCGGAGGCGGTAGTGGTGGAGGCGGAGGTCCGTCGGACGAGCAGCTTGCGCAACAGGAAGAGATGATGCGTGAAATGCTCAGCAAGATTTTGGATACCGATGCAAGGGAGCGATGTGAGCAGATATTTTGGACTTGATGCGCAGGAACCTCTCTTTCATGCTCAACTTACTACCTGGCGGCGTTGTCTTCAGTGTCACGGATAGCCCTCGTCAAGCCGCAAAAGTCACAAGCGATTACCGACCTGCTCTTACGCATGGCGCAGTCGGGGCAGCTACGGCAGCGTGTTACGGAGGACCAGCTGATCGGTCTTCTAGACCAAGTTGATCAGTCGCAGAGCGGCGCAAATGAACCCAAGATCACGGTGAGTTAGGTGTGCCACCCAGACGTAAGTTTGTTCCGAGGTGTGACTGATACCTCGTCTGCTTTCCCACCCCAAGTTTACGCGCAAAAAGCAAATGGTAGCGGATGACGATGACGACTTCGACTTGTAAGCATGGCGTCAGGGCTCTGCTGGCGGCACCATTGCGTGCAATTGTAAGTTACGAAGTGAAGATGCTAGGCTACAAGCGGCTATGCAGAAGTTCTGGGTTCGTCGATGCTGAGAAGGGTCTGCTGAGAGCGACACAAGGGTCGTCAGCTCGCTGCGATCTTCAAGGCACCGAAAAGTTCTAGGAGGAAGGTTCAGACGTTGTAGAATCATCATGCAGCCTCCACCAGAGCACCGCCGGCAAGCGGGCCCCTTTGACATGCCTCGAAAGACAAGGGTGAGGCCACGAACAGGCGCAAATTACAAAAGTACCATCATGTATTCCTGGAAGGAATTGGAAAGCACGGGACGCGACAACTCACTGAGACGTAGAGAGGGGCTAGGAGACTTATTTTTGCGCACCGCCAGAGAGGAGCTGGAGAGCGAGTTCTTCGTCCTGCGCAAGCGACCGATGACCTGCTGCATCTGCGTCGCGTTTTGACTCGCGTCCTTTCTTTAACTGCTTGCTGGGCCGTTCGGAAGCATCGTCTTCCTCCTCGGCGACATCTTCTGGCAGTACCCAGTCAGGCTCCTTCCAATCGTCCTCTTCGTCGTCCAGCTGCGCAAGTTCGACACCGCCACCGTCCTCGTCATCGTCATCTCCATTGTCTGAGGCATCACCACACTCGGCTGCCCTTTCCCTCTCCTTTTGCTTGCGTTTCTTCTCTCTCCGCTTCTCGCGCATCCGTTCCTTGTCGAACACGTCGCTCGCGCTCAGTCTCTCACGTTCGAGCCGCTCGTACTCCTTCTGCTGCTCTTGCACGTCTCCCGCAGCCTGGAACTCCTTCTCGCCTTGTAGCTCGTACAGCGCATGTGCCTTGCCCTCCTCGTCGAATACCAGCTTCTCGCCTTGCCCGCGCTTGCCGGCTGCAGCCATCGCCTTCTTGGACTGGCCCATGCGCAGCTGCCGCTTGGATCGGTTCTCCTCGAAGGCAGCTTGCGCTTCTGCATCCAGACGCTTTTGAAGCAACTGGTTCGACTCGCCAGCTGGAAGCGTCGCGCTGCCGCCTGCGACGAATCCGTCACTTTCACCGGCTCCGCCATGGGAGCTATCAGTGGCGTCTTCAAGGCCATGATCGGCGCGCTTGAGTGTGAGGAAGTCGTCTCCGTCCGCATCATCACCAGCGTTGAAGCCGGTTTCTTCATCTTTGTCGCTGATGCCATCATCGCCCAGATCGCCTCGCGCATTGACTTCATCACCCATATCCTCGTCCTGACTCTCCGTACTATCATCATCCTCATCGTTGTCTGCGACTAGCTTTTGATAGTGCTCGCTGAGAACGCCCTCGTTCTTGCGCTGGAACATGCGATCATACTTGGTCCTGATGCCCTTCTGCGCCGCCGATCCTTCGAGCGCGGTCGCGCTATCGACTGTCCGCCTTTCTTCGTCGCCGGAATCATCGCTTGCCTCCTCGCCGCCGTTGATACCTTCAGCGTCAGCGGTGCGTGCCTGCCGTGCACCGCCACTGCCCTTCATGGCTGCAGCCGCCTCGGCTTTGGCCGCTTTCGCCTCAAGTCTCGCCTCCTTCGCCCTGGCCTTGCGTGCCTCTTTGACAAACTTGATATTCGGCGCACCCGCGAGGCCGAGGCTCTCTGCAAATTTCTCCAGCGGGAGCTCTGTCACGTCGACCTTGGGCAGTGACAGCGGCGCGGTGCCACCGCCAACGGCAATGGACGAGGATTTTTGTTGCAAATACACGCTGCGGACGTACGAGACGAACGCTTTCTGCGCGAGGTACTTAAGCTGCGCATCTTGGAAGAGGAATGACTGCAGTTGGTTCGCGATCGATTGGATCTTGCTCTCTTTCGGCTTGATGCTGTTGATACGCGTCACAGCTTCTTCATCTTCCAAGTCATCGTCGTCCTCTCTGATCCTCCTTCCTACAGATGCCGCAGCAGTGGCATCACCGTCAACGATCCCTTTGGCCGCGAGCTTGGCGAGCACGCCGTCCTTCTCTGCGCCTGGCATGAGGAAGAGCAGTGAGTTGCCTTTCTTATCGTACCGCGCCGTGCGCCCGACCCGATGGACGTATGTCTCGCCATCCTCGGGTGCGTCGACTTGAATGACCCAGTCAACGCTGGGAAAGTCCAAACCCCTCGCAGCAATGTCGGTCGCGAAGAGGCAGGCGTGTTTCATGCGGCTATACTCGGTGTAGATCTGCAGGCGCTTCGCCTGCTTCTGTTTGCCATGCAGCGATAGCAGCGCGATGCCCGGGCGGAGCTTGCAGAACGTTTCGAAAACATATTGCACTTGGCGGCAGGAGGAGAGGAAGATGAGCAGTTTGGACTGGAGGTGCGTGCGGATGAACGAGTAGAGCACGTCGAGCTTGCGGTTGAGGTTGACGAGCATGTAGTGTTGCTCGAGCTGCTTGGGAAGGAACTGCTGTTGCCTGGCGAACATATCTTCCGACTGAGTCTGGCCATCTTCCGCAGAGCGCGACGTGTTGCTGACCGCGACGTACTCGGGCTGCTCGAGGCTGAGGCGTGCTAGATCTTTCACCTTCTTGGTCTGCGTCGCGCTGAAGAGCAACGTTTGCCGCCCTGGCTGATCAATGCCTTGCTTTGCTCCCTTGGCCCTCCTGGGTAAGTTCTCGAGGATAGCATTGAGTGTGTTCTCAAAGCCCATGTCAAGGCAGCGATCTGCCTCGTCGAGGACAAGGAGCTGCAGGTTGGACGTGTCAAAGTTGATTGTCTGGTCCATGTGCTGCAGCAGCCGGCCGGGTGTAGCGACGAGGATGTTCATGCGGCCCAAGCGCGCCTGCTCGGCTTTGAGGTCCTTGCCACCGATGACCAGGCCGGCGGAGAAGCTGGTGTGGAAGCTGCCGATCTTGCGCAGCACTTCGAAGATCTGGATGGCGAGCTCGCGCGTGGGACTGATGACGAGCGCGCCGAGCCCATCCGCTTGGCCGGCCCATTTGAGGTGGTAGAGGCGCTCCAGGATCGGGATGAGAAATGCGAGCGTCTTGCCACTCCCCGTCGGCGCAGACGCCAGTACATCCTTGCCAGCCATTGACTGAGGCAAGGAGAGCCGCTGGATTGAGGTCAAATCTGTGAAACCAGCTTTCTTGAGCCCGCGTAGGGTGGGCAGCGACAGCGGTAGGTCTTCGAATAACGACGGAGGCGCTGTGGGAGTCTATTCAGTCGGATCGAGGGAAGAGCGTAAAACGAGCATGAGCATGAGCTGCCGAAAGTGAAATGACGTGCTCCTGGTAGCGTCGCCCAATGGTCAACACTCACCATTTCATTGATGCGATCTCTCAGCGAGCCCAGCTCCTGCTCGACAGCCATACGCTTGAGCTGGCGACCATTCTTGGCATGTGCTGCGCCCTTTGCATTTGCGCCGCCGGCGGGAGCGGCAGCTGGAAGCCCTTGTTGCTGCCTGTGCTGATGGTGATGGTGCCGGTCATCGCGCTTCCGCTTGCGCGACGGCCCGCCGTCCGAGCGGGTAGTGATCGGCGCTGACATGGTCGCGCCTCTGCCCGCGAGACTATGCAATGCCGTGGTATCCTCTCCGCCCCGACGTTCCCCTCTCCAAGGCCAGCGCACCGTATTTCTGACGGCGTGATGAACGAGTGCACATGCCTTGTGAGTAGTCAAAAAAGCATCGTCGCTCCCTCTCTCTTCAATGCAAAAAATTTGCCTGCGTTGCTGCCTGAAATGATTACATAAGGATTAGTGGATTTCAACTAGGGTTACACGTGTCAGTCCGCACCCCTCCCGCCCTGCCATTTCTCCGTTATCTCAATAGCCTGCGGGCTGCGAGGTGCTGTGCAGTGCAGCGTCGGCTGGCACGCGAGTAGCCGTTTATCATAGTGGAAGAACCGCCGGTTTCGGAAGGCGGAACAAGGAGCAAACGCCGCGCACCGGCTGTGAGAGACGGGACGGACATCTCCGGACTAGTTGGCCAAGCTGCTGCCGCTACTGCCTCTCTCTGTGGACACGATTATATGATTCGAATGCATGGGCGGATGCGAGGATGGAGTTGTCAGCCTTTTTTCGTGTGCCTCCAATATATCCACATCGCCCAAAGCTCAAGAAGCAGAGTGCGCGGACAAGCAAAAGGAGTCAATCTCCACCATATCCTTGTCGTGGGTGGCGGGCGTACATGAATCGTTGCCTTTTCTCCGAGACCGATTTAATACTTTCGCGATCGACACTCCCAAAAGGACCACGAGCTTTATCAACCAGCGGTTCCCAACCGACCAAAGAGCATATAAAGAACTGCCGCTACCAACAGTCGATGCTTCTCGGATTCGTTTCGGCCTTGTGTTCACGAGCTGAAAAGATCAGAGTCCACCCATTCCAAGCACACAACGGCGGCGGCAAGGCAAGTTGCTCTTGATAAGCAAAATGACGTCCCACATCCTCGCCACTTTCTCCGCCAAGGCGGCCAAGAACGAGCCAGTCTTTGTCGCCTTCATCACGGCCGGGTTTCCTTCAGTCGCCGACACGGTGCCGGCCATGCTGGCCTTGCAGCAGGGCGGAGCAGACATCATCGAACTCGGCATCCCCTTCAGCGATCCGCAAGCGGACGGCCCGGCCATTCAGGCTTCTAACCAGGTAAGATACCATCAGCTGTCGCTCGCCGAGTTGTGGCCCACTGACGATTCCGTATTCACTCGGCACGAACCAGATTGCACTATCCCAAAATGTCGCAATGACAACATGCCTACAGTTCGTCCGCGATGCACGCGCACAAGGTCTCTCCATCCCAGTGCTATTGATGGGCTACTACAACCCGATACTCGCATATGGCGAAGAGAAGATCGTTTGCGATGCGAAAGACGCTGGCGCGAATGGCTTCATCATGGTCGACCTTCCACCGGAGGAGGCAGAGGAGTTCAGAGGCTATTGCACGAAATATAGGTGAATGGCAGTCCCGATTGTTTCCTTGGCAAAAGTTCCTTCAACTGACCCGACGCTGCTTGTGTTTTGACTGTCCCTCACAGCATGTCGTACGTTCCGCTCATCGCACCATCGACCTCGACGCAGCGGATAAGGCATCTGGTCTCCCTCACCGATTCGTTTATCTACGTTGTGTCAAAGTTGGGCACCACCGGCGTGGCGGCGAATGTTAGTTCTACGCTGCCCGACCTGCTCTCTCGCATTCGCTCCATCACCGCCGCTGCACAGCGCGACATTCCGCTCGCGGTCGGCTTTGGCGTCGCAACACGCGAGCACTTTGTTCAAGTCGGCGAGCTGGCCGACGGCGTCGTCATCGGCAGTCGGCTCGTCGCGGTGCTCAAGGATGCGCAGCCGGCCACGACTGAGGGCAGGGCTGCCGCTGCGAGACAATACTGCGAAGAGATCACAGGCAAGCTCGAAGGCGGCATCCAACGACAAAAGCCACTGCTGAGCATCAGAGACGTCATCAATATGCCCGACAGCGTTCCCGTGCCCAAGGTCGACGTAGTCACCACCAACGGCCATACGAATGGCAAGCCCATCCCAGGCTTCGACATGACTCTCGACTCAGAGACTGGCACGCTGCGCCCGCCGCGCTTTGGCAAGTTTGGCGGCCAGTACGTCCCGGAAGCGTTGTACGAGTGCCACGCTGAGCTCGAGCGCGCGTATCTGCACGCCATCCAGGATCCTACATTCTGGAAGGAGTTCGAAAGTCATTACGAGTACATTGGCCGACCGAGCGAGCTGTACTTTGCCAGTCGGTTGACCGAGAAGGCCGGCGGGGCTCGCATTTGGCTCAAGAGGGAGGACCTGAACCACACAGGTAGCCACAAGATCAACAACGCCGTAGGGCAGATCCTGCTTGCCAAGCGGCTCGGCAAGACGCGTATCATCGCCGAGACGGGTGCCGGCCAGCACGGCGTGGCGACCGCGACGGCATGCGCGCGCTTCGGACTCGAATGCGTCGTATACATGGGCGCAGAGGACGTGCGACGACAGTCACTGAACGCGTTCCGTATGCGGATGCTCGGCGCCAAGGTCGTTGCGGTGGAGAGCGGCAGCAAGACACTCAAGGATGCGATCAATGAGGCAAATCGGGACTGGGTGACGAACCTGCACAACACGTACTACTGCGTTGGCTCGGCTATCGGCCCGCATCCGTTCCCGTCACTCGTGCGCGACTTCCAGAGCATCATTGGCAAGGAAGTCAAGCAGCAGTTGCAGCAACAGCGCGGAAAGCTACCAGACGCCGTTGTTGCGTGCGTCGGCGGCGGGTCCAATGCGATCGGCATCTTCCATCCGTTCGTTGAGGACAAGAGCGTGCGCCTCATCGGCGTCGAGGCTGGCGGCGATGGGGTCGACACGGACCGGCACTCGGCGACGCTGTCCAAAGGCACGCCCGGCGTGCTGCACGGCGTTTGGACATACCTGCTGCAGTCGCCCGAAGGGCAGATCACCGAGACGCACTCGATCAGCGCTGGGCTCGACTACCCCGGTGTCGGGCCCGAGCACGCGTTCCTCAAGGACAGTGGGCGCGCCGAGTACCGCGTCGCGACCGACGAGGATGCGCTGCGCGGGTTCAAGCTGTGCACCGAGCTCGAAGGGATCATTCCCGCGCTCGAGACGAGCCACGCGCTGATCGTCGCGTTCCACGAGGCGCAGAAGATGGGGAAGGACGAGGACCTCGTCGTCAGCCTGTCCGGAAGAGGAGACAAGGACGTTGAGCAGATCGCCGTCGCGTTGCAGAGCGGCGGATGGGGCGAGCGCCTCGGCTGGAACATTGCGTAGTGATGAAAGGCACCCGCGTCTAGACAGATGCATACCTACATATATACATGGATGCATGCGCATACGGGGCATTTACGTACATCTCGCCGCCAAGTTCTCCACTTCATGCATATGTATCATTGGGACAATTTGGCGTTCGCATGGCCAGGACGCACACAATACAGGAGTAGACATCCTATCGGTGGCCTGCAGCTTTAGAGTTATCGTCGTATCTCTGTATATGCCATCTGCTTTCCACGGTGGAGAATTGATTCCAGTGGTACGTTATGAGTTTGCGCTTCAAACGCGCTTTCTCGGCTGTGCATGCCTCCCAGTATGCGTGCTCGATGAATCGATAAGTGCTGTATGTACACTTTTGACGGTAGTTGGCATGGTGGCAAAGTATCCCGAGAGCCGCGGAATCCAGATGAGCGGGCGAGCTCGTAGGTATGAATACGACCGTGCATATGCAGAGTCCACGTGGGGGAGAAATCAATGCATGTTCCAATAGGCAGCAGCACGTGAGCATCAGAACGAGGTTGAGACGCGCGAGCGCGACCGTGTGCTTAGACCCCAAATGACACCAGCAGAGCCGCAGAGCGGTGAGAGGAGAGGGAGAGGAGAGGCGGGGCAGGGCGAAGCGAGGCGATCGAAACATACTATTCAGGCTTGTCTCGCAACTCTTCATCGAGATGTCAACTGATCAGCTCCATCCTCTCGTCTCGATATGATCAGCACTTCGCCTGCTCCAGACTCTCAATTGGAGCCAACTTCCCACCACCCTGAGTGCCCCTCTCCATGTTTGCAGGAAAAAGTCAAGTGACAAGTAGCTGGCTATGAGTCGTGCAAGCGGCTCGCGGCGGCCACGACAAGCGAACAACGACCAGCTGCGAGCCCACGGCAGTGAGCTCCACGCTGAAGCGCATCTCTCCGAGGCCCAGCCTCCTACGCCTACTCTTGCTACTTCTCCCTCCCTTCTGCCCGTGGACCTCGACAGAGAGGGCCTGTTACCCCCCTCTCTTCAAGCAGGCTGGCGCCGCAAACGCACCTCTGAAGGTCTCGCTGCGCAGGCTCCCTCCATCACCAGGCATAGAGTCGACTCTGGTGCTGCAGAGGAGGATGTTTCGGGCAAGATATCGCTCCAGCCCCGGTCTGAACACGAACCGACTCTTCCGGAAGCCCCTGCGCTCCTCCCCCTTGCTCGCCGGTCCCTACGCAACACTGCTCCAAACCATTCAACGGCTGCTTCGGCTGCTCCTCCTCTACCCCTTCGCCGATCGCCCAGACGGCTTACGCGGCGGCTCACAGATCACGACGAGCACTTGACCGCGAGCTCTACTGACGCCAATCGGCCTGCACAGTCGCTGTCACACTGGTCTCCTCAGCGTACACCGGGTTTGCGGTCGGCAGCTGGTAAGCCAGGCAGTATTGCAGGCGTCGAACAACAATTGGGGCCGTCCGCTGGATTGTCGCAGAGGAGACAGAAGCAGCAGCACACACGATTATCAAGGCGAAGGGCTGGCGGCTCTAGAAATACAGATATGACGGATCGGAGAGCAGAATTGATACAAGGTGGCAACCGCAGCAGCACACCCGATAACCATGGTGACCAGTCCCAAGATGACATCATGCACCTCCACCGGAACCCACTGCTACATACGTCCAGTGGGGACTCGAGCATCAGCCTTACCAGCAATAGCAATAGAAATGGCAATGGCAATAGCAATAGCATCAGTGGTGGAGGCGGCCCAAGCCCAGCGAGAGGCTTGCTTCGGCACCGCAGGCCCCTGCAGGAGATTCCGCTCTGGATGGCCGACTCGAGGGGAGAAATGATACGACGTCGATCAGTGATGGGCACCATGTCAATCGGTGTAGGCAACGGAAGCAGAAGTAACAGCGGCAGTGATGTGAGTTACCAAGTGTTGAATCCGGAGAGCTTTTGCTTCCTTCTCTTGCTGACTTGCCCGATGATGGCCTGTACTTACGATTCTTCAGGACTTGCGCCTAGTACACTTTGCGCCCAACACCCGACATCGCCACAGTACACTGTTGCAACGCGAGCAGGCAACCATTGGCACCGAGCGTGCAGACCCAGGGGTAATAAGCCACCAAGCACGATCACCTTCTCCGTCGACCTCTCTGACTGACAGGCTGATCGTGATGCCAACGAGCTTGGCTACCCGGCTCGCCACCACACACTCCGACGAAGGGGGTAACAATCCTCTCGAGTCGCCCAGTCTCCAGCACACATCAGTGCGTCCCGCTCCCGCCATCACCGGGCCGAGTGCGGCTCCGGCCACCCGGGCATCTGTACCGTCCATCGACGGAGCTACTGCCAACAACTCTGCACAAGGGCCCGCAGCTTCCGCTTGCGCCGAGCGCTCGTTCGACACAGTGTCGTCGATGCCTGGACTCGGTGACACGCCGGACACGTCGTTGGACGCGGCTGCTGGGCCCAGCTTTATGCCTGCGACACCTCCCAATAGCCGGGCCCTTGTGCTTCGCAGATTTGCGCATGGTCCTCTGCATGCCAGAGGCACCCATGACGACATCATTGACGACGACGACGGCGACCCGGCCATGCGTGACAAGGAGAACACGCCCTCCCCTCGCCGCGCTATGATCGGCAGCGCGCATGTCCTTGCGTCACCACGCAGCCCGCTGGCTCGCTCACCTGCAGGCACGCTTCCGACAGTTACGAGTCCTCTTCGGGCCGTAACAAGCGCCATGGGCGGCGCTGCAGCGAGATACAATAAGCGAATGAAGAGCCTCGCCGGTGATCCTGGCAGCGCTGCGGAGAGTGGGGACGGGGAATATGGAGGGCCGTTGATCGCGGGCAGGTGGCCGCAGGGGCTTTGACCTCGGTATTGTCAAGTGGTTTCTCGCAGATTCGGCATGTGATTCGGCATGTGATTCGTTTCTTTGGTTGCCTTTTCGCATTTTGCTCGCGCATACAGTCGTTCCTTTGTACCATACACAATGTCTTTGCAATTTCGCACATACTTTCGCCCTTGTTAGTCCGCTACTTGACCTTGATGAGGCCCATTTTCTTGTGGGAGCAGGTATGACGAACAGCGAGGAAACTCTGTCCAAAACCATGAGATGTCTCTGCTGGGACGACGGGCAGAGATGTGGGGCAGAACAAATAGGGTTGGAATTGTCGCAGCAAACGATGACAACGCGCCACGCTCTCCTCTCTTCCACAGCGGCGCGTCGCGACACAAACTCCGTCCGAGTCTCTCTCCTTCTCTCTTTCACCTAAAGGTCTTGCGAAGGACCGCCAGCTGGAGGCCAACTTCCAGCTATCTATCCATATCTCTCTCTTTCTTTTTCGTGCCGCCTTCCTGCTAGCTACTTTTCTGTGTTCAACGATTGCGGAAGGAGTAACAAGGGGGTTCGCATTAGTCTCTTTGACTCTCCAAATTTCGCGCGGACCCCACAAGCAAGGCCGAGGTGGAGTTGCAACGGACTTCGATCTGAGATGTCTGGCATTTGTCGTGACCGGTGAGTGCATAAATCACTGTGACTCAAGGGAATGTAGAGCTCGCAGGAAATATTAGCTGAATGTGGCCAGCAGACGCATAACGGTCTTCAGAAAAGAAGCTGCTCTGTCTCTTGCCGGATCGCCACAACGAGACGAGACCTGCATTGATGTCGTGAGGCTAACTTGAATCCGTTGCGCTTGTCGACCGAGCCTCCATCGGACAAAAGTTTCAGAGGAGTCTTCAAATTATGCTTTAGCTTTGGGCTGGGGCGAAATCGGTATGCCGCTGAGCAGAGATGCTGAAAATTTCGCTGATGCCTTACAGATTAGCGCAAGAGCGCAAGGATTGGCGGAAGGACCATCCATTTGTACGTTTTTTTCAGCTTCGCGGGAGGCCGGCCTCGCTGAAGCCAATAGGTCTCAACGTGTCTTGAACTGACTGAGTGGGATCGATGATCATTCTTGTTGTGTACAGGGCTTTTACGCGAGACCGCAAAAAGCAGGCGACGGTGGGCTCGACTTGCAAGTATGGGACGTAGGCATTCCGGGCAAGGAGGGCGTGAGTCGTTCGCTCTCGCCGCGCGAGACGGAGATGATCTGGTTCTGGGGAATAGACTGGAAAATGCCTGATTCAATATTTCCCGATTTCGGGCGCACAGACTCCATGGGCGGGTGGTGTCTACAAGCTGCAAATGGTAAGGGTGGTCGCGCGCCTTGCGGGCTGAGATGGCTCTCGCTGAAGCGTATCGTCTTCCATCGCTGCTTTCGTTATAGACATTTCCGAACGAGTATCCAGCAAAGCCGCCGAAGTGTATGTGACGTCTGATATCTTGATATCTCAGCCGTCAAGGCTAGGAAAGCTTACAACATCTTCCCTCGACTTTTTTTTTGGTTTCAGGCAAATTTGTCCCGCCGCTATTCCACCCGAATGTGTTCCCATCTGGAACCATCTGCCTTTCAATCTTGGACGAAGACAAGGGCTGGAAGCCAGCAATTACCATCAAGCAGGTACGCCGTTCTCCCTGCTTCTCATTGGCAAAACCGCACAGCCCTGATGAGGCTTTTGCTCTCCCCTTTTCTTATTCTGTTGCGACCCCACATACGCTTTTGGCAGCTTCTGCTTGGCATCCAAGCATTACTGACGGAGCCGAATAATGACGACCCGGCGCAGGACGAGGCGTACAGGATCTACTTGAAGGACAAGGCACAGTACGAGCGACGTGTCAGGGAACAGGCGCGGTCGATGGCGCCGACATAGACAACTAGGCCACTCGCCTGCTTTGGGGATGCAACGGGACAGGAGGAAGGCCTCGACTCGCTAATAGGACATCTTGCGCCATGGGGGTTACGCGCCTGCGCTGTACATGTACATATCAAATACGCAACTTCTGCGACCTTCATACCCGGACTAAGTCTTCCTGACTACTGCCTGATGAACGTGTCGCACCACGTATTTTACTTCCTCGCTATTCGCAGCCTTGTCTGCGTGTCGTAGTTTCCAAAAAAGGCAGCAACGTCTCTGCTCTGAGCGCCTATTCCGGACCTCAGCAACACACCATCTTCGAGTCCTGCGCGATTCGCGTGAGATTTGGCACCACTCAGCCTCATGAGCCTCGCATCGCACCCCTCGAGAACAAAACAAGGTGCGTCGATTTCGACCGCGTCACCTTTTAAGCTTGTCATCAAAGGCAAAGGCCGAAAAGGTGAGGCGACTGCACCGGGATCGCGCCATGTACGCGTTTATGCTCTCGGGCCTCAGTCCCTCCTCGATCGGTTCCCGTTCCTCTGGCCAATTTGAATTATCTCATGCACCACAACGAATTCCAAAACCTCCTCATCGACGATCGGCATTCAGCAAACGATGATGCAGTTACTGCGCAGCAGGTTGCGCTGTTGCGCACGCTACAGTCCAGATTCATATGATCTACAAGCGTCCCCTCACGTCCGTGTCAAAGAAATGACTTGAAGGGGTCGATTGCCTGCGTCCATTTCCCTTCGCCGTACGTTTCGCTTACGCCAGGCCCTGCGAGCGTGAAGTTGCTGTGGACAGGGTGCACTCGGTCGTTCACCATGGTCAACCCTACCCCTGTGATTCGCTCCATCACCGTGGAGTTTCCGGCAAAGGAAATGGAGCGAATGCTGCACCTCGTGCTGGATACGCGCCTGCCCGATCTCGAGATTCTGTCCGACCCAGAGGAGCTGGAGCGCGACGAGGAGAATGGCTTCAGGTGGGAACTGACGAGGGAGAAGCTGGCGCAGATGAAGCAGTACTGGCTACGAGAGGGGACTAGGCGAAAGTGAGGGAGGAGGTCAACCGATGCGTATTGCCTGCCAAACGTAGCTCGCGCGTGCATGAAGGAGCAAGGCTGACACGGTGGTGCGTCAGGTCCTGGGATATTTGACTGCTGTGCGGGTACCAACACACCTTGAAACGCTGGAAGGCGTCGACGGGTACTTTGTCCACGCAAGGTCTCGCCGTGCTGACGCTAAACCCTTGCTGCTGGTATACGGCTGGCCAAGTGAGCTCGCGTGGTGCCCGTCAATACCTTAGGCCGAACAGAAATCTACCTCCTGACTGCTGCACATGCGCTTACACATGCGGTTTCTGGGAATATCGCTAACTGTTCCCATCGCTGATCGATCCGCCTGATGCATTTCACCCAGCTTTCCAAGTGATCGCCGTGAGTCAAGATGGCTTTTGCCTCAGCGGGCCGCCTCCGCAGCTGAAATCGGACATGAAGGATAATGCGCGTCTCTACGGCAAAGTTATGACGGAAATGCTCGGCGATCATCGATATGTCGTTCACGGTGGCGATTGGGTGAGCGGGAAAATGCAGCCCGTGCCGTTTGGCAGAGCCGTTCTAAAATGATGTTTCGGACACATTACAACTACAGGGATCCATGATTGCAGCCCATCCCGACGAAGCACCGTCCTTTGCAGAGGAAGCGATGTCCTCGGACATTATCACCACTACAGCGCTACCACACCGGCAGCCTTCACACTTGCGTTTGGGAGTACGCGCAGCTCGGTCCGTCCAAAACGTTCAGCTTGCACAAGAACCCCTCGGACATTCGATCTTCTCGAATGTGGTCGCCATGACCCCCGTCAGCTGGAATAGCTAGAGCCACCCGGCGCTGTGCTGGATCAGGAAAGACGAACGAGGCGGGCACTTCCGTAAGAAGTACAGTCGACCGCGCGTTGCCGTTTCTCACTCTTTAGTAGAATCGCAATATTCTAACTCGAGGTTCTTTGCACAAACGCCCGGTTGCAGCTGCTCTCGACTGCCCGGAAGTCCTTGTGCAAGATATTCGCGACTTCTATCACTGCTCACTACAACAAGGAATGGTGATACAGGCGCCGTAGCATGTCATCAAGACAGAATCTTGAGTCTTAGCCTCACCACTCAGTCCAGCTTATGTAGGCTGAAGTTTCATGTGACAGTGTGTCCCCCTCCAAACTAGTCACCCTGAAGGAGCTTAGGCCAAGTGCTTTCTGGTGCTAACCCCGCTCAGCTCCTTCCAACATACGTGCTCAGAGAAGGCACACTGCGATGAGTGAATGTGCGATTTGTTTTATCTCGGTCGCTCGTGGCAGACTTGGCGCGCATCTTCGATATTCCACACAAAGGTTGTTTTGCAATGCTTGTTTGCTCACCGCTCCGTAAATGTATCATGTACTCTACTCCGGAATCTAATGCATCTGATATGCACTTCGCCATACTCTCTATCACACCTACTGAGCGATCGTGGAGCCGCTCGCCTTGCTTTCCGCGAGCCTGCGCTCGCGCGCTTTGACCAAGCTTTCCCACTTGATGCGATACATGCCCAATCGCACCTTCTCCCTGTTCTCCGCGGTCCAATCGTCCAGCTCCAAATCCAACCATGGCTTGGCAATGACAACGTCGTTGCGTATCTGACGCATCCACGCCGCTTCATCGGTGCCGAAGACATGGTACGCTAGTAGGCCGGACGGAACGTGCTCGAGCGGCCGCTGCGGGCACCCGTCCGCTTTCCACCTGGCGAATGAATCGCGTTCGAGCGCGACGACGTCGCGCTCGCGCTCGCGGAGCAAGGAGATGCGATGCGTTTCGTCTTGCAGTCGTGCTCGTAGCAGCGCTTTGCCGTCGCCGTCGCCGGCTTCGAAATCGGGAAAGGCGTCGGAGCTGCCGTCCCAGATGGAACGGACGAGCCAGCTGTAGGTGTCTGTGGATGTGAAAGGCGTGAAGGACACGCTGAGACCGATACACGCGAGCGATGGATTGCGCGCCAACAGGCAATGCCGGTACAGACCGCCGACGCGCGGCGGCGTCCAGGTTACCGCATCTTCGCCCGCCCATGTTGGGTTGTGTCCAGTTGGAGATGGTGTGTGAGATGCTGCAGATCCATCGGCACCGTTCGGACGCGCAGCTGCTGGCTCGGCAAAAGTCGGCGAAGAAGTCTGTTCCATAGGTGCCCAAAACGCGCCGACTGCAGCATCGCCACCGTCCAGCGGTTCGGCCCAAAGTAAATGCTGCAGTTCACGTGCTGTGCGCGGGGCATTCGCGCCTCCTGCGCTCGCGGCGTAATCGGCCAGGATGCCCCTCTCGCTTACTTGCTGGACGAAGTGCGCCCAAGCCCGCTGCACGTCATCGCGGCTTGCGTCCACGAGCTCTGCAGCACGCTTGCGGATCGTGTCGCATTTTTGAAGGTGAAGCTCTGTTCCCGCACTCCGAGATGGCGAGAGAAGATGCACGAATGGGTAGCGAAAGCCATCGTAACCGGTACCAAGGATGACGGTATCGACATTGCGTAGGAACGTGCCGTCCTCCAGCTCGAGATCGAGTGTGTCCGTCCCCGTGCCTCCGGTTGCATCTCCTCGTCGCGCTGCATCGCTGTGCTCTCGCAAGTGATATGCCTTGATAGGCGCGACATCCTTGATACGCGGATCAGGTAAGTTGACGAAGATATCCAGCGCTTTATGCTTTATGCTCCTGTAGACGCGCGGGACAGCAGCCGCTGCGGCGTCCGCGGTGGGCTGGTCTTTCCCGGTACGGTTGCCGCTGACGCTATGCCCGGGGTCGGGATACATTTGCGCGATGTGCGCTGCAATGTCATTGGCGGAATTACCGTTGCCAACAATGACGATCCTCTTCTCCCTTGTGTGTACGTGGCTGAACCCATTCGTGCCATTGACACCACTTGTAGCAATGCCGCCAAGTGGTGTCGGAGATGCAGTGTTCATTCCTGAACGAGAGCAATACGCATCGGGGCCTCGGTACCACTTTGCATGGTGCACGAACCCGCGTGCCTTGGCCTCTTCGAAGCCAGGCACACGCGACGTGTAAATGGGGTAGTCGTACCATCCCGTGCAGAGGGCAAGATGAGAAAAGTGGTCGATATGCAGGGTCGGTTCGAGTGGCGCGTCCGCTTGTGCTGAAGCGCCGGTGGGCCACTGGCGCGAGAGGACAAGCCAGCCTGCTGATCGCCACTTGGGGTGCGGCCCGCCTGCTGCCGCACTCTCGTTCTCGTGACGCGTCGGCGGTAACTCCCAGGCGCCGAGTACCTCTCGGCCCGTCTTGATTCTACCGCCGGTTGCATCACCACTCCCATCGCCCAGTAACCCATGCTCGCGCGCGAACCCCAGCAGGTACGCGTGTGTCTCCGCGAGTGTGGGGAACGGCTCGCCATTCGCTGGCGGCGGGAACGGCTTGGCGCACGAGTACGACAGGAAGCGCGGCAGGACGTTACCACGCAGTTGGGGGTAGGCGGGAGAGGGCCAGGTAGGGCGATGAGGATGGGCTTGAGGTTGCAGAGAGGAAGGGGTGGTATTTGATACTGAGATCGACTTGGAAGTTGTTGCCTGCCCAGAGTCGGGCGCGGACGCCGATATGGGTACGGGTACAGGCCACTGGCCTTGCGTTGCGTACGGCGTGACCGATTTCTCGTGCGATGCTACTTGTTCGTCTAGATACCTGCAGAGCGACCAGCAGCCGTATAATCACAGTCAGAAAGAGCTCAATGCAGATAGGAAATCTGTACATACCATACACCACCAAGTTGATCCCGTCGCTCCCACAGCTCGACGTGCTCAAAAGGCTCTCCCTTGCGCTGCAGGCCTTGACCATGTTCCTGGCGGTCTCGGCCGTTTTCTCCCGTTGCCTCGCTCGTGCTATGGCTAGACGACGACGACAGATCGGGCTTGAGGAAGTTGCGGAGCGTGACGAGACCCGCTACACCGCCGCCTAGGACGAGCACTGAGTCGGGCCGGCTGACGGGCAAAGGCGGTGTCGGCTGCGGTTGGGCTGCCTCTCCCGGCTCTGGAAGAACTGGGTTGACCATGTTCTGATCAGGACTGTTTCAACTTTCGAGCTGTTGAGCGTCGGAAGTCTTCGGTGTTGCAGTCTTACTGTGGGCGAGGCCCGCGTGGAGTGTTCGGCGGCAAGCAGGGAAGTTGCCAGACGCGGGATGCGAACCTCACCGTAACAGCGGCGTTGCTCTGGTCAAGGCCACCCGTGCGGGCCTCCCCCGGGGGTTCGTGTGAGCATGAACCTGGAGGATGGGAGGGGCGGATGCTCTCAGCTCTTTGCACGCATGGACTTGGTCGTGAGACGCACGTTATTATTATTATTATTATGCTTCCATGCGCTGATGCTGACGTAAGCATGGACGCATGTGCACAATACGAGAGGAGTCGCGTCGCGTGGTGTTGGACTGACGATTTGCTGGTCATCGTCGTATAACCGACTCACTGCCATCTGCTGTCGATGGCTTCGACAGCACGCTGAGCAGCTTGTGGTCATCGTTGCTGTGCACATAGTTCACACACGACAGAGACATTGACAGCGGGTCTCGTGTGTGTGCGCTCTGTTAAGCGGCCCTTTCAATGCGACCGAGGGGAGTGGTGGTGAGGTAATGTGATGTGCACTCAAGGTCGGCTCGTGATTGTCGCCTTGGACCTTCGCCTCAGCCATGGCGGACGCTATGTCCTCCTTGCCGCTTCCAGATCCAGAGGCGCTGCGCGAGTTCTGGATCAGTAAACTCAGGCAATGGCGCGAAGATGCGTCCAGCATCGGATCCAAGTTTGGGCAGACATACTCGCGCGCCGCCCATAGCTTAAAGAACAACCCACTGCCTTTCAAGCACAGCAGCGAGCTTACGCAGCTCAAGTTTATTGGGAAGACCATTGCAGAGAGACTAGAGGAAGAGACAGCGAGATGGTGCGCAGAGAATAAGTATGCTGTTCCCGAGAAACGTGAGTCGCAACAGGGCACGATGGTTGGGGGGCGATGTGGAGGCTGAGGCTGATGCGCCGCCCATACACCTCAGCTGCACCCTCACGCAAGCAAAGGGCAGCTCGCGAGCAGCGGCAGCAAGAAGCGTCGCAGCACGAAGACGAGTTGAATTCATGGCCCCAATCGCAAGGGGCAGCTGCAACCGCCAAGCGCACACAACACGATTCCACTGGCGCGAGCGGTGCTGCCAGCACAGCAGCCAGCAGGCTTTCTCACACTTCTCTGAGCGACAAGCTCGACGAAGCGGTGAAAGCGGGTGTGGCGAGACAGGACAATGGGAAAGACAAAGAAGTGGTTACAGGGGATAAAGCAAAGGAGCGGCCCACGATGGGCTTCTTGTCGGATAGCACCAGCGCAAGCGAGAGCGACTCAGGGTCAGCGCGCAAGGAAGTGAGATGGCCGAACAAGCGCACCAGGATGGAGCAAAGCGCGATGCACCTCGATGCAGTTGATGGAGATGTTGATGGAGGCCTAGAAAAGCGAGCTGCCGCGGCGGGAATGGATATAGTAAACGGAAAGGCACTGGAACCAGCGCCCGCGCGACTGAAGAAGCCAAGGCCGCCCAAAGCTCCCAACATCTACATCCCTGCACACCGCTCAGGAGGCTACGGTATCATGCTAGCACTCTGGTCTGTGACGCGTGACGCAGAGGTGTTCGCGACGGGCGGAAGCTCCTACCTGGATGAGGAGGACTCCAACACGTTCCCAGTCAGCGAGACGTGCATCTCCTCCGAGGCGAACGAAGTGTACCTGCGTAAGAACGAAATCATCGGCATCGCGCAAAAGTGGTGTGACTTGGATTACCTACTCGCGAGCAGGGGCAGCAGCACCGCTGTTGCTCCAGGTGATTTTAACAGCGCCAACGCGGGTGACGTCGGCGGTGCCGCTGCCAGCGGGGGCGGAGGGGCCGGATCGTTCAGGACCGCATGGAGCAGCATGAAGACGCTCATCAATCGCGGATACGTCTACCAGACCGGCAACCCGCCCCGCTTCTGCCTCAGCGAGGAGGGCATGCAAGTAGTCAAGGGTATGGCGCAGGTCGCTGGTCTCAGGAGACCTCCCGCGGGCATCGGCACGAGCACAGAGGCGCCACTTTCGGCTGCTGCCGATGCTACTGCTGGCAGCACAACAGTAAGTGCTGCGCCCTTGCGCTCAGAACAGAGGCACACGAGCAAGAATAGACCGAGAGTACGAGGGAGTCGCAATAGCGAGGACAAGGATGACGATGACTTCGGCGATAGCATGCAGGTGTCAGCTCAGCGAAAGGACGCCGTTGGGTTCCCAAAGCGGTCTGGACCAAAGCTCATGCTCCCGGCGACGCGGCCGGCGTCACGCTCGCAATCACCTATGGCGCTGGAAACCAACCCTGTACCCGCACTGACTCGCGCTGTCGCCTCTGCTCCCACTACTGCTTCTGCGTCTGTGCCACCGCCAGCATCCGCGTCAGCACTGCCACCGACCTTCGCGTACATGTATCTCTCGCGCACCTCTGCGCTTGTATTTTCACGGGCTGAAGCGGCCGTGCGTCTGTCGGATGTCGACTACACGACGACGTACGCTGTGCTCTTTGCGGAGCGCTCGCGCGAACACTCGATCGTCCGCAGTGGCGCGATTGAGAAGGTCGGTAGCGCTTTGCCGATGCTCGCTGCTGGTTCGTCAGCGCAACAGGGCTTGTGCAAAGGCTGGATCAGGGAGGAGGCAAGCAATGAGCGCGCACCGGGACTCAGCGTCGGCGTCGGTCGCAGGCAGCCTGCTGCGCTGGCGCCTGCTGGCGCCTCTGCACGCGCGAAAGGCGGCGACGCCTCTCGCAGCGCAGGCCAGCCTGTCACGGTCATCCTAGACGACACAGACGATGAGGATGCAGATGCAGGCATCACATCACAGGCTCCTCCCCATCGGATGCAGATGCAGCGCTCGACGGCGGTCGGCATCAGTAACGTGGAAGAGGAGGTGGTGGAGACAGTGACGATCAGTGCTGGTTTCTTTGAACTCAAAGATCGAAGGCAAAACGTTCCCACTGGCGGCTCCCATCCCGAAAGACAAGCTCCACCTGTTACAAGGGCGCCGCGATGTGCTGTTTCGACGGTGTCGCCCATTCAGGATGCAGACATGCTCGACGACGAGATTGATGATGACGCAGACCTTTTCGTGGAGTTCCAATGCCAGGAAGAGCAGCAGTCGAAGACGATGGAGTCTCAGGCGGAGGAGTCGCAGGGGATCCAGCTCGCCCCGCGGGGCCTGTACACAGGTCTGTACGGTCAGTCGCAATCAGAATCGCAGAGAGAGCGGCAGCAACACAATGAAAGCGCGAGTGCCAGCGCCACAAAGAACAACTTGCATCGCCGGCCTAGACTCTCCGGTGTCCTGCCTCCGCCAGCAATCGCTATCAGCTGGCATAACGCCATCGTCCCTACAGCATCCATATCGCGCAACAACAGCGCTCTTGGCACGAACGCATCGGCAGCTTCCACGCGCACCGCATCGGACCATGAGCAGACGGTAGCCGAGCAGCACGGCTTCAAGCCGCCGCAGTTTGAACCCGTCATTATGCCAGCAGGGTCCTTCAGTATCCATTTGCTGATCGACACGCGCGAAGTGCGCGCGCGTGGCCAGCAGCCGTCACGTGCGAACGACTTTGCGCAGTCGCTGCAGGCCATGGGCATCCTCGCCGAGTCGCGCGCTCTGCCGCTGGGTGACGCCGTCTGGATCGCGCGGCGCAAGGATGGCGGTAAAGGCGAGGAGGACGAGGCGGTGCTGGATTTCATCGTCGAGCGCAAGCGCCTGGACGACCTTAACAGCAGTATCAAGGACGGGCGCTGGCGCGAACAGAAGTTCAGGCTGTCCAACAGCGGTCTCTCGCACGTCGTCTATCTTGTCGAGGACTACGATATCGACCAGCAGTGGAGCTCGTTTGGTGAGAGTCTCCAGACGGCGCTCAGTTCGACGCAGATCGTGGACGGCTATTTTGTTGAGCGCACTGCAGACGTCGAACAGTCGCTACAATACCTCACCTCGATGCACACCGTTGTACAAGAGATGTGGGAGGTGAGTGGCACGAATCATGTGACGGCGGTGCGTGAGCACTGATGTGCTCTTGCCTGTTCGCTCGCTCCGCCGCCCCGCTAGAACACCGACTTGTACATCCTGCCCGATTCTGCCATTAGCCGGCACACGTACCTCGACTTGCAGACGTACCTTCGTCGCACGCACCCACAGCTGACCTACCTGACGAGCTACGCGTCGTACGCCACACTCAACGCAAAGAGCGGGTCGTTGACGGTGCGCGACCTGTGGGCGCGAATGCTGCTCTGCATCAAGGGCCTCAGCGCCGAGAAGGTGGCAGAGGTGCTGGACCTATGGCCGACCCCGATTGATTTCTACGAAGCGTGCTTGGAAAAGGAGGAGGAGATGCGCAACGGAGTCGACACGGGTCCGGCTCCCCGTGGACCCGCCAAAGGGCTCGACGCGGGACAGCGGATGCTGTTCGAGCACATCCAAGGGCCGGAGCAGAGGCGCAAGATCGGCGCGGCGCTCAGTGTAAAGGTGTGGGACTTTTTCATGAAGAGGCAATATGCCACCGCCTCGGGCGTTGGAGATGGGCATTTGTAGCATGCACTGGTATGCTGTGCAGGATGCTGGGTGGATCTAATATGGGAACGGCGGACTGGACTCTGTGTGAGAAGGCCAATGTGCAGGCTTTCAAGAGAAACTCGTTTTCACCGCGGAGGTTACGCTTATACCTACACACGGGGCGGCGGATACGACAGGTGCCACCGTGGCGAAGTCTCACGTGTTTACCTCCCCGCGCTTTTGGCCTCCTTTTGCGGAACTGCGCGCGGCGGAACAGAAGCAGGATATACAGACCCTGTTAGACGCTGTGTACATAGCAGCAGAACTACCTCTTCGGGCTACGCACCGTAGTTGCCCCCGCAGGAATGCTGTACTTCGTACGCCGAGTGGATGGACAAGAGTCCTGCGCTGCTTCACAAGGGGTGAGCGTGGCTAACATGCAGGAGTATAGATGGAGCATGTACACCAATTCGTGTCGCTTTCAACAGCCAAACGCAAAGCCATATTAACCCTAAGGACCAGGTAAAAAGCAGGCATGATGCGGCCTATTGGTATAACGCCGTCTGCCGATGACGCGATGAGAGCCATACAGGCATGTAGCCGACGACGTTTGAAAAGTAATAACGTCCGCACAGCCACGCCCCTTCCGCGATATATATGCATATAGATAGCTCATAGCTCCCAGCAGGTTTCCCAAAAGTCGAGATGGCTCGCGGCTGGCGGCGTCCTTGGCAGAGACCCTGAAAGCAGTTGGAAGCTTGCGATGCCGTGAAAGACGTGAAATTTGCAGGGCTATGGTGGCTTTTTCTCTGTGAGCCTGACAGAGGAGAGGGGTTCGGAAAGACTGACTCCCATCCGCCATCCGGATTCCGGGTCTTAAAACAGAATGGAAGCAGCCTTTGCTTGCCATTTCATGACGCCAGTGGCCAGTACCCGCCTGGAAAGGTACGGTCAGAACGGCTCCTACTAGACCAGTACGTATTATGCAGGTGTACCAGCCCACAGTCTTACACCCAAAGCGTCTACATACCCGTCTCGAGCTTGATGAGGGAGATTTCCACTAGAAGCGCTCCCTGTGCATTTCCGCAGGATCGATGGGCCGAGAGAGAGATTGCAGCTCCACGACTTTGAGAGTCGCAACGATGCCGTAACTCGCAAGCTTTGCCGCTTTTCCAGGGCCCATGTCAGATGGTTCCCTCTCCCTCTTCTCTCTCTGTGCCTGTGTCTGTGTATATGCATGTGTGTACCATTCTGACGGGCGATGAGGACTCGGGGATGTTCCTATTCCAATGAGGTGTACTTCCTCGCGCTCGTTTTCCCCACATGTCAAAAAGCTGTCAGGGTGGGGCGCGTCCACGTCTAGGTACGCGGTTTGGCGAGTTTCCACTTTCTTTTCTCATTTGATCAGTGCGCTTTTCTTTCTCTTTGCCCCCTCACAGTCTCCTCCATTCGCCGACCGTTTTTAGCGTCGTTTTCCATGCGCCCTCCGCGGAGGCTCCAGGGAGCTGCATCGGCCTCATCCTCTCCACATCTGGGTTGTCATATGTGTCGGATTGCATGGACGGTATGCAGAGGATCACATCCGGGCAGAACCTAGTATCCATACTCAAAGGTCCTCATACAAAGCGCAAATTTACCTCTACCCGTGTATGTACCATTCGTCTGCTTGCCACTCTCTGGGTCACGAGACAAGTTGCGTGGAATTCGGTTTTCTGCGCGTTCCAGGGTGATGCTGCCACCGCCGTTGTCCATGACGAACAGGCCGCGTTTCAAGGCCTACACGTTGGTCGATGAGCAGACTGGCTGAGAAAGGATGAATCCTGTGTGCACAAAGAACACTCAGAGGGCCACAATCAAATCGAGACTCGGGAAGTGGAGACTTCTGGGTACAATATGTGGCATGTTTTCCGTTGGTACAACACATAGAGCACGTTTGATTTTGAGAACTTCCATGGCGCCATTGTGTGAAACCCTTGTCCCGTGTCCGTATTGCGTACATATATACATGTTACATACATACCAGCACTCCGTACATGTGTAGAGTGCGGGGTCGCTGCGGGCCGTACATCTGTTCTAAGAACCGCTGATAGAGTATGTATGGAGTGCTGATGGAGTACATGTCCGGCTAGTTATGTACATGAGAAGCGCCACATCTCTTGTTGCCTTTTAATTTGGAGCTTGATTTATTGCGTCTTCGAAACAAATAGGACTATGACAGGCCTCAGGCGGCCAAGCGGAAAGTCGACCGATAAATATTAGGACACATGAGCGGCACGAGCCAGGTAATATACATTACCGAGATCCAGGGATTCGTGTATGTACAGAAGCACACCGGTGTACGCTCCTACGTAGATATCATTTGTGCCGAGCTGATGAGTGTCTGCGACATGCGAGGTCACCTTTACTGTCCACTCTCGTTAATGAATCAAATAATGCGTCAGACTTAAAACAGGGTGAGACATCCTTATGATTGGACACTGCTTGGGAATAATGCTTCTTGCCGGTCTTTTGTCCGGTTGCAAGTGATGACGAAGATGCGCTTGACTGCTTTAGGCGGCGATAAAAGGGACTGCAATTGGTCCAATGCTCGACACTTTGCTGAGCGGCAATTTAAGCCTCAAGGCATTTTACAACCGAGTCGGTCCTTCGTAGCCCTTAGTCAGGCGGCATGCAGCCAAAAGCGTACGATGCTGGCCTGTCGTATGCCCTTGTGAGCGCATTGATAACAATTTCCAATTTAGTGCATGACCACCGTGCTAAAGCAGATACAAGTGCTAAGCACTCAGCGCTCTGCGCCGCTTTCAATGCTTAGCAGCCCCAATGATGAATGAACTTGTTGACTTTCCTGGGAATATTGTGGATGCATTTTCACAGTGCCTTTCACAAGCAGAGGCAGCTGTGAGGATATCCAGTTGGTGGGGAACAACGGAGAGTCTCGCCTTCGTGGAAGACACTGCGCAATCGTTTTTGAGCTTAGGGATTCTGTCAATGTAGATGGAGGAACGCCGGTTGTTCCTCACTTGCGTAGCGCACAAGGCTCAAGCGCAGCATTCGCCATGCAATTTTGGGGAAACCCCTTTCTAATTCTGACCGCGTGTTTTACATCCTTGTGAGCCTGTCGGCTTACTAGGTTGACCCGTTGAGATTCATAGAGAATGTGAAAGGGAATCACAGGAGTGTCGAGGAGGGGATGAGAAAGACGTCAATTTCTCGTCCTCTTCGTGCATACTCTGCCTCTTTCTTTCATCACCCAAGCTCGTCCTCCCCTAGCACCACTTCCTCACCTCAGCTTCCCCCCACGAACGTGCACTCTTTTTTCCTCTTCAAGATGCAAGACCTGACGCTTGCTACCCTCCTCGCCTCCCTCCATCGCGCTCGTCAGCGCTGCCATGATCCAGGATGTCAAGAACGACGTTACGACGATCTATTTTGAGATTTCACAGCTCAAGAGTTCTCCCTCCTCAAACAGGATCAACGATATCAGATATCTGTAGATCGACCAGAAAACCGAGACCCTGGACAAGGCTGCCGGCAGGGCACCCTGACGCCAACTCTGTCGACTCGGTCTCTGATGCCGATGCCAACGACACTCTCAGCGCCTTGACGACACGGGGCATATCGTTGCGTGAGGTGACGGCGGATGCCCAGCTCGCGGTACATGCGGGCCAGGCTGCACAGAGAATGAGTTGCCGAGTTCACCACGGCCGACGATTGGCCCTTTGCTTCGCGCGCTCAACTGCCAGCTACATCTCCCAGCGCCTTGTGACGCTCAGGCCCAAGTTCTATTCGCTTGGTATCTTCGGCATCACCAAGAGTGACATCAACAACCTGCAGACCGACGTCAAGGCTTTCGATGTGGCGCTCATCGCCAAGGCCCCGTCCGCCGAGCAGGCCTCGGCCCAGTCGCTAGCTGACAAATTCAACCAGGACTTGCGACTGCCGGCGAGTGCCCTATGCGCAACATTGGTTTCATCTTTTCCGCGCAAGATGTTCCGATCGGATCAGCTCACGAGTAGCGAGTCTTGGTTTGATGCTTGTCCGCGGTCGCCGCTTACAACGAAGCGAACGTGAGTGCTCAGAACGGGAGCCGAAAATCAAAATCATGCGTATATATCTTGGCGCATCTCCAAAAGTGTTTATCTTGAGAGAGAAAAATGCGTTTGCCTCTTGAACCTCTGGGAGCCGTGTGAAGCGATTGTAAGGGCCTTGCCGTGGCCCAATCAAATTTTCAGCTTTACACACGGAGGGAAGGCGACCGATCCGTGCCGGCTTCAAACGGCATCCCTCGCAACTGCCTGCAGGAAGATGATTGTAGACACCCTGTGGCCTGCTGCTTGCACCACTCCCTCCCTTCCCGTCGTCATCAGCACTTGCTTGATCCTGCGGCACAAGTGACATGATGAGACGATGGCGGTGCTCCGGCCGCTGGGTGGTTGTTCTGTGGCTTGGCCGCCAACCGTGGTTGCTGTTGCTGCACGTGACGCGTCTATACTCAAACTAGGCGTGGGGCAGTCACGACCAAGTCTGGACAGCTCAACCCCCTCCTTTGGATCGAGTCTTGTTCATTCCATGGTCTGTACTTGGAACCGCCAAGCAGCACGGGAGAAAAGCCGATCAGATCGTGCCTCAGCGCACTCGCTGTTTGCGCTCTCCTTTCGGAATTCTGGCCGCTGTCTTTGTCGCGATCGTCGCTGACAGCCACCAGTGTCATGCAGCGAATATTGCACGAAAGCGGTAAGCGCTCGGCGATGCGATGCACCCCGAGCTCATTTACTGTCCAAGGCAACTTGCATAGGCTTGCTTCAAAAGCCGCGATCCCCGCTGTTGTGCCGGCGGCGAGCCGGGTACGACATCGGCTGCTCCAAACAACAGCTCGACATGGCTCGTCAAGCAGTGCTCCGCAACACCTGTATGTGGAGAGCGTGGCCAGAGCGCATAATGAGGAACGTTCAAGGTTGCGCTTCATGCGACGATCACACACTACGTCTACAACAGCACACAACGAATCCTCGTCCTCATCATCCTTCTTTTCTGCTGCAGCGACTCGCGCGCAAGCAGCTGGGCTTGTACTGGCCGGCTCAATGGTCACCTTCGTGCTATGGTCCGATGCTATCATTAATGAGGCTCTACACGACGAGGCATCATTGAGGAAGCCACAAAATGTGCAGCAAGTGTCCGAATACCAGCAGCTTACCGAAAAATCGGCCGAAAAGTATGCTCCAACGCTTGAAGAGCAGAACGACACACGACACCGCCATCGACCATCGTTCTTCAAAACGATCCAGATCGTGTTTGTCAAATACATCAGCGAGCCGCTCGGCACGGCCAAGCGCTTCCTCGTACTCGCTTGCATTTTCCTACCAGTTCTCCTCACAGCGCCGATGATCTTTATTGGCAGCAAAAGGGATAGAGGTAAAAGGAGAGGCCGCAAAGTTGCCAGCAAGGAGGAGGGCGAGCGATGGGGTGCCCTGTGGTGGTACAGATATTTGGTAGTGAGCTTGGAGGCTGCTGGTCCAACTTTCATCAAGGTGGGATCAAACGAATCTTGTGATAGACGTAAGCGCGCTTGTGGACTGACGTGCGTCGCTCAATGATCGTCCACAGCTGGCTCAATGGGCCGGCTCGCGACAAGACCTGTTCCCAAAGGAGCTCTGCGACATGTTCGGCAAGCTGCATTCCAATGGAAAGCCCCACTCGCTCGCCTATACCAAGGATGTCATCGAGAAAGTATTCGGGGGACGGAAATTCGAGGATATCTTTGACGAATTCCAGGAAGATCCCATGGGTATTGGGGCCGTCGCACAAGTCTACAAGGCGAAGCTCAAGCCGGACCTGCTACCGCCGTCTTTCTTAGAAGCCAAGCATCCCAGCCCCAAGAAGCAAGGGGTTGGAAAAGCCCAGAAAGCAATCACCACGACTCTGGCACTAAACTATGATGAGGACGAAGCACCGCCGAAGATCCCTACCGGCGCAGTCGCCATCAAGATCCTCCATCCTAAAGTTGAGCGCACGATTGCGCGAGACATCAAGATCATGTCCTTCTTTGCGCATGCGCTCAATCTCCTTCCAGGAGCAGAATGGCTCTCCTTTCCCGAAGAGGTGAACGTGTTCGCAGGGATGATGTTCAGCCAGCTGGACCTGCGCAACGAGGCAGAGAACCTGCTGCGCTTCGAAGAGAATTTCGGAAAGAGGCGCAGCGCGGTCAACTTCCCCAGGCCGCTGCCCCGTTTCTCGACGAAGGAGCTGCTCATTGAGGAATTCGAAGATGCTCTGCCGCTAAAGTACTTCCTCAATTTGGGCGGTGCTGGCTACGACCATCGGATCGCCAACCTCGGCTTGGACACCTTCTTGGTGCGTGTGTCCTTCTGGTGTCCGAGCGAGGGCGAGGTGCTGACATTTATTTATTCTTGCAGAACATGCTCTTGGTGGACAACTTTACGCATGCCGACTTGCACCCAGGGAACATCATGGTCAAGTTCTACCGCGCGACGACGGAGTCTCTGCTGAAGGATCTATCGGCGCGCATCCTCGCACGCTTTGACAATGACTATGCACCCGGGGCAAAGAAAGGCCAAGTGCCTCTGGATGAATTGACAGACGAATCGGTTCTGGAGCGACTGCGACCGCTGAAGGATGACCAGGATGCATGGCTCGACGAGCTTACCCGTCTCGACGAGATGGGGTATCAGCCCGAGCTTGTCTTCCTCGACGCCGGTTTGACCGTCGAGCTGAGCCCAATCAACCGGCGCAACTTCCTGGAGCTCTTTGGAGCTGTAGCCGAGTTCGACGGCGCGCTCGCTGGCAGGCTGATGGTTGAGCGCTGCCGCATGCCTGATCTGGTCATCGACGAGGAGACGTTTGCGCTGCGCATGCAGGACGTCGTGCTGAGTGTCAAGAGCAAGACATTCAGCCTGGCGCAGATCAAGATCAGCGATGTGCTCAGCCAGGTGCTCGCGGCTGTGCGCAAGCACCACGTCAAGATGGAGCCAGATTTTGTCAACACGGTCATCTCGATCCTGCTGCTCGAGGGCATCGGGCGCCAACTGGACCCGGACATGGATCTGTTCAAGTCTGCATTGCCCATCTTGCGCTCGCTCGGCCGCCAGCTGTCACACTCGCCGAGCATGCTCGGCGGTGGTGGTACCGGCGAGGGTAAGATGAGCTTGAAGGACGTCTTCCCGATGCTCAAGGTTTGGCTCTACCTGGAGGCCAGGGCGTGGGTCGGTAGTCTGGCACAGAGGAACACTGTAGAGGCGTTTGTACGATACGACTGGCTCTCGACCGGGGTCTGAAGGGGTTGGTGAGGCCGATATATATGTAATGCAACTTAACTTTGGGTCGCTTTGGTGCAATGTATAAATATATGTGCTGCTCGTACCTGCGTTCGGCCCGCGACTTCGCCCGCCTAGTGTCGCCTCATCGGGTAGCCGTGGCCGCCATGCAACTTCTTTCCAATCTGCCGAAAGCGGTGTGTGGTGGTTCGCTTGGCTGTTAACGATGCACGGCGAGCACCGGGACGAAGCACAGCTCCAGCGGAGGCAACTCGCCGCGCTCCCCCATGCTTTTGTGCTTAGCCGGCTGTAAAGCCAGCTTGGCATGATTACCCTTGTACACGACTGGAAGATCCACCCAAGATCAGATCCAAAAGCAGTTGAGCGGAGTAGCTCTGAAGCAGCTCATCATGGTTGAGGGAAAAAGCACGCACCGAAGGCGCCTGCGCCACTAGCTACCTTTTTTGAAGGGCTGGCGTGAGTGAGACCCAAGCGGCCTACATGAGGTCGAAGGATGAAAGCTTTCCAGGACTACCCGACCTTGACGAGAAGCTGGCTCTGTGGAAAAGTTAACCTCTGGGTTCCCTAGCGCTCGGGGTCAAGCACGCCTAAACCCGAGGAGGCGGGGCACCTGGCTGGATTTGGAGGGCGGGTGGGGGACCATCAACCCCTTTCAGCTGCCACCGGGTCAATCAATTTTCAAAGCATTGATGCACGCTGAATGAGGACGACAAATGAAGGGAGAGAACGCAATCAGAAAGTGGAGCGGCGTTATCTTATCTCTCTACCTCTCTCGGCCGACAGGAGATTGGGGTCGGCCCTGGTCGGCCGAAATCGATCCGCTCGCTTGCTCACGAGGAGAGCGGAGAGAGGCTCGCTTTGTCTCCTCATACACGATCGACCCGCCCCCTCCGTATCCATTCGGCGCTATCCTCGCACTGCAGTATATGTCCTCGTGGTCAAGGAAGATCGCGGGGCAGCATCGGCTGCAGAACTCTGTGACACCAGCAAAGCTTGGCCAAATCTACCGGGCACGCGTGCACCATGGAGAAAGCTCACTCGCGCGACCTTCTCCCCGTCACGACGGCGTGTAGCTACGGTACGCGCAGCCGCAGCTCCTCCTGGCGCAACTTGGCCTTCTACGTCCTCCTCATTGCTGTAGGCTGGGCCCTCTCGCAGCCAGCCTCCTTGGAGCTCTCGAGTCTTCACCGTGTAGCGAGGACCGCCGCATCTGATCTGGACCTGCTCGTGTCGGACTACCTCCCACTGTCCGCAGCGCAAAAGCATCGCGTGCCCAAGTGTCCCGCTCAGCCTGCTGCGTTGGCTCCAGCGATCGATTGGCGGCCCGACCTCAACGACACGTGGCTCTCCGAGTCGGCTGCCCGCCTTGGCGCCGCTGTGCAGATCCCGACGATCAGCTACGATGGCATGGGCGAGCCAGGCGAGGACACGCGCTTTCAGGTGTTCGCAACGTTCCACGAGCACCTCGCATCCACCTATCCCTTAATTCATGAAAGATCCGAGTTGCGAAAGATCAACACCTGGGGTCTGCTGTACAAGGTCGCTGGCACTGACGCGAGCCTGAAGCCGAGTCTACTAGCCGCACATCAGGATGTGGTGCCCGTGCCAGACGAGACGCTTGACCAGTGGGAACACCCGCCGTTCAGCGGCTACTACGATGAGCAGAAGGGCCTTGTTTGGGGTCGCGGCAGCTCGGATGATAAGGGCATGCTGGTCGCTGTCATGGAAGCCGCCGAGTATCTGCTCGCCGAAGGCTGGGCGCCGAAGCGCACGCTCTACATCCTCAGCGGCTTCGACGAGGAGGTAGGCGGCGGCCGAGGTGCGATGGAGATCGGTCGCGTGCTGCTCGAAGAGCTCGGTGAAGATTCGATCGAGTTCATCCTTGACGAGGGCGGCCTTGGCATCGGCCAGGAGCACGGTGTCGATGTCGCCATGCCCGCTGTTGGCGAAAAGGGCTACCTAGACGTCAAGATGGACGTCCGTGCGCCAGGCGGCCACAGCTCGATGCCGCCTGACCACACCGCCATAGGGATCATGTCCAAGCTGGTTGAAGCTCTTGAAGCGAAACCACACGAAGCGAAGCTCACACCTCAAAGCCCGGTCTTGACGCATCTCATCTGCGTCGCCGACGCGATCGATGCTGGCCATGCCGCCTCGCGTCCGACTCGAAAGCAACAAGAAGGCTTCCAGCTGACAAAGAAGATGCGCAAGTATCTCCGCAATCCGCGCCGCTGGCCGAGCGTCGCCATGACGATCGACGCGACTGGCACACGTGTGGAGCGTTTCATCATCAAGACGAGCCAGGCAGTTGACGTCATCGGCGGCGGAGCCAAGGCCAACGCACTGCCAGAGTACGTCAGCGCGCTCGTCAACCAGCGCATCATCGAGGGGACCGAGGAGATCATGCAGCGCATGGAGCGCGTGCTCAGGCCCGTGGCCAAGCGATTCGGGCTCAAGGTCGATGCCTTTGGCAAGGGTAGTAGCCTTCAGGATGGCGCGCAACAAACTGGGGTCGGAGCATCAGGGTCTCTCACAGTGAGTTCTGACGGGGTCGCGGCGCTTTCAGTTCGCGCGTGCTGACTGTTGCGACCCATTTCTCGCGTAACGATGCAGCTTTCGGTGGTCGAGTCGTCCGAGCCGACACCCGCGTCGCCCACCAACACGTCGGCATTCGCCACGCTGGCAGGCACGATCAAACACGGTGAGTAGTTTCAATGCGCAAATCGCGTTGCTCCAGAAACCCTCTTCGCATGTCGGAATGCTAATAATTTTGCGTAAATGTGCCTGTCGCTGCGTAGTCTTTCCCGGCGAAAATGGCAGAGAGCGGCTGGTGACCCCCGTCATCATGACGGGCAACACTGACAGCCGCCATCTGCTGAAACTGACGCGCAATATTGTGGGTGCAGTCACCCTTCTTCATTGTTCCTCTTGACGATATTGACCATGTATTTTGCACTGACTGCGGGTGCGACTCTTGCAGTGGAAGTTCAATCCGAACACCTACTCGAGCAAGTCCGCGAAGCACACGGTTAACGAGAACATGGGGATTCGCAGCCACGCAGAGACCGCCAGGTTCATTCATGCTCTGCTGCGCAACTTCGACTGATCTACATTCCACAATCCAAGTGCCCCTCTTTTGCGCAAATGGCATGCAGCTGTAACTGTTCATCACTACGAATCGCATCTCACACGACAGCCCCAGCCTAAACAATTCGAATTATACCAGGGTATGTGGTGTAGGCGACAATACAATACATTCCGGAAGCCGAGTTCAAGGCTGGGAACAGGTTGCCACATGAGATAATTCCTCTGGCACCAGAGTAATGAACAGTATGAGATGCCGAAGAAGCCAAAAAGAAGCGTGTAGAACGATGCTCTGGAGATAGAGGGATGTACACCGGACATGCCGACTAGCAAGGTAGGCTGACTAGGTGCTTCGCACCGGTGCAGTGTTGGGCTGTCGTGGGAAGACGAACTGATCGAGCTTCTGTTGGTCGGGGTTCCGCCTGCGTGGCGGCATTTTCGAAGTGGATGGCTTCGCTGCCGGCTGCTGTTGCGGCTGCTTGGCAGCCGTGAGAGGTTTCCCAATGTTGGCATCAGAGGAAGAATAGAGCACTGTGGGCGCCCCAGAGCTGCTCTGATGCGGTGAAGGGGTTTCCTCGACGATCGGCTGGTCTTTGTTGCGTGGCTTTTGGCTGCTGACAGCACCAGGTCGAGGCTCGCGAGGTCGAGGAGGCGAGTCTGGCGCAGTGACTGTCATCGCGAAGACCGGCCCAGCTAAGTTTGCCATCTCATGCGCCGTTTCAGCATCCAGCTTTTCCTGCTCTGGACCTCCTGCAGTCTCCGTCTCACTACCCTCTCCTTCTTGGGCCGCCTTGTCTTCGACCCACGCGGGATCCTCGGCATCTTTCTGTGACGCTTCCGGAGCGGCAGGCGTCCCGTTGGGCAGGCTTTCGCGAGCTTTCACCGACTCTGGTCGCTGCTTGTTCTGCAAGGACCCAGCGCGCCTGATGGAGTTGCGCTGTTTGCGCAAGCGCTCTTCCTCTGCATCCATCTTGGCGAGCGCGCGTTTGACGCTGCTCTGCCGTTGCACAGGCTTGACAGCGTTCTCGACGGGAACGATCGGGCCAAGTGGAGCGACAGGCTCATCGTCGTCATCGTTATCACCTGGCACTGCGGAAGGCGTTGGGATACGGTCCCAAGCTGACCACGACAAGCCAGGCGTGGCCGGGCGGAAGTCTATCTGCGGCGGCGGAGTTCCCTCTTCCGCGGCCGGCGTTTGGGTAGCACCGAAGTTGGGGGCAACAGCAGCGTGTGGCGTGGCGGATCCAGAGGAGCTCGCATTGTCTTGCGCTCGCTTGACGGCGCTGGGCCGCCTCGTGAGAGCCGACGTGCCAGAATTGACACCAGATGCTTTCGGTCTCCGAGCACGGAACAACGAGAAAGACCGAGCTGGCTTCTTGGCGGGCTTGCCGTCGACGACGCCAGATGCCTCTAAAGAAGCTGGGGCAGGCAGAGGTGGCGATATGGCTTTGGGCACTGTCGACACGCTGCTGACTGAAGAAGCAGTTAAGGAGACGTCATCGACGTCAGACGTACCGAGCGGACTGCTGCCCTTTTTGCCCGCCTTCTTGGCCCTCTTCCTGCAGCGCTTCTCCTCTTCGAGTCGCTGCTTCTCAGCCGCTTTGGCGGCCTTTGCGTCGTGCGCCCTGACCATCTTGTCGATCTTCTCGAGCTCCTTGACAAGCGCCTGCTCCGCTTTGAGCTTCGCCTTGGCCTCCTTTTTGACCGCCTTGCGCAGCTGCGGCGAGGCCAATGAAGACGCAGAAGAGGAGACGCTCGTGAAGCTCTGCGCGACAGGCGACGATGGGCTGTCGAGCGTGTCAGATGCGCGCCTGAGCGGCACGACGTTGATGCGGGGCAGCTCGGCGGGGGGCAGCGGCATGCCACTGATGGAGATCGTTGCGACGCCCGTGCTGCTCGAGCTGCTCCCGGAGTGGATCGACGCGGACCTCGATCGCGGCGGAGCAGCGTCGGCTTCGCGATCGCTGCCGATGGTCGAGGAAGAGTTCGATGGTACCATGGCACCCACAGTCGGTCGCGGAGAAGCTTGCGTCGGCGTCACTGCCCCTGCAACATTACTGCTGCCGGCCCCACTCGATTCAACCAAGTTCTTGTGGCTGACCTGCTCCTTGCCACATCCAAGCCCTCCCTGTTCCTTCCTCGTCTTCTGATCCTTCTTACCGAGTCCAAAGATGTCAAGGGCACTCTTGCGGTTTTTCTTGGACCCACTGCCAACCACGGACGCGCCGCCGCCGCCACTACCACTGCTGCCGATCGAGTTTCTCGGGCTCGTGAGCACCTTCGAGGCCCGCGAAAGGCTCAACGAAGCGACCGAGCGGCCGAGAGAGCTGGGCGATGAGTCGCTGGTTACCATGCCAGAAACAGAAGCAGAAGAGGCGGAAGTTGCAATCGCTTCCGGTGGCGCAGAGGCGCTGCCGTTCGGCGAGGGCAAAATCTGCTGCGCATCGACGGATGGCCTGTGCGCAGCATGGGCCGCTGGGTCCGATGGATCGAACGAGATGAGCGGCCTCTGCGGCGCCGATTGCCGCTGCTGCTTGGAGCGTGCGCTCTTGCCAGCTCCGCCAAAGAAGCCTTTACCCTTCTTGCCACTCTGTGCGGATGCTGCTGCTGTGGCAGAAGCAGCGGGGACAGGAGACATGGCCCGGTCCATTGAGCTGCTGTCCCTCCCTCCGGTGTAGTCCTCTGTGTCCTCAACAGTTTCGGTGTCGGTGTCATCATAATCATCTTCATCTTCAACATCATAATCATCATAATCGTCGTGACGATCGCCATCGTTGGCTGCAACCGAGTTCGATGAGCCGTGTCCGTGTCCGTTGACGAGACACGAACCGGGCAGCGAGGACCGCGCGCGCGCCTGCTCGAGCGAGGACTTGGGGCCGTTAAGCGCCGCGGCAGCGCTTTTGAGCAGGCTCCGCTTCTTGCCTAACTGGTCCGCGATCCCTCCGGCGCTGCGGCGTGGGGGTATGGCGCTGCGGCGGTTGGCGGGGGGGACCTTGTGCTCCCAGCGTGTGCCGCTGGGCCCGTCGCTGCCGCCATCGTCGTCTTCGGCAGGCGTGACAGTGACGTCCGGGATGGAGAAGTGGCTGCGGTCGCGGCGGTGCTGCGCGTGCTGGCGCGCGCGCTCAAGCTGTGACAGGTGCAGCGGCACCGACGCCTGCGACGAGAAGGCACCCGAAAGCGACAGCGACAGCCGCTGCGGGTCGCCAGGCAGCGTCGCGAGGCTGCTGCCTGCTGCAGCCGCGCCTGTACCTATAGCGGCGGCTGAGGAAAATTCAGAGTCAACAACGCCATCAAAGGCGTCATAGCCTGTCATGACTTTCACATTGGCTGCGTCGTGGAAGGCACCTGCGAACTCGTCATCTTCATCCTCATCCACACTGCTCTCGTCCCCGCTGATGGACGCCTCGTCGTGATCAAGCGCGGTGCGGCGGTGGAGAGGCACGTTGTCGTCGCTGTCACTGTCGCTTGCGTCGCTGTCGTTATCGTTATCACTGTCGTCGTCGTGCTGCCGCTGCTCCGCAATGCTATGCAGTGCGGCAGACGCAACGAGCGGCCCGCCGGACGCGTCCACGAGGTCGAGGGCTGAGTCACCGGCGGCGGCGTCATGCACGCCATCGAGCACGGCGGTCGAAGGGGGAGCGCTGCGTGCGCCCTGGCCCTCACCCTCACTTTGGCTCTGCTGGGAGCTGCTGCTGGACATCGTGCCCGCGTGCGTGCCTGTGGCACGCGAGCGCAGTGCAAGGATGGAACCTTCGACGGGCGCTGGGCAATGCAGCGAGCAGTCGCTGGCGCGCGCAGTGGTTGCGCTGCTGTCGTGTGACGCGTAGCCTCCGTGGCCGTCGAGGCTGCTGCTCGTGCTGCTGCCGTCGCTCTGGCTGCTCGTACTGATACTCGTTGGGGGAGCTGCAGGTACGCACGCACATGGGTGGGCGTGTGAATAGGTAAGCAGAGTCAGCTCGCGCTCACACTGGCTGCCACATGTGCTCTGTTGTCGTGTCCCACTCACGCCGTTGCTGCTGCTGCTGCTCGACGACAGGAGCCAAAACGCGCGGCCTGACGCCCGCGTCTGCGCCCTTTTCTGCTGGCTGGTTCGCCTTGGCGTCCGCCGACAATGCTGCCCTCGCCCTCGGCTTTGCCTTCGCCTTCTCCTTCGCTTTAACTTCCGCCCTGCCCGTGGGCTGGACGCGGGTTCCCGTCGTCGCGCCGAAGCGCAGCGTCCTTGCACGCGCGCTGCTGCTGCTGGGTGGAGAGCGATGCGAGCGGCGAGTTCCAGCGCGCTGCAAGCGGTGTCGAGCGCTTCGAATGGGGCGAAGGCGGAGGGAGAGGCGAGGCGCTCAAAGATGCTGGCGTCAGGATTGACCCGTGACGAAAAGAGTCGCTGTGATGGCCGTGCAGGGCTCGCTTCGAATGATGCTGTGCTGTAGCTGTCGAGGTATACCGTCCGAAGCTCGTAGATAAAAAAGGATCATGGTCTGCGCGTTCGCCGCGATAGACGATGGGCATGTAGCACTCTGGAGCTCACGACAGGTGGTTGATCTGCACTTGGACTCTGCACGATGGAGCTTTTCTGCTGATGATGGTAGGCGATGCAAAGGGAGGAAACGATGAAGAAGAGGTCAGATGGCTTGATTTGGAAGCACCGATGAATGAGGGACCTGTAGCATGCAGGATGATGATGCTTTCCCTTCTTTTCTTGGCAGCAGCAGTAGCTGTTTCCTGGGCAAAGGTATGACTCTGGGCGCCGACTCACACCAGCGCTGTCTACAGTCGATTACCCGTCCGGGTGCTGGTCCTGCTCCTGCATATATCGCTGAGCGGCGAAGAGAGGAGACAGGTAGACAGGGAGATGCGCAAAAGAAGGGCCGAAAAGATTTCGGGCTCTCGCTTGCAGCGCCAGCTTTCTGCTGTTTCTTGAGGGGCGTTACTTTGTTGCAGTGCTCGGGTCGAGGGCAAGACAGCACGCGACCTGCGCCAGGCTGAGAAGCTCGATCTGTATGTCTGTGCGGCCAGCGACGGCTGCAGACAGCGGCGAGCGGGCAACCGTTCGATCGATCGGTTCTTGACTCGACGTGCTTCCTTGCTTGCTGTACCCTGCCGTATGGCGGAGAAGAGAAGGCGAAGGATGATGATGGTGACAGGGATGGGCGCGTCGGCCGGGGTTTGGGGGCTTGCCAACGCTGTTTGACGTTGTTGGTGTCTCTGTCTCTCAGTGTGTGTGTGTGTGTGTAGTGCGCTGTGGTGCTCGCGCCAAACAGATAGTCACGTGGGTTTGCGAGAAAATGCTGCAGTGCCAGTCAGCCACCCAGACAGCGAAGGCCTTCTCTGCTAGGTAACAGCAAAAAGAAGAGCGCGCTGCTTCAGCCCTCCAGCACTGCACGGCACTAGCACTAGCTCCAGCACGCTTGCATCTGCATACCTCTCCTGCAAGCCCCCCAAGCCCCCAGGCGCTCAGCGCCCAGGGCCTAGCCAGAGAGGAGCGAGGAGCGAGGACAGAGGACTTGGCCTCTACAAGGTTAGGGCACTTGATCAGACTGCACACTGCGCCTTGACACTCTCGGGCCTCGGAACTGAGTCTCAAACAGGGGAGTCCCATTTGCTACGCTGTTCCGGACTCTGTCCTTCCGCTCCTCGTTGGACGCTACCCCAATGAGGACGACGGCCCGCACAGGAAAGGCGTCTGCCCTCTGTTGTAGTAGGGTTATGTGTTTGAACGACAGCTGGGACAACGACACGCACTCATGCGTGGCCAAAACGGGAGCCAGATCCATCTTTGCTCGCCCGTCTCATGTCGGCGGCCCATAAAAGGCCAGAGAGCGCGCTGCATCAGCAACGCTGTCTGCCTTGAACCCTTGGACTTTTCGTCTTTGGCCACGCCACGCTATGCTAGCCTCGTGAACTGGGTCTCTCACCGCCCGGAAATAACGCTGCGCATTGTGCCTAGCGCGCAGTGCTTCGCGCAAACGCTAGTGCCGGCGGCCTCACCCGCCGCACCTTGTCCGCTCCACGACGGGGCAGCGACGTCTCCGCATCCTCCGCTTAAAAGTGCTCGAAGACGACGACTCGCAGTCGTGCGCGAGAGAAGACATCGCGCCGTCCCCCCGCCGGGCTCATTCCCGCGCTCTGCACATCTCCCACAGTGTGTCCCATGGCGGGCTTCGCGCCCCGCGCTCAAGGTTGAGCAGCACGCGCACAGGGTCTTCCGTGGCCGAAACACTGGCGCTGGCGCTCGGATTGGCTGCGTAGCCTCGCTCTCGTTTCCTACACATGTATCAAGCAGAACGATGCAAGCGGATCCCATCTGTATGTTACAAGCGCTTTCCCCCGCGAATATCTGCATTCCGATCAGAATAAGGCTTCGTACTGTATGTGTGTGAGACGCACGCAATTCAGCATACTTCGTCGGGCATGCATGTGCCATGCTCAAGTGGACAGAGACTCACCTTTTCTATCTGCGTCGCTTGCATCGCTTCGTCATCCTCCTCATCCTCGTCGTCACTTTCCATTTCGCTGTCAGCCAGAAGCGTGCTCCCCTGCAGCAGCGGCAGCGATCGTGTAGGCCGTGCGGAGTCCTCCGGCAATGTCTCGTCCAGCGGCTCATCCCCCAGGCTTTCATCGCCACCCGCTTCCTCAGCGTGCGATGATGCTTCACTCTTCGGCGCACCGATCGTCACGATGGCTTGGTCCATCATTGCTGCGGAAGACCGAGGAGGCGTAGCACCTTCCATGTCGAGCTGCACGCCGAGTAGCTCGTTGCTTGCGTCAATCGGCAGCGGCTCGAATTCATCCAGATCCGCATGTGTCACATCCTTGGCGTTAGGCGCCTTCCCCGGAGAGCCCGCTTGTTCATGTAGTACTACCGCATTTGCGCTCGGGCTCATATTCCCGCCTGCATGTGCGCTACTGGCTGCTGGCGTTGCTTTTGGTCGAGGTCGCAGTCGCAGGCTGGAAGCCGAAGCAGCTGCGGCCATCGAGCCTTCCGCAAGCGTCTGTGCGATCGCTGCCAGCTCCCGCTGCTCCTCTTCCATTCTGCGTCGGCGCTCCTCTCCACCCTCCTCCTCGCCTTCCTCACGTTGCGCCCTTTCTGCAACGCCTGCTACTGCCTTTCTTCCAGCCACAGAGTGAAGGTACAGCTGTGACAGGAGCTGCGAACCAGGCTCTTTCTGCGGCTGCTGCGTTTGCGTAGCTCTCTCATAAGCCTCGAGTGCGTCAAGACCCGCTTTGTCCGCCTCCAAGTCATTCGCATCCGCTTCATCATCGAAGGGTATGCCCTCTGTCGCCATGGGCGCTGTGGTAGCTTGCGAGCCACCGCGGAAGAGCGGCGGTGCGTCGTGCTCTTCACTCATCCGGCGGGCATTGTCATTCTGCATCTGCGTAGACTCCATCGGCGTGCCCTGTTGAATATTCCCCACTCCTCGTGAACTCGAGAGACTAAGATGCTGCGAGGCCTGGCTTTCAAGCACCGTGCGCAGCGAGCCGCTGTCGAGCTTCGAGCCCCTCACTGAAGACGCATGAGCTCGCGCAGCACCATTGTCGTTCGCGGGCATCCACTGGCTTGTTGCTGCCCTACTCGGCACTGTGAACTGGCTTCTTCCACGACTGAGCACTTGGCCATCGCCGCAATTCGCGTTCGTCGCGGCGTTGTTGTCGGCGGGGGCAGCGGCTGCGCGAGCTCGTGTGGTGTTGGGATTCTGGCGTACCTCCTCTCCTGCTCGCGCTTGCGCAGTGCTTTGGTCGGCTGACTCGGTCACATCGTTGGTAGAGGTGGCGAGGACGGTCACAACGCGCGCCCCTTCGGATGTTCGCAGTTCGACAAAGAGCGGCTCCCCTCCCTCGCTGAAGCGCAGGTCGACCGGGACGCTGAGCGTTTCGGCAAGTGCTAGCGCAGCCTGCACCAAAACCGCTCAATCATGAGTCAGGCGTTTCGCACAGTGAACGGAAGCAGTTTGGCTCACCCTAAATTCCTTCAATGCAAAGGTCAGCAGCTCTTCTCTCTCGACGTCAAAAATGTCAAGATCGTCTATGGCTACCTTGAGACTTGTCTGAATGCCCCTCTTGCATTCCTCCTTGAGGGTGGGAAGGTCCTCATGTTTAGCTTTGAGCAAGCAGACATCATCGTAGCACCACAAGGTCACCTCGCCGAATCGCGTTGAAGTCGAAGCACTTAGAAATTGATCGAGCCATGCCTTTGACGTCTGAGGTGAAAGCCGGATCAGGTGGGGTCCCACAGTTCCCATAGGTACCAGCCCACGCCTTGCTTCATATGTTAGTGAATGTCGAATATTCAAATCTGCATGCGTAATGAGTAAGAGCATACAGTCAGCCGTCCAGCGTCCACGGTGACGTATGCTGAATGTATTTAACTGATGCGCACTGGTGTCATAATTCAGGCTAATCTCGATGCGGTTCTCGCGATCATCTTCTTTAATGTTCAGCTCGCATTCAATCAGCTGCTTGCTACTAGCTTTACTCCTGAAACAAGATTGGAATGTCTGCAGGAGAACAAATGTTAGAACTAGACACCAAGAGCCTACTTTGACGTTGGCGGCACTTAGACCTACCCTCGCGGCCATCTGCGCGTCAATCACTTTCGCCTTTGCGTCCTCGTCTGGTTCTATGAAGAAGCGGCCGAAGAAGCGCTCCTCTAGAAACACCTGACACAGGGCGGATCCGGAGGAGTTGATTACGGTGAAGCGGACCTGGTGGAAGAGCCTGGGTCAACGCTTGCCTCATTTGAGCGCTTGAATGGGAGCCTTGAGCGTCCCACCCACAAAAGGTGCCGTATTCGTGCTTGTCTCTCCAGGGTTGGCGTGCAGGGAGAGCACATCGCCGAAGCGATTGAGACAGTTGATCGCATGATTCAGAACTGCCCACACCAAAAGACGGCATTTATCCGCGTCAGCAGGAGTGAATACCGAACGTTAAATGGCACATTCTTGTACATCCAAAGACTGACATTTGAGCCCAGAATTGGGAAAGGCCGAATTCATGCTGCGTCGATGCGGGGGAACCTGCACATGGACTCGATGTGCTCGAGTCCCGGGTGATGTGAGTGCGTGCGCACCTTCCGGGCGTCAGATCTTATAGGGTCTGTACCTGAAGGGCAGCAATGGATGTCAAAACCCAGCATGAGAAAGCATCATGCCGCTGGAAGAGCGAGATGTGAGATCGATGAGACTCCATCAGCGGTATAGAAGCAAGTGTCACCCTGGTCATGGACTCATGCTACATACATACCAAACGAAAACTGAAGAGAGCAACACAATCAACACATGCGCAAGCGCGGTCGCTTATTATGAGTCTAGTTCTTTTTATAGTTCCACACTTCCAGAACCATTGTGATGGTGACAGGATGCGCGCCTAGTCTCACCTCTCGCAGCTGGCAACTTTTGATCCCCTCGAGATGAGCTTGCTCAGCGAAGCGTAAGCAGCAGAGAGTAAGACCGCGACATCTGGCTTGCGGCAAAAGCAGCTGTTCACATTGAAGGAAGCGAGAGTCCAAAGGCGTCGGTAAAGGCGATCCCGTCCTAATAGAAAGCGAGCAAACATGGCTGACTACGAAGCGTGCGACGAGTATGACCCAGCGTTTGACGCACATCACTACGATACGGCCGGCGATGAGTTCCAAGAGACTTTAGCCGACTCATTGGCCGGCTTGGGAGATGAGCTTGTAGGCATGGGCATCTCACAAGATTCACTCGGTGGTGTAGACGGTATGATGGGCCTGGGTGACTCGCTAGGCGCCGAGCTCGAGCACGAGCAGCAGCATGCAATAGCAGACGACTCGGACTCGGCCTATCATCACCTCTCGGCACCTGGCACACCGAAACGCGATCAGATCGTTCAGCGCCAGCAACACCAGCAGACATCAGGGGCAGGTCCGTCATCGCGACGGTCACAAACCCCCCAACGGACACCCCGAAAGGGGAGTGGCATGGAAAGCTTGGCAGACGAGCTAACCGGCACCACCTCGCCGGCACGACAACCACGCAGGGACAAGCAGCGCTTGGCAGAAGCTCTCAGAGTCGACCTGGACGAGGACAGCCCGAAGGCCCCCGCGCCTGGCGCTGATGGAGACTCGTTAGGCGCCGAATTGGGGCTGGCAAATGGCCTTGTTGCATCGATTGTGGACACGATAGACGAGTCAATGGAGGAAGCTAGAATCGCACGGATAGAAGCGCAACAAGAAGCGGTGCGGGAAGAGCTAGAAGAAACGCTACGAATGACCGATGCATTCTTATCCAAGCTCAAGGAGCGCAACACGATACGAGTGGCACAGCAAACATCATCAGCCTCGATAGTAACAGGCACAGCCCCGGATGACACAGGGGCTCTAGAAATCAACGCAGCTGCTATTCTCCGACTTCTTCAGGATACCACCAAGGAGCGAGAGGCACAGGTACGAGAGCTCAAAGAGATGGGTATTGCATTCGCGAGACCCGAGGCGGAGTGGCAGGCGGCGCTCGCAGACGTAGCTGGCATTGGTGACGAGGCAGATCAGTCCATCGATCGCTCAGCACTCAACCCAGAGGAAGTAGACTCGCTCGGCTTTGCGGCTATTGGCTCTTCCTCGGGCGACGTGATTCCGCAAAGTGATGGTGCCAGTGACATTTTCTCCTCGGGCCCACGAAGGGCTGTGCTCCCGTCTTCCACCGCGAGTTCCTCGAATAAGCACGCGTCGATGGCAGCAGCAGTAGTACAATATCCACAATCGCACAAGTCGACGACAGCGTCGCAGATGCACGACCTGCAAGCGTGCACCGAATCGCTCATTTCTTCGCTCGGCACAATGAACGAGCATGCGCAGGTGCACAGGGCCGCCATGAACGACGCATCGAGGAAGCTGCGCTCGTTGCGTGCTGTCCTGACGCAGTGGCGCACAGAGATCGACGGTGTTGCGCGCAGTCGCGCCTGGATCGAGGAGTGGGAGAGCAGTGACGGAAGCGGAATGCGAACTGAGTCGGTGCCTTCCGACCCTGCATCGACGACGAAAGTAGCGATAAAAGAGGCCATGACGCCTACGAATAGGAGACCGGAGGATATCAAGGCATGGACGCAGCAGCAGCTGGAACGATTTGAAAAGATCCTCGGCGATGCGGAAGTGAGAGCGAAAGAGCTGCTCAAGCCTATCAACATGCCTTCCAGCTTTGATGCGAGTATTTCAGCGGCGGCTGCAGCGTCACAGCAACATCAAGTTCCCATGTCGGCGTGAAGGAAACATCGATCATCCTCAAGTACAATATCCCTGGCACTATCACCTTCATCATTGCAAGACAAATCCATCCAATTCCAATTCAAGCGCACTGTAAAGTATATCCCGGTATCATCTTTGGCACAAGAATCGAACAATTAGACATCGACTGGCCTGCCATGAAGTCCTACGTGAATAAACACGCTGATACCTTATCGATTGAGATCTCCTCTGCTGCTGCCTACTCCGAGCTCGCCGCCCGATGCACGTCAAATTCCAATCGCGAGAACGTGGCGCACCTCAACGCTGACGTGCATCTCCCTCGTCAGTGTGAGCGTATTGTCAGCTCAGTGCTCGCTTCGCATCCCCTATCAAGTTGGACCGACAAACGCGCCGAGCGATGAATTCAGATACGGAAGCATCCTGGAGCACGCGGCAGGCGCGTACGTGGCGCTCTTGTAGCTCTGCAGCAGGTTGATGAGGCTTGCTCTGCGGGTAGGCTTTTGGCCTAGACTGCGTGTGCGGCGAAATGTGGGCCGCGCGGACAGCTGGTCGAGTAGCTCTCTGGTATGGACGGGTACAGCAGGAGCTCACAAAAATGAGCGCGTTGACGAAGGCGAGCTGCCTACACCATCGCCGTCACTATAGTAGCACATGCTCTCGTTTTCTAGTGCCGCGACAGAGCTTGAAGCGTTGGGGGTCTTTGACGAAGCGGATGGCGGTATGGAGTTGCAAGAGGTGTACGTGCCAGGCGACGTGTCCGAGCGGTTGTGATGACTGGTGAGGAGGCGGTCAACGTCTGACCATTCGTTAACGCCGCCACTGATGCTGTCGTTTATACGGACAGACGGCCGCTCTGAGCCCGTTACATCGAGCCATGCGATTTCCTCCTCTTCCCTTTCCTCCTCTTCCCTTTCCTCCTCCTCTTCAATCACTTTGTCGATCAAAAACGTCGCGGTGTATGGATGACTGGCAGCGCGGCCCAGGAGCAGAAGAGCCACACACTCGAACACAGATGTCGATGGCGGCAAAGAGGAGGGTATGGCGAGGGGGAATTGGCCGACGTCATGCTCACCGCCCCCTTCAACTGCATTCTTCCTTCCTGCACGCAGATTGGATGTGAAGTTGTGTCTATTCGGTTTGGCTGACGTATAGCTGGCCGAACGGTCACCGAGGAAGAATCGCAGCGCGGTCATAATGCTTGCAGCGGCTTCCTTCGGAGCGGAAGAGCGGGCGAGCTGTGCCTCGTTGGGAAAGGGGAGCGACAGAATTCAACCGAGCTTCCGGCTTATACGTCTTGGAGCGAGCTCGCCTCGGGAACCCGTCGCATTCGAAAGAATGAACGGCGTTGGCAGCTTTTTCATAAAGCTTGACGATGGCTGCTGCTCGCAACTGCTGAGATCGAACTTCGAAGGACTGCCCGACGCAAAGACAGCGTGCAAATAATCGGTCTGCTGACTACATTGTCATTATCGCAGGTCACTTGCCGAACGGGCGCACGGACGACTTCCTCAAATAAAGTAGATAAAGATGCGGTCGAACGACGCACGCCGAGCGTCCCGAACCTTGCCCTGAAGAGCCCAGCCACTGTGATGCTTATTCTGACCGTGTAGATCCTTCAGCGTAGTTAGCGATTAGGCTCATTGTCTCATCTAGTCGAGCAGTCGGGCTATATATCCGCAAATCCACAGCATGAGTCCAAGCGACGAGTAGTTCATACATGTGCACATGATTACCTAGTCGAGCCTCTCCGCTCTTGCCTCATGCATGCCTATAGGCAACTGCAAACGAAATCTACCGTACTTTTCCTTGAGCTGCTCGTGTCCATGCATCCGGCACCGAACTTCAGAGACGGTGCAAGCTGCAAATCGACACAAACAGCGAGTATCAAAGCTCGGTTCAAAAGGGTACACGGATGGGATTAAGCTACATTCGATCTGATCCTGACCTTTTGATCTGAAATGCGTGACGCGGAGCCCTATTGCGCTGATCAGCACTCTTTTTGCTGTGTGCGAGGATTCTGCCGACTTCCGGTATGCTCGTATGCCAAGAAAGAGTCGAGGGCTATTGTGTTTGCTGCGTTCGCATGAGCGTGCCGTTGCAAGAGCGATGCAACGTATCTGTGTGGCGTGTATGCATCCCTACTAGGCGTCAATTCACATGATTCACCGCGTGTGAGGGGAGAGAAGTGGTGTGTCCAAAGGATGCGTTGCAAATTGTACGACATCGTCGCTAAAGCCTCTTCGATCCCCCTGAATGAATTTTTTGAACAGGGTGCAATGAGCGATGCGGTGAACTGCCCGCATTGAAACTAGGATTGCGGGGGACCGATGCGGGGTATGCAGAAGAATGCGTGCAGAAATCACACAGCCGTTCGAATACTAAAAAGCAGAAGTCGTAAGCTGGCCTTCGGTCGAGAGACGATGGGATATGACCGTAGTCACGGTGTAAGGAAAGGCACAAGACGTCAGGTGGTGGATCTGGAGAGATCGCCGGTGTGTGTGTCACGATCATTGCTGATGCAATGATCAAAGAAGCTGACATTGCCGCCCGGGAAAAGCGATGGCGTAGGAAGCGGCGTGAAAGGCCCATGAACAAGCTGGTGCTGGCGACCCCCGTCATAGGGGTAGGTGAGAAGCCGCTGGCCGACGGTGTGTCCTCCTCAGCATCTGCTGTAGCGGAGGCACTTAATAGGATCGTCATCATTGTCTCAGCGAGGTCGCTGTCGACACGCTCAGGATACCCGGAGGGGCCAGCGGGTGGAGCGAGGGCCGCACAGGCGCCTTGTGGATCAAGGGAACGGTGAAGCGCCTGTGCGCGAAGAGGCCTTGCACGCTTGCGTCGCCAGCGCCTTCCTTCGGCTCGTCATTGCCCACACCCTCAATGCTGGACGTCCGGATATCCGGAGCCGACTCAGTCGTGCAGCTGTCCTCCTGTAGCGTGAGTGGGCGCTGTGGCTCGACAGTGGAAGAATCGCCAGCGCTCTTGTCAAGCTCGAAGCCTTGCAGAACAGCAGGCGAGCTGAGGCGGTGCGCAATAACAGCTTGCAAAAACTGCCCTGCTGCCGGCTGGTCGGACCTGAACTCCGTGTCAAGGTCGACTGGAACATGCTGCGCGGTCGGGTGCACGATCAGAGGCGCAACGTCGACGGCACGGATGGCGTCGGCAGTGGTGAGAGCCGGCTCGTCGAACGGGAACTGTGCAGCAGCTGGCATCGCCGCCTCGATAAGGTTCTCGTGCTGGTTCAGCTCGAATGTGGGCGAAATCTGCACGTCAACGATGCTCTTGTCGACAGCGAGATGCATGACAAGGGGCGTGCTGCCGCTGCTGCTTGGGTCATTGCTACCCCTGGGGGTGCTGTTTCCACCAAGCGTCGATCCCTCGAGGAACGAGTGCACACACCCGTGCTGATCGTCGTCGACTTTGGAATCCTCGACCCCAGCGGACATGGCAGACCTGACAGACGTGTCGTCGCACGAGGAGCTAGCATCATCAGATTCTCCCGACACGTCTTGCTGTTGCTGCGGCAGCGACTGGGTGTGGAACTCTTGGTGCTTCTCCAAGACGTTCGCGTTGATCAGAGCGAGAGATGAAGTCATGCCTGGCGTGCTGCTCATACTGTTGCTGTTGTTGCTGCCGTCGCCGCCGCTTGTGATGGAGATTCCGCTAGCATCGCTGCTACAGCTGCCGACACGGGCAACGATCTGGTCGATGCGCGTGTACGCCGCGGCGGACGTAGGCGCGGCGGTTGTGACACTGATGGGCGAGCCGGTGTTGTTGACCTTGTTCGTTCTGGTGACGAGGACCGCGCCGGCCTTCTTGAGGCTCTCCTTGGTCTGTGCTTTGAGCTGCTGCTCGAGCAGGCTCGGCACACAGATGCCCGGGTGTTCCTGGAATTGCTGCGCGAGCGCGTCTTTCTCGGACAAGTTGCCCGTGGTGCCAGACGCTGAGGAGGAGGAAAAGGACGACATCGATCTACTCTCGATCGCCGCGGCACGTGGTACGTAGAAAGGGCGCCGTGCAGAGCTGGGCGTGGCGGATGGAAGCGGCGGTATGACCTCACATGTGCGTTGACGAGACACGTAGCCGTTCCTTCCCTTCTCAATCACATCAGTCTCATGCTCCTCCAACTGGTCGCCGCCATCGACACGCTTCTCGAGCGTCTTCTCGAACGGCTCGAGCATAGGACTGGTGATGCTGATGGGGGGGACGCAGCAGGAAGCTCGGGCCGCGTCCGCCTGTTGCGCGAGCGGGCCGATAAAATGGAACATGTGCTCGAAGCGCACCGGCTTGCTCATGCACCCGTCGAAACCGGCCGCGCGGTAGACCTGCTCGGGCTTGGGGCCGACGACCGTGGTGACGGCGACGATGTGCACATCACGGTTGGCAGGCAGGATGCCCTCCTTGCCTGCGCGGATGCGGCGCGTGCAATCGCCACCGTTGAGGTAGGGCATCTGGATGTCGAGGAAGATGACGTCGTACACGCCAGTACGCAGAAGTTGCAGCGCTTTCAGGCCCGAGTCGACCGCGACGGGGGCGCATGCGAGCAGGTGTGCGAAACGGCGCTTCAGGAGAGTCGACAGGACTGAGGGGAGGTTGCGGTCAGAAGTCACTAAACAATACTGTTCCAAAGAGATGGAGAGGGACGAAGGCTCACTGGATAAATTGACCTGGTTATCATCGACCAGCATCACTCGGAGTCCGTGAAACGGCTGCGCTGGCGTGGAAGACTCCAAACCAATACTGCAAGAGTCTTCCTCTTCAGCATGCTGCTCGTTTGCGCTCATGAATGAGGGAAAGCCCGTTTGCACCATGGTGTCCACATCATCGGTTAGAGCGCGCTCGTGCTCTTTGGACCGTGCCTTTTTGGTGCCCTTGCCGATTTCCAGCTGCGGACTATGATCCTGCTCCTTCTGAGCTTGGAGAGATGAATCGCTTCGGGAAGCGTAGCCTTGGCGCTGCTCGCAGAGCAAAGGTTGAACGGCAGAAGGCGAAATGGTCAAGCCGACATTGCACGACGAGTGAGCTAGAGTTCGAGGTGGCAGCGACTTACAAAATAACAATTGCGGCTGGCTTGGGGGACCAGGTTGGATGGGCGAGCGAACGGTCGCTGGACCGTGCACAAATTATGGTTTCAAACTGCCGAAGAGACCGTGGGTGAGGATGCAACAACACCGTTGCCAACCTTGCTGAGTCAGATAGCTCGGTAACTATCCCAGTCGGTAGTACATAGCTGCCTCTGCACGGTACCGTGTTGTTAACCTCCGTACGTACTCTTGAGAGTAAATGGAGCGCCGTTTTGAAACCCCGGGAATGGGGGCGTCCTCACAGTGCTGAGTGAAGGGTGACGCCGGGAAGAAGGGGGGGACTCGAAGGTGGGGGGATCCCTGCGCAGAATTGTGCGACTGAAGGGCGGAGAAGATGGATACCTCTTGAGCTCAGAAGCTATGCAGCTGAAAACGAGTTGAGATCCAAGGGAGGTGGATGAGGAGATTGGGTGAGTGGTGCTAAAGATGGAAGCGATGCTTGCTGTCAAATGTAGGAGACGGATGGCGGTGAAGCGCTCATATCATTGGTGGCCACGACGCTGTTTATCTCGCCTTACCCCCTGCCGATGGCGGCGGCTGAACGAGCAGCTGGCTACTCCACGAATACACTACAAAGGAATCTCATCAGCTTGACTCTCGTACTTGACGCGTCCCGGATCTGGCATATCAGCTTGGCCACTCTCCTCTCAGCAAGGAGCTATGTGCAACCTCACCGGATCGAGTCAGCAACGCAATCTTTTTTGCAATGGTGCTCGGCTAAGTACCACAAGACTGTTTAGCCTTCGGCCTGTTGACACGGCCAGGAGCTCAGCAAGCAATGCGTAGATAACTGCAAGAACAGAGGCCGCAAGGGCCACCACCGCACTCCATGGCTCGCCATGGGCCCTATCACCGACACACTCGATGCGCTGCTGAGAGAGCAGCGCGAAAGCACAAGCGCCAACGGGGACAAAAGCGGCGCTGTTGGCTCTGCAGTGTGGGAAGTGACCAGTATGGACATCATAATGTTCTGATTGGACCCCGTTGAGCTAAGATCATGGGGCTCGGAGGCACGCCTGTCTCACAGCATGTGAACTCAAGAGGAGCGGAGAAACTGATAACGGGAGCTGGGCGAGCTCAAGCCTCAAGGCTGCGAGCTGAGGGTGCAGCTGACGATCCAAGACAATTGCGAGACTTGTTGAGGGCCTTGATTGTATTTAATAGCTGTCCCTCGCTGCATACTCTTTGTGGCGGATCGATGGATCGAAATCTTGGTTCTCGAAAGACGAACGAGGTTGTGTTGTTGGGATCATTCTTGAACATATGAGATCAGCTTTAGATTGCTGAGACGCAACACTGGAGGCAGGCAGCCCCTGTGGCAGTTGGAGGGATTGCGCCATGGGCACAGTCTACTGATAATCTAGTATGGGGGCACTCAGACGGGCCTTTCTGATGCGGCTGGCCAAGACAGCCGCCCAGGCTTTGTTATAGCACTTGCCCGGTCCGGTCATCCGGGCGTTCTTTTTTCTTTTTGGCCATGTAGCCTCGCAGCTTATCGTCCTTGGTCTATCCTTTCCCGACGCAATTAGCCAAAGGTTATGTGCGCGATGGACTACATATCTGGGCAAACTTGGACTATTTTGTGAAATATTGACATTCCCTTGCTTGGATCGGGCGTGACTGCCTTCACCCAATGCGCCGGAGGCCAAAGTCGTCCTTCTGTCAATGCTGAGGAGTCGACGCGATACAGTACGACCCAGGAAGGAAGGTGTATGTTTGTATGTGAGACCTCCCTGGTCAAAGCTGTAAGAAAGAGGGGAGAGAAGGGGAGGGAGCGGGGACAAGAGCGACGGCTTTTGGACGTTTTGGTCCAATAACACTCAGCTAGAAGCGTGACGCGGCGGAAACATGCATCGTTGCAGTAACCTAACGGCAAGCCACATCCCACCACACCGTTTCCGCGCCCATGCCGCAAGCGCCAAGGAGGCTTCTTCGCCACCGCAGGCCATTTTGACAAGCAGGAGAACGGAAAGGCCCCCGCTCCTTGTCACTAGGCAAGCAGCATCGCATAGGACGCCCAGAGACTGGCTGGTGAAAGGAGGATGCGTGGTCTGGGGTGCTCCCAGGTAGCCACTCCGCGCAAAGAACCCGGCTCTTCGTATGCAAGAACATATATATGCATCAGTTGCGCTTCACACTCAGCACCATCTCATGCCCTTGATGCCGCGGGTACCCCGGCGCATTCCACAGTGATCGTGTGGCGACAATGCGAAGATGCAAAAAGTCAGAAGCCGGTAATGTTGCAGCGGTTCTTCTAAACATGTTGCAAGGGTTTCATGATTGCGGCTTGACGCTTGTTGTTGCTTCATTAAAGACACGCGAACATCGACATGCTCGCTGGCGCACCTTTCGCACCAACCTTGGGGGCCGTGCGCATTGGGACGCGGAGTCTCACTTTTTAAAAGGAGCGGTAACGTACAAGAAGTCTATGTGAGCTCTCGCAAAGCGACCGTGCGGAGCATGTACCTGTGCCGCTTGCCCAGCTGAAGGTTTTGATGCAAGCATGGATCGTCAATGACCTGTGCGGTATGAGAGACTGGGAGGGCGAGAGAGAAGGCGGAGAGTGGTGGCATATACCAGACGCGTCGATGCGTCGTGTGATTCCATGACGCAACTCGCGGCCGGAAAGTGAGGAGTCACGGGCCTACTATCCGCGACCTCGACCGAGCAGCATTCTCGGCTTTAAATGTACTGTGCAATGCAGAAAAGGGAGGACAGGTCAGAGTTCTGGAGCCAGAACATTGCACCACGGCTGCAGTGCTCACTTGGCCAAAGAACGGAATGAGTGTCTGTGCGAGCGTGAAGCTGAACACGAGCTTTGGCCCGACGACGAGGATCTTCGGGGTAAGGCCCTTGAAGAAGGCACCCATACCCTCGTGCTTGACCATGTCTTTAATGATGGTCACGCCACTCTGGTTGGCCTCAAAGTTGGCATTCTGGATGCGCGTCTTGACGACGTCCAGTGGCGCTGCGACGGTGATCGATGCGACCGCGCCACCAATGGAGGCGACAAAGTTCTGCCCCCACGTTGCGTTGTTGAAGTCCTTCAAGCCGAACATGTACTCCTTGGTGAACGCGCTGCCGCCAAAGAGGGCGAACGAGCCAGGCGCGTTGCGCGCGGCGGTCCATCCCCAGCCGCGGTACAGCGCAAAGCCCTCGTCAGCGACGATGCGCAAGAAGCCTCGCGATCGGAAGGCTTCAGGGTTGGTCTGGCGCTTGATCTTGAGCACGTCCAGCGGCAGCAGAACTATCTCTCCGATCCCAATCAGCGAGCCGGCTGTGGCAGACATGAGCGACTTGCCGTTGCGCTCGCCGAATGTCCGTGTGAACCACGCCTTGTGGTTGTTGGTAAGATAGTCATTTGCGTATGGTTGCCCGCCAAACTTGTACACCCGCTGCAGAACCTTGTAACCCGCTGCGTAGCCGAGGCCGGGGAAGAGTGAGAGGAACTTGGCTCCCGCCGGCGCCGATGCCTTTTCTTTAAAGATAACATCGGTGATCTGCAACAGGAAAGAACGTTTCAATATGCGAAAGCGCGGGGATGCTCGCGCGCGAGAGCATGGCCGAGACCCGGTGCGCCTTCGGACTGCGATAGAGCACTTCATCGCCTTCACCAGTTCACCATTGCGCCTGAAAGACTTTCTACAGGATCGCAAGACCGAAAGTTACGCACCTGTGCACCCTTGACCTTGTTGCTCATCAACCTCTTAGCGACAGTGTCTACCGGATGGAAGACAAACAGCTCTGCAATGCCTGAGACACCAGAGCCCAGGATACGCGCATTTGCGGATTCCTTGTGCTTGCCGCCTGCTGCCAATCCGGGCGCCATTTTGATGTATGCCGCCGTTACTTTTGATGAAGATGCTAAAGGAGCCGCACTACGCCTTCAAGAGAAAGCAGATGGGGGAAGACCTAGGCAGGATGTAGATGGGAAGGTGCGGTGGATCCGCGCTGGATACCCCGTAACGAAGGCTTACTGGTGTACCGCTAGTGACCTCGCGAATAAGATTTTCCGGCAGCTTCCGAGCTTCTGGATAACAAGCTGAGCCAGGTGATACCACTTGCGATCCGTACGTGCACCGATGCAATGAGGTCGATGTGCGTTGTGCAATGCATAGCTAGCTGCCTTCTTCTTGCTGTCTTCGCCAATCGCAGATACCATCCAGATTTTTTTTGGAGAGCGGAACAGCTGGCACGGGCACGAGAGCTGTGTCTTCACTCCCAGCTACTTGACACATACACCCATCGACGAGGGAACGGAGATGTCAGAGCGAGCTCATATCCCATCGAAGAAACACCCGACCACAACAACTAACAAAACAATATGGCATCAATTTGGGTACCCTGGCATACCAGAGGCCTCGGGTATTGAGACCCTTGAAGCAAAGTCGCGGCTTAGCTCCTTGCAATCATCAAGGACTCAGGGGGGTCGAGCAACGCAGCTGCAAGATTCAAGGCTGTTTTGTTGGTGCAATTTTGAACACCGACTGCCCTTTCCTCGTGGATCGTGTGTCCGAAATGTTGGCAACGCAGGAACTGCGTACATTCCGGACGAGGCTTCGCACGACTTGCTGCCGCATCTGATACCTGATGCTGGACTCGGTAGGAAGAAGCAAAGAATAGAAAGCCCTGCCGTGTCCTTTCGTTTGGGCAGCCAGATGGTAATACACTCTTTGGTCGAACTAACGTGAGCGCACCGTGGTGTGATTACCTGCAAATCTCCGAATACATCCCGTGTACCACATGCAAGTCAGGCACGAGCATGAAAACCTACCCGATTCGAGCTGTCAGTGATCCAGCGCATCTGGATCTGCGGTATGTTTCGCAGCAGATATGTGCTTTCTGCAGCGATGCACAGTATTTAATGAGACGGTTTGCACTATCATGGTTGGCTCGTTTATCAAAATAAAACTCCATGTCGCTTTGCCATCCATCGCTCCATTTGAAGCGCTTCTATGCGTTCCTGGGCCATCAGTTCCTTCCTGTCACTGTTATGTTGATATATGATTTGTATCGAGACCTTCAATGAAGAGGACCCTTACTGATTCACACTGGCGTGTGATGACGTCTGCATGCTCGCTCGACTCACACGGAGATGCGAGAGTCCGGGCTCTGTAGTGACGAGTTGTCCAAGTTGATGTGCGTTGGTCGTATCCAGCCGGGAGAACAAGCTGAGGCTACATTTGGGGGGAGGGGGTCAGCGAGCCTTGAATTCGTTCAACCTTCCGGCAATACCTGCTTTCCCCTCCGAGCACCTCCGCAACAGCCAAGAGTCCATGCGTTGGTTTGCTATAATGATTGCTTCTGACCAAAAGAGATGTCAACTTGTTGGATCACATTAAAGAAGAGACCCTCTTTGATCTTGGTGTCGAGAAAGGAGAGGTCAGGCTGTTCTCAGACTGATAAGAACCCGCAACTCTCTCCACCGGACCGGGTTCTGAAGATTTTAGTCTCCTCCAAACCGACTGACTGCGCCTTCGTCGACCCCCAACTATATTTACTTTCCCCTTGAAACGTTGTGTGTGTACACTTTGCTGCTGACATTCATACACTGGCATACCCTGTACACCGTAGTCCACTTCCTGCACAAGCGTCGCTTCAGAGGGATAACCTGAAGGGCGCCGTGCAAGAACGGCGACATGTCGTTTACTTCGCGCTACTCCTCGTCTCCTGCTTCCGTCCAGCGTGACTACGGGCTGCTGCAAGCTCCCTCAACCTCTTATCGTCCATTCCAAGGCTTAGAGGATGATGTGTCCGAGGTTGACGCAGAAGAAGGGGAAGGCGATGTTGACGACGCCGACGATGTACTCGAAGCTGGATCTCGCCGAATCTCTAGATCACAAAGGCAAGGACGTGGCGCGCGGCAAGCGCGACAACGATACAGCAGCGCGTCTCTCTCACAGTGCAGCGTTGCAGGCAATGAAGAGTCGCTCTCGATAAATGGTGCAGATGAACTCGACGATAGCAACGCTGCCGACGAAGATGGAATATCAAATATCTCATTCGCTTCGCCGAATCCAGCAGCCAATGCCCCCGGCAGCCGCCTCCGCCGACATTCTCCTGCTCAACGTGTGGGATCTATGCAGCAACAGCGCAAGTCATCCAGGTCGAATCTTACACAGAGCACGGCGAATGGGACCACGGAAGACGGGTCTGCACTGGCAGTAGATTCTGATGCTCGAAGTCTGGCGAATCGTGCGCGTGGCATCCTTTTAGGCGGTGAAGCGCGTCCTCCGCCGATTGACATCCTCCAAGTGGAGGAGCAGGCGCTTGGACAAGATGCCAGTGACCTCATATCGCCAGGAGTGCGGCCACTCTCCTCCATCTCTATATCTAGTGGATCCCCGACGCCTGTGTCCCCGCGCTTTGGCTTCACTAGCTCGGGTTCTTTGACGCCTGCGCTGGCTCCCCTCTGCGCGGCCGCAGCCGTAGGGGCTCCCACTGGGCCTGGTCAGCCTCTTCTCTCGCCCACCTGTGCACTTTGGCAGGCTCCGCTGCCCGCACGCGAGGACGTGGCGAAATGCATCGAAGAGCTCAGTGTGGACGGCGCCGCAAGCGAGCTGGATCTCGAGGCTGCGACTGAAGCTGGCTCACAGGCTTACGCGTCAGGCACGGCAGTTACCGAGCGCACGCCTTTGCTCGCAGCCTCCAGCGGTCCTTCGAGCAGCACGCACCACGGCGGAGAATCAATCCAACCGCTTCCGGGCATCACCGATGCGATCCCCGGTACGACTGCTGCACCCACTGCCGCTTCGCGTACTCGCGAAGTGAAGGTACTTGTGGGATACAGTCTACCCGTTTGGGGCACGCATCTGCTGGAACTCTCGCTCAATATCGTTACCGTATTCAGCCTAGGCCATCTCGGCACAAAGGAGTTAGCTGCCGCTAGTCTTGCGAGCATGACCGCAAATGTCACCGGCTTTTCCATCCTTTCGTGGGTAGCGAAGGCGCCTTTCGAGACAAAGCTTCACAGCCAAGCTGACCACAATTTTCCCTTCTGCTCGCCTGCAGTGGCTTTGTCTCTGCACTCGATTCACTGCTGCCCGCTGCATACGCCAGCGCGAGCCCATGGACTGTTGGCTTGTGGACGCAGCGCATGACGATCATCACCGCCTCACTTCTCATCCCGATCAGCGCTGTATGGTGGGCTGCCGAGCCCCTCTTACTTGCATTAGGGCAGGATGCTCAAGTTGCGGCGCTGGCGGCCAAGTACCTCTTCATTCTGTCCTTCGCACTGCCCGCCTATGCCGGGTTCGAGACGTCGCGCCGCTACCTGCAAGCACAGGGATTGTTCACCGCGCCGACGATCGCGGTCTCCATCGCGAGCGTGATCAATGTACCGCTCAACATCCTCCTCGTCTACGGTCCGCCGTCGGTCTGCCTGGGCTTCGTCGGAGCGCCTATCGCCTCGCTGATCTCGTATTACCTGATGCTCGTGCTCGGCCTGCTGCAGTGCTACATTGCGCCACGACAGGCATGGGGCGGCTGGTCCTGGCGTGCACTCGATTTCAAAGGGCTGGCCGTGTGCTGGCAGCTGGGCTTCGCGTCGACTACGGCCATGGCGGCTGAGTGGTGGGCGTGGGAGATCACCGGGCTGCTCACCTCATGGCTTGGGACTACGCCGCTGGCGGCACAGTCTGTGCTGCTCGTCACGAGCAGCATCACGTACCAGCTGCCGTACGCGATAGCCGTCGCTGGAGCTGTGCGCGTCGGCAACCTGCTCGGCGCGAACAAGCCCGCGTATGCGCGGCTCAGCAGTTCCACCTCGCTCTTCATTGGGCTTGCGAGCGGCGTGGCGAACAGTGCAGCGCTCGTCAGCCTGCGAGGCAGCTGGGGATGGCTCTTCAGTGGAGACAAGGAGGTGGTAGATCTTGTCGCGGACATTTTGCCGTTCGTGGCTGCTTTCCAGGTGCGTGGGTTTCCCAATACAGAAACTTATCTTCTCGTGCCATGAACAATGGCTGCTTGCTGACCTGGCACCGCTCATCAGATCTTTGATAGCATCTGCGGTGTCGGAGGTGGCATCCTGCGTGGTAGCGGCCGGCAACACTTGGGCGCATACATCAACCTGGTCAGCTACTACCTCGCCGGGATTCCGGTGTCGATCCTCCTCCTTAAGCTTGACTGGAGACTGGAAGGCATCTGGTTTGGCTTGACGGTCGGCCTCGTACTGGGGAGCATCGGCACCACATGGGTCATCATGCGTACGGTGAGTGCTTCTGTACGTTACTGCTACAGGTTCAAATCGCTCAACTGACTCGCCATTCCTACCTCTGCTCGGGATAGGACTGGCACGCCGAGGCGCGCAAGGTACAGGAGAGGATGGAGGCAGATACCGCACCGCAGGTTCATGCGATCGTAGAGGGTATTCCTGCATGAGTTTCAGCGAAGAGAACTGTACACGAGAGCATCTCCATCTGCTTCCTGACAAGGCATCTGCAAATACTGGCCCAGCACAAAACGCCACGATCACGAAGATCATGATCGGGTACCACATAGCATGCCTTGTAAGATTAGCATATTCGTATATATGGATATACCTGTTGCCGGTGTTCGCAAAACGTAGGGTTGCTGTTGCCCCCAGGCCTCTCGAAGAGTTCAACCACGTGCGGAGAGCAGGCGTGGCGACAGGGGGCACCTCTCCACTCCACTCCACTCCACTCTAGCGCTGGTACCTATCATCAACACCTTGGACTGCTGGGATGCAGTGCCTCGAACCCCCATCTCCACTCCAGCTTCATAATACCTTAAGTTGAACCCGTGGCCGCGCGCGCCCGCCATCTCCCAGCCATCCTACATTCTTCCATTCCATTTATCAGCTCCAAACAAGAGCATGTATGCATGCGTGACCAGATCACCACCAACAACCTTGGGGGATCGACAGCTCCAGCTCGATGTTGCTTGGGCCGTCTCAGCCGCCAGCGTCCTCTGCGAGATCCACCTGCTAGAGACGACTATAGAGCAGAACCCCAGGGGATAAAGTACCTACATCCTGTCCACTGTCCTCCAGCTTTCACTTCGTAGCTGGAGGCAGTCACCCGCCCAGCACCTGCTTGCAGGTTCTCCTCACCTTGTTGGACTACCGCCCGTGTCAGCGGAGTGCCTGCCTGGATAGCTAGTTAGCTGGTGACCGGACCTTCGCTGCCTATCGACAGATCTGCCCGGTACCGGCTCGACGCTTCGCTCCTTCCCCTCTTCCCGCTCTAAATTCGCTTGGCTGGGCCACGACGACCCTTTCCTTGCACATTACAAAGAATCATCGCAGTTGCCAAGATGTCAGCCCCAAACGGTCCATCGATCTCCAACCCACTCTCGGCCTACGTACCGGGTACCAAGGCTTGGTTCCCGGACAAGGATCAAGGCTGGATCAGCGCTACGCTCATCAAACCCGCGTCACCCTCTTCGTCGGATGACGTCGTGCTCGAGTTCACACTTGACGAGACGGGTCAGCCGCGGACGGTCAAGACGACGCGCCAGAAGATTGATGCGTTCAACAACAACGCCGCGGCGGCTGCCGCCGGCGGATTGGCCGAGACAACCACCGGGGGCAGTGCGTTGCCTGACGGACAGCTGCCGCCGCTGCGAAACCCTCCGATGCTCGAGGCGACGGATGATTTGACTAACTTGAGTTATCTGAACGAGCCGGCTGGTGTGTGCCTCGCACAGTTCCCTCTCTAGTGACAAGGAAAACTGATCAACCCTCCGCACCCTGCGCATAGTCCTGCACACCATCCTCAATCGATACTCGCAGCGCAACATCTACACCTATTCAGGTATCGTCCTGATCGCCGTGAACCCGTTCTACGCTTTGAACCTGTACTCGCCAGAGGTCATCCAGGCGTACAGCGGCAAACGGCGCGGAGAGCTGGAGCCCCATTTGTTCGCCATCGCAGAAGATGCGTACAGGTGCATGATTCGTGACGAGAAGGATCAGACCATCGTCGTCAGTGGTGAATCGTGAGTCTTTCCCCCCAATGCCCCCCTCTCGTTTGCTTTTGCTCACTCGAAACTGCACGCTCATGCCTTGCCTTGACACACTATCACAGAGGAGCCGGAAAGACCGTCTCGGCCAAGTACATCATGCGGTACTTTGCAACTGTCGAAGATCCCGACCGGCCGACCGGCGTGTCAGCACGCAAAGCCTTGCCCGGCAACGCTGCAGCAGCGGCCGCCGCCGCTGCCAACTCGGCCGCCACGGCGAACGGGGGCATGAGCGAGACGGAGCAGCAGATCCTCGCGACTAATCCGATCATGGAGGCTTTCGGTAACGCCAAGACGACGCGGAACGACAACAGTTCGAGATTTGGCAAGTATATTGAAATCCTCTTTGACAAGAAGCACGTCATTGTTGGCGCAAAGATGCGGACTGTGAGTGCATCTAGCGGTGCTTTACTATTGCAAAAAGGCTGCTGATACTTCCCGTGCCTTCGCCTTTACCCTTGCATCCCACAGTACCTGCTTGAACGATCTCGTCTCGTCTATCAGCCAGAGACCGAGCGCAATTATCATATCTTCTATCAACTCTGCGCAGGCGCACCTTCTTCTGAGCGAAAGGACCTCGGTCTGGAGGACGCCAAAGCGTTTCACTACCTTAACCAAGGCGGCGACACGGTCATCGCGGGTGTCAATGATGCAGAAGAATTCCGCGCGACACAGAAGGCGCTGTCCACCGTCGGCCTGACGATCGAGAAGCAGTGGCAAATCTTCCGGTTGCTTGCGGCGCTCTTGCATCTCGGCAATGTCCAGATCACCGCCACGCGCAACGACTCGATGATCGCCGAGGACGAGCAGAGCTTGTTCATCGCGTCTCGCATGATCGGCATCGACACGTATGAATTCAAAAAGTGGATCGTCAAGAAGCAGCTCACCACGCGGGGGGAGAAGATTGTCAGCAATCTCAACCTGCAGCAGGCGATCGGCGTGCGCGACAGTGTGGCAAAGTACATCTACTCGAGCCTATTCGACTGGCTCGTCGTCCAGATGAACCACAGCCTCGCGCTGGGATCCGGATCGACGCGCGATAGAATGATCGGCGTGCTGGACATCTACGGCTTTGAGCGCTTCAAGGTCAACTCGTACGAGCAGTTCTGCATCAACTATGCCAACGAGCGTCTGCAGCACGAGTTCAACGAGCACGTCTTCCGGCTCGAGCAGGAGGAGTATATGAACGAAAAGATCCAGTGGACCTTCATCAACTTTAGCGACAACCAACCGACGATCGACATGATCGAGAGCAAGCTCGGCATCCTCTCGCTGCTCGACGAGGAGTCTCGTCTACCATCCGGCTCGGATGGGTCTTTCCTGACCAAATTGTTCACGCAGCTTGACCGCAGGCCCGAGTTCAAGAACTCGTTCAAGCATCCGCGCTTTGGCAACTCTAGCTTCACCGTGTGCCATTACGCGCTGGATGTCAACTACGCAATCGAGGGCTTTCTCGAGAAGAACAGGGACACCGTGCCGGACGAACAGCTTGCGCTGCTGCAGTCCACCACCAACCCTTTCCTCAAGGAGGTCTTCGATGCTGCGTTCGCCGCCTCTCAGGCCGCCAAGGAGGCGCAGCAGCAGGCAGCCGAAGGTGCAGCGGCTGCCACCAGCGGTGACAAAGGCGCTGCTGCGGCTCCCGCCCCAGCCCCCGGCCTGCGGAAGGTTGGAGGGATCGTCAAGAAGCCGACGCTCGGTTCGCAGTTCAAAGCCTCGCTCGTCAGCCTTATGGACACGATCGACAACACAAATGTCCACTACATCCGCTGCATCAAGCCCAACGAGCAGAAGAAAGCCTGGGCCGTCGAGCCGCAGAGCGTCCTTGGCCAGTTACGTGCATGCGGTGTTCTCGAGACTATCCGCATCAGCTGTGCCGGCTACCCGAGCAGATGGACCTTCTCCGAGTTTGCCGCGCGCTACTACATGCTAGTCCCGTCGCAGCAGTGGGACATGTCTAGCGAAGAGGCCGCCCGGCAGCTTTCGTCCGTCATTCTCAAGTCTGTCGTCAGCGAAGATGACAAATACCAGATTGGGCTCACCAAGCTCTTCTTCCGCGCCGGCATGCTCGCGCACTTTGAGCAGCGCCGCACGGACCGCCTCAACCACCTCACCACGCTCATCCAGAAGAACCTGCGACGCCACGTGTACCAGAAGCGGTACCAGACCATGCGTACCAACTCGGTCAAAATCCAGTCGTGGTGGCGCATGAAGCTCGCCCAGTCCTATGTCGCCGAACTACGCCTGCAGACGACCGCCACGCGCCTGCAGACGGCCATCCGCGCGCATCTCGCACGCCAGCACTTTTCTCAGGTCCGCACGGCCATGGTCCGGTTGCAGGCCCTCATCCGCGGCCGGCAGGTGCGGGCGCGCTTCGCGCAGACCCGCACGCACTTTGCCGCCACGCGCTTGCAAAGCCTCTTCCGTGGCGTGCTGGCGCGTCGCCAGCTGCGCAGGAACCGCCAGGGCATCATCCTCATCCAGTCGATGCATCGTCGGCGCCTGGCCAAGCGCGAGCTCATCGCGTTGCGCAACGAGGCGAAGAGCGTCAAGCACTTCAAGGAGGTCTCTGGTAAGCTGGAGAACAAGGTCGTAGAGCTTACGCAGAACCTCCAGAAGCGCACACGCGAAAACAAGGAGCTCGTCGCCAAGATCCGCGCACTCGAGGCGCAGGTCGCGCAGTGGCAGGGCAAGCATGATGAGCTGGATGCCAAAGCGAGGGTGCTGCAGACCGAGCTCGATAAGCCCAGCGTGCCGCATGCCGAATGGCATGAGCTGCTGATTGCCAAGAAGGAGGTGGATGCGAAGCATGAGGCTTCACTGCGCCGCATCAACGAGCACGAAAAGCTCATCGCGCAGCTCCGCGAGGAGGCCGCCAACCACGCACAGGAGCTCGAAGCGCGGGAGAACGCGATCGCCACATCGGCCAAGACGTCTGAAGAAGACATTGCGCTGATGAACTCCCTGCGTGCGGAGATTGGCGCTCTCAAGGAGCAGCTCAACCGCGCCAATGCGCTCAATACGCTGCAGAAGAACTCGCAGCGCATCGAGAATGCTGCTCCGCCTGTATTCAACATGGCTACAGGTCGGGAGAACGGCTACGTGAATGCTCCAAAGAGACGTGCCAGGAGACATAGCGAGGCCGAGGCGCTTGAGCAGCCGATGAGCATGGGTGATGACGAGGATGTCATGGCGGCGGCCAAGCGGAGCGCGGCCATCGCAAACCGCCATGTGTCCGTTGCCTTTGGTACTGATGGTCAGATTCCTGGCTTTGGCCAGCGGGGTGTTTATGACGAGGACTATGATGACGACCCCTCGGAGGAGATCATTAAGATCCTCGAGAACGAGGAGCAGCTCGATGAAGATGTGCTCAACGGGCTCATCCGCTACCTCAAGATCCCTGCGCCGAGTTTGCAGAACCCTCCGTCGCCCAAGGAGGTCCTCTTCCCAGCACATCTCATCTCGCTCGTTACGAACGAGATGTGGAAATATGGCATGGTGCGCGAGAGCGAACGATTCCTGGCCAACGTCATGCAGACAATTCAGCAGCACGTCATGAGCTTCCAAGGCGACGATGCGATCGTGCCCGGCATCTTCTGGCTCTCCAACGTCCATGAGATTCTTTCGTTCGTCTGCATCGCCGAAAGCGATATGCTGCAAGGCATCGGCCCCGGTGCCGATGGCGCGGCAAGGTCTTTCGAGTGGGGAGACTATGAGCGTCTGGTTACCATCGTCAAGCATGACTTGGACAGTCTCGAGTACAACATCTACCACACTTGGATGCAAGAGGCCAAAAAGAAGCTGCACAAGATGGTCATCCCTGCGCTTGTTGAGTCGCAGTCGCTTCCTGGATTCGTAACGAGCGACGGCGGAGGAGGTCGGCTCTTCCGCGGCCTGCTCTCGGGCGCTACGACACCACCGTACGCCATGGACGACATCTTGGCGGTGCTGAACAAGGTCTGGAAGAGTCTTAAAAGCTACTATGTTGAACCCTCCGTCACGCAGCAGGTCGTCACTGAGCTGCTAAAGCTGATTGGCGTGACAAGCTTCAACGATCTCCTAATGCGGCGGAACTTCTGCTCGTGGAAGCGAGCCATGCAGATCCAGTACAACATTACGCGTATCGAGGAGTGGTGCAAGTCGCACGACATGCCTGAAGGCACACTGCAGCTTGAGCATCTCATGCAGGCGACCAAGTTGCTGCAGCTCAAGAAAGCTACGCTGGGCGATATCGACATTATTTACGACGTCTGCTGGATGCTGACACCAACGCAGATCCAAAAGCTGATCAGCCACTACTATGTCGCTGATTATGAGAATCCCATCTCGCCAGAGATCCTAAAGGCTGTCGCTGCGCGGGTCGTGCCCAATGACCGCAACGATCACCTCCTGTTACCACCAGAAGTCGACGAAGCTGGTCCCTACGAGCTCCCGATACCGAGGGAAGTGACGGGTGAGTAGCGTGTCCGTTCTGGACTCTGCCCACGTAATCCTAAAGGCTGACCCGATTTCTTGATCATCATCGTAGGCATCGAGACGTACTGCCCCGCATACATTTCGGTTCCGTCGATCAGGAGACTGGCATCCAAGGTTGCATAATGACGGTGCAGAGCACACTGTAGATTACAATTTGGTCATCACGAATGGATCTGCTATAGGTCTTGACTCTTGATGTGCTGCTCGCTAGGCCGGACAATGCCCAGGCTGCCCAGCCCGGCTGTGGTGAACGTGAGCCGAAAAGAGCAGACGGTGAGTCCCTTCGGAGAGAGCGTGAGACCGACCAGCGGACGACGCGTCGACTGATTAGAGCAAGACTATGTACGGGACTCAATGTTAGGGTTGTGTGATGATGGGCTCCAAGTATGAGAGTGCAAGCCGAGTGGCCTGTGCGCTGATGGGTTGAGATGTGGCAATGCCAATAACACCCGGATCGAAGGCCGTCTTTCATCGATGGATCAGCAGCTCCCCCTCATGCCACTTGGATGGCTATGGTATGTGGGTGGCGATGCTTGCACTCTGGTTCAATGAGGAATAGCTCGGTACGGAGTAAACCTTGAAACGTGTCACTGCCTGGATCATACCAAATGATTGTAGGACCATCTATGCGCTGCGCCGCGCAAGGCCTGGGTCTGCGGCTGTCGTTCCCCGCCGTTAGCGCATCGACCACGCAAGCGCTCACGCTGCGCCATGCCGCTGCAACCCCGTTCAGGCAGCGAACGAAGCCGCTTAGCGCCATCTTCTCTAGGCGTTGTGTCAGCTCTCTCGCTCTCGAGCTACCGCCGCGTGCAGGGGGCTCGGGATCTGGCTCGTACGGTCGAGGCCAGGGAGCCAGGCTCAACCTGAGCATGGCCGCTTCTGGGACCGTGATCGCAGCCCTGGCGATTTCGGCATTCAAGCAGCAATCCAACACGATCGCATGTGAGGACCTCTCCAACTCCCGGTCATATGCCAGCAGTGCGTCTCTGCCGCTCCTCGATGAGGGGCACGGAGAACGACCTGAATCGATCGTGAACCTCTACCAGCTTTCCTTCGGCACCGTCTGCGGTGTCTGCGCAGGTATCTTCATTAAGAAGGGCCTCAAGCTGATCGCCTTCCTATTAGGCGGAACTTTTGTTCTAATGCAGTACTTTTCCAGCCAACGCTGGATCACCATCGACTGGAAGGCGATCGGCAGCAAGTATGAGACAGTCGTCAATACCGCTGCGGGAGGGACTGCTGACCCAGCTGGGAACCCCATCACCCACTCGAGAGCTGCTAGGATCTGGCAGCGTCTAGTTGATTTCCTAACCGGTGTGTGACAGGCTGTTCGCAGCTGCGAAAGAAGCCTATCAAAATGCATGCTGACGGTACACTTTCCTCGTATTGTCGTTTACAGCTGATTTCCAGCAACGCGCTACTTTCACGGCAGGTCTCATCTTAGGTTTCAGGCTCGGCTGATCAAGAGGCGTCGACATAAAGAACTCTCTTCTACTGCGCCCAGTATGAGCTACATCCACGCAAACGGAAGTGTAATTTAAAGCAAGCAAATGCCTTCTAATGATACAGCCCCAGAGTCCATGAGAACCACAACAACCCTTGTACTTTCCTTGAAGCCGGCCCGTGTCTCAACGCCGAGATGAGGCTCCGAGAGAGAGAACAGCTTTGCTATCAAGCGGCATACCAGTATGTGGATCGATGTTGTTTTGCCGCAAGATATTCTGATGGCGTATCAACCGCGCCTCATCGAAAGACTGTTGGCAAGAGAGGATGGATCAAGCGATCAAGTTAGTGGAGCAGTCAAAGCAGTGCAAGGGTTATGCTTGTACAACCTACCACACCCTGAGCATGCATGATAGCGGTCACTTCTTCTGCACCACGTTGATCCAACCCGCTTCTGGTGTCTCCATCATTGATGTTCGCCTCGATGTCGAACAAGGTCGAGTGAAGACCCGCGTCGCGCGCGGTTCCCCAGTCGAACACGGGCAGACGCCGGTAGGCCGCGCCGCCGTGAGATGGGGACGGTTGCAGTAATGGAGGCAGATGCGATTGGATTGAAGGCGGCAGGCGGCTCACGAGGGTTGCACGGTGCCGAATCGCCACTGCGACGAGGAAAAGCAGGGTCAGAGGAGGCGGAGCGCAGGGTCGCTCTTGCGCTCAAGCTCGAGGGTCACTCACAGAAGATGATGATTGCTGTGAGTGAAAGCAAGGTAAGCGTGTAGTACATGCTGAGCTTGTCAGCTGCGAGCCTTGCAGCCTGTAACGAGTGCGCAAGATCAAGTCCAATGATCAACAGCTGCGTGTTGTTGCCCGTCGAGAGCGGCCAAGCTGAGGGCTGGGCAGGCGGCCTTGCGCTGCGATTGAAAGAGAGTCCAATCTGAGGGGCCACCGTACCTGTCACCGCACCTGCTGGAGCATTATGCACTCGGCGCCAAAGCTGTCTGGCTGTCGTTGAACCCCCATAGCCTAACCAGAGTCAAGGCTATGAGTCTGACATCCAATATGGAGGCAGCATGAGTCTTCAGTCGTCTCGGCAGCTCCGTGCTGGTCCGGCCATCCGCCGAGGGCCGGCCGCCTGGGCACATTCAAATGCACATATTTACGGGGAATGAGTACATTATATAGGTATTATAACCCGATTTTGTGGAAAACTGTTAAAGACCTTTAAGCGCATTCATGGATGCCTTGGTGCAGGCCCAACGCTGGCAACAAAGGCTCAATCAAGTGCTTTCATCCGTAATTCTTAACGTCAAGTCTTGAACTCTGCCATGGAGAGGGAAACAGGAGAATAACAGAGGCATGTGTCAGCTTGAGGTCCGACATGCCACGGGTGCCGAGCCGACCTAGCGGTATCACACTTCGCTTGCGCAATCCTGCCAACGTGTCCAAGGCTAAGCTGCCATTCAGGCCATCAAGCTCGGTCCGCGATGATAATGTCAACGAAAGCGGTAGCAATCATGGCACCAGTCATTCCAAAAAGGGCGATGCCGAAGGGAAAGGCAAATCCGATAGTAGCGTGAGCCAAGACGTCGGCGAGGACGAAGACCACGAGGACCTAAGTGAGGATGAGTCACCCGCCTCGGACAGCGAGGACGAGTGGGTCCCAGAATCGATCAAAGGTCGAAATGCGAAGGACGAAGGCAAAAGGGGTGGGATATGGACTCGTCTCAGTAGGGAAGGCGACTCGGAGACCAGTGGGGAGGAATTCGTTTCCCACACGGCTGAATTCAGCGACAAGGGCGATGAAGATGGATTTGCCCAATCAAAGCCACATCCCCCCAAGGTAACCTCTGAACAGGCCAAGCGCAAGAATACGGGAAAGTCGAAGGGTTCTGAAGTGCCACTGCAGAAGCGCCGTCGGACTACACGCGCAGGCTCAGTCTACTCGGACGCAGATGATGACCCAGAATTAGCGCCCATCGTCCCAAATTACAAAGCACCCGCTGAAGGCGAAACGTCGTTAGGAAAATTGAAGGGCAGCAATGACAGCCGCGGAAATAATCCACTGCAAATGAGCGAACCAGAGAGGGGGGTCAAAAAGATGAAGGCGGAGAGGAAGCGTCAAGCTCGGCGACAGGAGGCGCAGGATGCCAAAGAGATACGCGAGGCGCAACATGCCGCGGATGCAGCTTGGCAAGCTGTTCGCGCCAAGAAAGCTGCTGCGTCTGATGCTCAGGGAAACGCCAAAAAATCTTCAGACACCCCTTCCTTTTTTGGGGCCGATGGCATGGGAGCAGATGCAAGGGTGAAAGGATTAGCACAGGAGGGAGGAAAAGGAGAAGACAAAGCTCACGGCGCGCACACGTTATCATCTTGGCTTGGCCTCGCCCCAAAGACATCTGATCTACCCATGCCGACCAGTTGTGCGTCCGCCCAGCTCGCTGATAGAGACTCACTCTTCATCGCGTACGTCTATCCGCTCGAGAGCAACTCGCCGCACGTCCTCTCCGCCATGTTGACCCATTTATCCAAGGTAGTTCACCCAACGCACGTTCCTGTCGACCTCCTGCCTCCCAATTTGCGAGGAGCGCCAGCAGAGAAGCGCGGATCTTCGCATGACATGTACGCCCTTCGCGTGCTGCAACTCAAGCCTGGCCGCAGCGGCACGGGTGGCCCGGAAGATTTTGCGATTACCGAGGACAAGGAAGACGATGGAGAGAAGTGGGGATCGCAACATATTTTGCGCATCATGCAGGAGGAAGGCGCGGTTGACTGTCTTTGCGTGGTTTCGAGGTGGTATGGCGGGGTTTTATTAGGGCCAGATCGGTAGGTGTCGCGTTTGATTCCGCGTCTGCATATGTGCGAGCTCACTCCATCGCACTGCCCCGATGACATGCAGTTTCAAACACATTGCATCGGTCGCGCGAGCAGCTCTTCAGCAGTACCAGTTAGACGAGACGCTCAAGCCGCTTATCGAGCAATTACGACAGCTCGACAACGAGATTGTGCTCCTGAAATGCGAGCTCAGTGGCATGGGCGCCATAGCATCGAGTCAGAGCAACAAGAACGCTCCTCCGAACTATGAGGACAATATGTCTGTCGAAAAGGCTGAGCGACTGCTAAATGCCAGACGCAAGCAGATCGAGATATCTCAAAGAATGATCGCGCGCAAGCGTGAGGAGAAACACCCGCATGACAGCCCTGTTCACGCTGCTCCTACCTCATCAGACCCGTCGGCACAATGAGACCGGAGTAGCTGTGTTTTGCACTGGAGCCGCGAGACTACTTGTGGGACTCCATTGAGACATTTTGTACACTGTATCATACAACATTTCTGTACCAATTACTTGTGGGCTTGTCGCATCATCATGGAGCGATCCGCTTGATCAGGCTGCGAGCGATAAATGAAGAAATGATCAGCCGACCAACTCAAGCACATAAATATTTCATGATGCAACTCACTCCTGCCAGAACTGCGTGTTGCTAGCGTCGGCAGGTTGGAAGCCACTGCCGGCCGGTTCGTTTAGATCCTCAGGTGGGATGGTTCCGGCAGCACGCACGGTCTGCAGATCATGAGTTATGCCACCTGCTTCCGGTCCAACTCCTCCGTTGGCCGTGATTGTCATCGCGTGGCCCATCAAAGACGCACCTGTAGTGCCATCAACCCACTGAGGCTGAGGCAATACCGCCCACGTTGGCCCGCCATGCACTGAGGAGCCACCCGCACCGCTTGCACCAGGTAGAGGAGAGGCAGAGCTCGTGCCTGTGTATGGAGCGCCTGGCAGAATGGCAAATGCCTGTGGACTGCGTTCCAAGAACGGTGGTTGCTGACCGAACGCGGCATCCATGATGGATCCGCCGGACGCCATTTCTGCTCGATACCATGCGTCAAAGATGTGCTGAGCGTCCTCCGTCGCGCTTTGCACAGCAGGGCTATGATAATGCTCGCCGTTGAGGCTCGGCGTCGTCGCCGCAGGGCTGTTGTTGTTCAGAGCTCCTACAGCGCGGACCGTCGAGGGAACACCGTCGACGCTACTGGGAACGCGAATTCGCGGCGTTGCAGCGCTAGATGATACCGGGCTCATTATTGAGGCATCCCGTGCCTGCTGGCCGAGTCCTAAGAGAAGTCCGGCTTCCTCCTCTGTGCGCCCATTCGGGCGCTTCACAGCTTTGTTTCCGGACTCATAATCTTGCTCGGCAAATCTGTTGCGCTTCTTTGCAGACTTGGAAGGATTTCCCTTCTCTTGTAGCTGTTCGATTCTGGTCATGAATAGACGCAGAGTACTTGCCTCCTTTTCGCTGATGTCGTCGCGAACCACCGCTTTCTTCTTCAACTCATCGGCTTTCTTGATATAGTCAGCGAGGTGCGACTTGAGCTGCGTGGCATCTTGCGCGTGAGGCTCGATAAGAAGGACAATTCCGCAGATGAGCAACGAATTGAACCACTTGTAAGTTCCAAGGTGCACACGGAAGTGCAGTGGGATGTTGTTGTGTCCGTAGCGGACCTGCAGATAGCGCACAAAGTGATTGCGCAGCTTCAAGTCGAGGTGAGCCGCCTGGATGCAAGCTCGCCGTGAGGGAATGTAGCGCGCACCATGTGATCCAGCTGAGCGGAGCAAAAATGGACGATGAAGAGCTATGCGCAGGAAGTTGATCTCTGCTTCGATGAGGAAACGTTGGACGGGGACGAAAGGGAATGCACTGTCGAGACTTATATCGATCTCGATCTTGTCCTGGGCATTCAGCTTACATCGAAAGTAGTATGGCAGCGCTGCTCGCAGCTGTTCTAGGCTCGTATCGATCGCCAAGACATCTTTGTAGTGCGCAGGGCGGTGCACTTCTTGGTAAATGTCGACGACGCGTGACATGATGGCGCCGATCTTGTGTCGGAAGGTTGTGTAGGTCAGACACGTCGGCTTCGCTACGCCCTCCGGCATCGGCTGAGACGGTTCTGACACAGGATGCGGATACTCGTCGTCAAGCTCTTCGGCCGTAGGGCCCTTAACGTCGCAAACGCTATCGAGGATGTTCGTCGGGCGACCGAGGTTGAGCGCAAGCGTCTTGTCACCGTAGTATACGATGCTCCAGGCTATGCGCCGGAATTGTGTTTGCTCATGCGACAGACCAAGTTTGGAGCCGTCGCGATGGAGGCCGAGGGAAAAAGCGCTCTTGGCTGCGGAGCCTGCTGCAAAATATGCCTCAGAGATGCGCCGATCGAGGAAGAGGAATTTGGTCGACTGCACCCAGCCCATGACCTGATTCAGATCTTCGATGCCGAGTGTAGAGCTGGCGAGCAATGCCCGATGCGCAGCGTAGTTGAACCTCCGAGCTGCCAGCATCCTGCCCTTTGGTGAGCACATCCGGTCGACGCTCTTCGCTTCCTTTGGCTGTTCCTCTGACGACTCAGAATCCTCAAAGGGCGCGCTGGTGAAGGCGAGCGCACAGGTGCTCATGAGCACCGCAAAGATGTTCAGATTGGTGATCGTGAGCTTTGGACCGCTCTTCCAGAAGTCGTCAAAAAGGGGGAGAAGGGTCTTGCGTGGCATGGGGGACCGCATCCAGTTAATGTCGTTGAAGTAGTGGTCAATCAGCTTGCGCGCCAGCTCTTCTGATGGCAAAGCGGCCAATAGTTGTGCGCATTCGCCATCCAGGACACCGTACTCTGCCAGAGCTTCTTCAAGCTCGGTAGGAGCAGACTCGATCGTCCGCACGGGGTCGCCCACATTGCCCTCTTCCTCGCTCGAGGTGCCTGGCCTGGCAGTACCGTCATCATCGGCATCTGTTACAACGCTACTTCTCCTATCGGTCATGTCATCCAAAGAAGGATCAATCAAAGCAGAACTCCTGCTATTGTCATTGTCGGCTGCGTCCTCCCCTTTGTCACTATCCGTTCTTGTGTCTCCTACATGTGCATTTTCGCCAATAGCACCACCCCCCCGCGGTTTAGAACGCGACCTCCGAGCTGAAGAAGCTGTGGGCAGGACATCCAGCAGCCGGTTGATTCTCATGCTGACTGCGCCGCTTCCAAGGAAGCTGCCCGTTTTCGGGTCCAGCCGACCCTCGTCGACGTTTGTCGCGTCGTTCTCTGCCGCAGCAGCAGCAGCAGCGGCAGCCGCCGCCGCGACGGCCGATAAAGTTGATGTGGGGCCATCTGTACGGGAGTGGGAGCTGCCGGGTCGGCCGGCGCCCCGGCTTGGAGGGCGCATGACGCCCATCAAAGCGGTTCGCCGACTCTCATCTGTCGGCCATGCGAGAGGAGGTAGGTGTACGCCCTCTGGATCTAAAGGCGGCTGTTGTTGGAAAACTGCGGCTCCGGCACGTTCACGTAGAGAGTGCCTGTCCCATCCACTCATACCCGACGTCTCGCGCTCTCGCAATGTGCCTTCGATCGCCTCCTGCCTTTCGCTTTGCTCTTCGAGCTTTTCCAGAATGGCAGGAAGATAGCTCTCGCAGAGCTTTTCGAGACGGCCAACCCGCGATTGCATGTCATTGGCGTCCTCACCAGGCTGGAAGACTTTGCATTTTTCAGGAACCTTGCGCGCAATACAGTGGTTGCATGGCGTCTCGCGATTGCATTTTTGCTTGCGGCGGTGGCATTCGGTGCCTGTGAATCGAAATAAGCCAGTGAGCCGTGAGACCAGCAGGTAAAGAGCTGAAAGGATGGCTTACAGCTGAAATGCACGCGGTTCCTCTTGTTCGCAAATTTGTCTCCCTTCTTGCCTTCCGAGAGATCGACGCTGTCATCTTCCTCCATCGAAGCCTGACCCCTCTTTCTAGCAGCAAGAACGAGTGGCTTTTCGTCTGGCAGGCTTCCAGAGTACGTTTCAGGCGTTTCGCTACCTCTCCCCTTGATGGAATGGTCTGGATTGCTCATGGCGTTGGGCGACAGCGCCGGCCACGACGAAGTGGATACGTTTGGATCAATTCGTGACGAGACAATCGAGGCTGACCCCAGCATTCTCTGACGGGCGGTAGTACCTGGAGCACATCCATCGAACACATAAGAGCTCGGATGTGCTCCATATTGCCCGCCCGCAGCACTGCCAGCTGCGCGAGGTGAGTAATACAAGGCGCCAGATGGCGATGCGCCTTGCCCCGAATGTCCGCTTGAAAAGGGGCCAGAAGACGGGGGAAGGGGTGCAGTACCGACACGCGGTGAAGTTGCGCCGCTGTGAGGGTGTTGCTGGTACATCAAGCCTACCCTCCCGTGCAAGTTGGAGGGGGAGGCCGTGCCCGAAGCGCCCGTGGCGCAAGAGAAGGAGGGGGAGGCGTAGGTTGTCCTGTACGGTTGACTGGGGACGCCCGGTGCAAAGGGCGAAGGCGAATTACCCCCACTGGGATGCCTGCTGCTGTTCATGTAGGACATCGTGCCAGTTCCACCTCCCGGCCCACGGGACGGGGATCCCATGTAGGGTAAGGAGGCATTCGGGTAGCCGCCGGGACCAGGGCTGGCACTGACGCCCGCTATCGAGGTGGACGAGTAGCTTGCGCAGCCCGGATACGGCGGAGGACCCCCTCTGTCTATGGGTCGGTCTTCCATGCTGTAGCTGCCCGCAGATGTTGTCCAATGATGGGCCCGACATATGAAAGGTAGAAGAGGCGATCTACTCCTGGTGGATATGGATGCGTTGAAAGCCTTTGTGAACATCTCTCGCCGCTATCGGCGCCGACGGCAACAAGGAAAAAAAAGAAGAAAAAGAAAGAAAGGCCTGTCGCCTCGCCATCAACATTGACGAACGCCTCAGCTGGAAGTATTTGGGTGCAGGATTCTCGCTCAAGCCAGACGGAAGGACCTCGTATGTGCTGTGTACGGCGTCCGATGGATGAAGCAAGATTGTGCTGGGGAGGAGGTCCAAATCAGTGGACTTGACGGTGACTGAAGAAAGAAGATTCTGTGTGCCTCATGCAACTTGCTCGCCGTGCTGCTTTCGCTGGCGTCAGTTCTTCAACTCTTCTCTGCATCGAGCGCGAAGCTTCACATGCATTCGTCAGGAGGGCCGAATCAGCGAAGATAGCATCAAGCCGTCGAAGCGTCAGCTGGTGCAGCTCACAGGTTAACGCTGTACAAGCTCGACGAGAATCAACAAGGATCAGCGTCAGCGAAGTCATTTCATCCCCTTACTCTACGATGTCAGCAACGCTTGCGCCGCATCAGACGGTCCGACAACGCAAGCGGGTACTGCGCAAGGCCATGGCTGCGAAGCTCTCTGAAATTTCAGCTCAGGATATTGCTGCACAATGTTAGTCCGCCTCTGGCTGACCTCGCTGAAGCCATACTCATCGCGCCATGTGTGAATGATCTGATCGAATCGCGCTACCGTGCATCACAGCGTCCGAAGTCTCGTCACTCATTCTCAATTCGGATTACTGGGCGCAGGCGCAGACGGTGAGCATCTACGTCAATATGAAATCCGGTGAAATAATCACGGATCAACTATGCACCGACGCTTTAAAACAAGGTGCGCGAACCCCTCTGCGCTTTGTCACGTCACGGTTAATTGGCCACGGTCCGTGCTAACGCTACTTCCATGCGCCGGCATAGGCAAAAAGCTCTACGTCCCCCTCTTTGCATCACCAGCATCAACCTCAGAGCAAGGAAAGGAGACCGCGGACGCAGGAGCTGCTGTTTTTGCTCGCTCGAAAGAGTCCGCTGGCTTGTTGGGGCAAGCAAAGCTGACGCCACACTCTGCGCCAACGCCACCAACCACATCTGCGTCTACAAACGGCCAAGCACCTCCTGTCGCCTTTCCTGGTCCCCTGCAGGCGTCTAAAACACCGCCCACGACAGGTCAGGTGTTCGCGTCGGACATGCGCATGTTGCGCATTCGTTCTCAGCAGGATTTTGAGGACATGAAGACGAACAGGTGGGGGATACGCGAGCCGCTTGATTATTACGCGGTCGAGGGTGATGTGAGCGAGGTCGAGCCGCAACGGAGGGAAGATGGTAGGTGCAATCACATTTACTTTGCTGCGTGCACCTTAGCGCCATATTTGACAATCAAATTGCTATGTATACACTATGTCGCTCAGCTCTCGAGCAAAGCACAGGCGGCAACGGACTGGACCTGATTCTCGCACCGGGCGTCGCATTTGATGCAGAATGCGGCCGACTCGGACACGGCAAAGGCTACTACGATCGCTACATTTCTCGAACGACCGCGTTCAATGCCCGTAATGGTAGAAGGCCGCCAGCCGTTGTTGCACTGGCGCTACAAGAGCAAATACTGCCAGAACGGGAGCGCGTCCCTGCGGATGAGGATGACGTCCCTATCACAGCTGTAGCCACTCCCAGCGGTTGGATCAAGCGCTCGCCATGATGCTCTTAGATTGAGCAGCAATAACATTACATTGAACCAGCAGCTTGCATAGCCGCGCGCTGCCCCTTGCGCATGACGTTCTTTCTCAACTTGCGCACCCTTGTCCCCATAATCTGTTGTGGTGGGCCAGTACTGTTGCCATTTTGGCTGATCTGGTTCACGTGCATGTCTGGTGGAATTGGAAAGTCGAGATATGGCACTTGGCGAAACGGCACGCCGGAAAGCTGTGCACCGGGACGAGCGGCGAGCGTTCCCTCTTTGGCAGCTTGCACTAGCTCGCGGTCGAGAAATGCCCAAATGGGCACAGGGATTGCACCCTTCACCAAAGCGAGTCTCCCAATATGTCCGTTGAGCAGAGTCGGTGATATAGGCGTAAGGAGCTCAATTTGATTATGCACTTGAGAAATGCTGCGGATGAGAGCGAGACCGATGCAGGTGGATTGTTCGTAAGCTGGGTGTGCGCTCGTCTCGCTGCCTCCGCCAGCAGCAACCTCGACGATGGCGCAGATGCTGCAGTCCAGCGCTGCGAGCTGATGTACTTTCGGTACTGCTGCCCCAAATGGAAGTATGTGGACGCCGGCAGGGAAGCCATACTTGAGATCGATTTGGTACGGATTGATGGCGATGACTGGCGTATGGAAATCCCACATCGGCAGTTCATGAGATGCTGCAGCAGGAATGCTTTTCATATGCAAGTAAGACATCATGCTTAGTGTGCGTGTGTCTGCGGCCGCTAGATGGCGGGTCGAAGTTGAGCCAAAAAGTGGCAGTGGAACAAGCAAAGTTGAGCCGTTGCTGTGTCGGCGAGGGATGGAGATGGGCATAACGTCAACGCTCGAGTCGGCCATAAAGTCAAAGATGTGCGTTGCGTCGATGCGATCCTCCAGCTGAGCGAGCAAGTCTGCGCCCAAGCCTTTGACCCAGCCCATCGTATTGACGATCAGCGGGACGTTCGGCTGCACTGGGTCTGTCATCGATTCAGATTCTTCAGCACGGCGACCCCTCCGCGCAGGCGGCTCGATATTTTGCACAAAGACCAAGAAGTGGTCCAGGAGGTCAAGGACAGCCTGCATGTAATCTTGTGGCGCATCCGTAGGCGACACGTCTCCGACAAAGTGGGCTCTTAGCGGCTGTCTTGCAGTGCACCAACACGGGCCAACGATAAGAGGCGCGTCGGATGACGCATCGAAGACATGTAGTGAGACAATACCAGGTGGGCCAAACTCGGTTTGCCCCAAGTCAAGATCAAGGAACGCGACTTTGGAGAAACGACGAGTGGTGATCAATCGATTGAGAGCCATCCGAGCGATGGTCGATTTTCCCACTCGTTTCGGACCTCGTACCAAGACGGTCATCGCTTCCGAATCCTTGACGGCACATGTTTCGGCCAGCATGTCTAGCGCCGCATCCCAAGCTGGGACCGTTTGCTGGCCTGTGATCAGCCTCGACTCCTTTTCGACCGGGCAAAAGAGCGGCAGGCGCAGCTGTGAGTAGTGATACGACATTTCGGCTTCGAAAAGTCGGTCAGTCGGGAGCGGACACACAAGGCCGATATCTTGAATGCCTGACATGTGATGCGGCTGAATGCAGAGCACCGTGGTGGAAGAAGGGCCCAAGGTTGGCACTCCGGTGTTGGAATCGCCACTGATCGGTGAATCCGACCTCCGCACTGCCGTGATGACCGGGATGGTATTGCTGTGCGGAGCAATGACTATCATCTGGCTGGAAGACCCTTGAGAGGTTGATTGAACATGAGCTCCGCTGATGGATGCCACACCTCTGAGGACTTTAAGGCGCACAACACCGACAAACGCAAGTGTCTGTGGCAAGAGAAGATTCTTAGCAGTAAATTCAAGCGATACGTTTTCCCCAAAGGCTTACCTCTCCTTCTTTCATTCCAATGAGAATTTCTCCACTGCTAGACGTGGCTGGAATGCAATTCTTGTCCTTACCACCATAACAGGGTTGCCACGTTGTCAAAATTCGCAGTCCGTCCTCCATTCCCCGGACGTCGCGTGCCCGGGACTTGTCAGCTCTGCGACTGACAGGCACTGCAAAAGAATTTGCACGGTCCTCTCTATTCGCATCACTCGATTCTTTTCTACTTGTCCCGACGACCTCGTCGCCTTCTTCGTCATCCTCGGACGTTTCGTGTGAAGGCTCTGCAGATCCTTCAGCCTCTTCGTTTTGCGAGTCTTCCTCTTCCCTTTCCTCAGCATCGTCTACGTCGCTGGTGTGTCTTTGGGCTGCCGCAGCAAAGTATCTCAAGCCTTTCGACTTCTTCTCGAGTGAAAGCAGCTCAACTTGTGCCATTGTCGCCACACTTTCGACGTCATCCTCTTCGGACTGTGAGTCTTCATCGCTGGAGACATCCGGCATCTTTTCGACAATTTCTTCAGCTGCACCTTCCAGTTTCGCATTCACCAGCCTTTCGAGCCCTGATGCAGCGCCTACATGGCTGTCATTCTCGCTCGGTCCAACCAATCGAGGCTTTTTGCGTGACCCAATTCGCGAGGTGCCTGTGTCTTGCAATGCTGATGCTGCGGCTTGTGCATGCGCTGCCGCTTCGGCTTCAGCCTTGGCCTTACGAGCAGCAACTGCACTAAGCATCATGGCCTCTTACCAGCTGGACACCTATGAAGCAGCGAGCCACAATGGCACCTTGTTCCTCCTAGATCATAATATTTGCAAGCTGAAAGCAGCAGATGATGAATGTACTCCGAATTTAATGCAAAAAACGCAATGACCAGAAATTTGAACGCAGATGAAGTAGATACACGATGAACCAACATTTGCACGCTGTTGCATTAGGATTAGAGAGAATATATGGTTAGGGTTTAATGATTGGCTCTCCAAATTGAACCTGCATCGCCAGGGGGGTCACGTGATCATGAACTACCAACGTCATCTTCGTCTGAGGCCCTATCCGGCATCCTACTCTTGGTGGGTTGTTAACATACTAAAGACATCTGGCCTCTGTGGAGGCTCGTTCATGTACCTCACCCAACCCCAAGGACTGACAAGACTCTAATAATGACACCCACCAACATCATCGTGTACGCAACCCCAAGGCGGCAGCGCGTATCATGCCTTGCCAGCCCGTCTCGTCAGCTGCAGGATGTTCCGAGGGAACCGGGTTCGTCGTTTTGGCAGCTTTTACGATAGGTTGCTTTGCATTCTTACGCTTGGGAGCAACCGCAATCTTTGGCAACGGCTTTGAAGGCTCAGCTGGATCGGCCTTTGAGCGCTTGCCCGAGCCAACATCGTCAGCGGCAAGCGAAGCTTTGCGCTTTGGCTGCGCGGCGGGTGTTTTCTTTTGCTTCACGCCCTCCGATGTGATTGCGGAGGTTGCTTTGACCGCTTTTCCTTCCTGCTTGGGTTTGTGTGCCTCTTGCTTTTTGTCCAGCAGTTCTCTGAGCTCGACAAGCATGGCTCTGCCATTTTTGGCGTTGTCTTTCGCTAGACCAAACGGAATTGCTTCCTTCGCAGCCTTGACTTCTTTCTTCAATGCTGCAGGGCCGTGAGGAGACTTGGATGACCCTGCTGCAACCTCATCTAAGAGTTCGATGTCGTCCTCAAGCATTTGCAGAACCAGCCGCAAGCCCGGAAAAACTTTTCTACGAGGGGGTAAGACGGGAATTGCTTCCAGTGGCGATGCCTGCGTGCAGCCCTTCAACCGCCCGGTCCAATTGTGCGCGACGTACCATAACAGCCGCTTCAGATGGGGAAATTTGGCTTTTCTCTGCACGAGACTCTGATTCTCAATCTCGACGAGACGGAGCTGCATTGCAGCGCCCAAGTCATGAAGGAAATTGCCGCCCACAACAAGAGTATCTAATGGCGTGTAGACCGCGTGGATCCAACCGCTTGGAATAAGGAGCGTGTCACCCGCGAACACATCGACTCGGGTCAACTGCTCGAGATTTTTGCCAAGCCACTCCACATCTTGCCGGGTGGAAGAGGACCAGAGGCGGTACTGCTTGAGATTGCGGGTCGTCGGCGGAGCGAATAAAAAAGTCTTTTGACCAAAGACGACCTGTATTTACAAAATGGTGAACCGCGCGGTCTCTCTTTCGGGCTTGATGGGCGACTTACATGATAGTACACCGAACTAGCAGCAAAATCAACGTGAAAGTCCGTATACGCTCCTTGCACCCCCATCAATACGTAACGTTGCACTGAAAGGATCATTCAAGTTGAGTCTTCACCATCGGACGGTGGCTCACACACGGAGGGTCCTCACCTTTCGGCCAAGACGTTCCATCGCTGCCTTTCATAGTCGCCTGAGCAGTGCTGATCTTGTCACTAGGCCAGTCTCTCGTGACCCAATCGAGCTGCCGTACCAACTCTGGTGCCTGGACGAACTCCTCCATGGGCGTGCCGCTGACCTCGAGACTGATGACGTTCAAGACTTTTCTTCGTTTCTCTGCAGCAGTATAGAAGTACTCTGCCCACGTGGCGAGATTCCAAGCGTGATGTATGCGGCCGTGAGTGACAAAATTGCTGGAGGTCGAGTTAGTCGAGGAAAAGGACGATGTTTGTGACTCGACATCAATCACCTCGATTGGTGTATGGTGTCCGAGCACGTCCGCAATGTCCCAAATTGTCATACCGGGCGGTGGGACCTGCATTCCGGGGATGGATGTACGAACTGGTTTCATCCCAGGTCGCAGGCGGCTTGCCGAAACAACGTCCCCGCCTTTGGAATTGGCCGGTTCGATGGCAAACGCGTCGTGACGATCTGCGGCTGTGGGCTCCTTCTGCTGCATTGCAGCAGGAACACTATTTGGAGTAGTTCCTGGGTCTAGGTCGCATGCTTGTTGAATGTCTTCCAGGCTAATGGGTGCAGGCTGAAGTTCGGCTTCGCCCCCGCTGTTTGAGTCCGAATCTGACTCTAAGCCCGGTTGATCCGCCTTAAATTGAGCCTTCCGAGCCTCTCTTTCGCCACGCCGCTTTTGAGCATTTTCCTTACGAGAGCGCAGCTCCTCTGCCCTCTGAGCTTCAAGTTTTCGTCTCGTGGCGCCTGGCACCAGAACAGGGTTCGCAAAGGCCGTTTCATCCTCTACGATCCACCTCATGTTCCATTCGTATCCATGCATACGGCGGTAGCGATCCGGCAGAATCTTGTCGTTACACTCCAGCACAGTTTTCCACCTTTCTATCGCATTCGGCGGCCGGCCTTGCTCGACAGCGGCATAGTCGACGGCTGTGCGCTGTCGGCCCGTGCGACGGGGAATGGGCTTCAGCTTGTTTGCAAGCACCATCACTCGCCTTCCATTGTCTTCGGAAGGTGCTTGCACCGAAGCATCAATGCAAGGTGGGCAGTACCACCGTGAAAATAGCTCGGGGTCAAGAGACATGCAGTGCGCATGGTACCAGGTCCGGCAACTTGATTTGCTGCACTGTATCCAGCTGACCGTGTCTGCCTGGCGAGAGGATCCCGTTTGCCTGAGGAGCTCTTCCAGGGGCGGACATGAGGGACACAAGGTCGGTAGTGGTCGAGAGTCAAGCTGATCATGTATGCCTGAGGTTGGAGCTGCTTGAGGTGTTGTGACTTGCGACAGTTCGCTCGTGGAAGCCAGGGCCATGACTGGAACTGACATTGATGAGGCTGCGCCAGCGCTCAGGTCGGAACCAAGCGCGCGCTCTGGCACGTGCATGAATCCGCCGTCATTTCTGCAGAGTTCTACAGTCCCGGAGCTTGCCATCCTTCACGGCAACACACAGGCAGCACATATGGCGAGTGTCATCCTTGTACAACTATGCCCACTAACCCGCTTCGTGCGCCTTGAATTGGATGCCTTGAAGTCGACTGGTCAAAGTGTTGCAACTTTCAACTGGGACGCGGCATAGGCGGCGATCGGCATTTGGTGAATCCATAACGGCAACCGGGGAAATGGATCACGTGATCTACAAGACGCGTCACACGGGCTGAACGCGACCAAAACCAACATCCCAATACGATGTTCGGGGGGACAAAGTACCTTCCTGTACATAACGTTTCGGTGTTTGCTTTTCATCTAATGTAGGCCAACACCACGGGCTGATCCTAACCGCAATACGACCGTGTGGAATATACCCACCATGGATCCAGCCAGGTCATCTGAATACACCAATGGCCCTATGCCAGTCATATCCGCCAAGATGTCTGGGCTGCAGCCTTTCATGCCAGTCCCTCGACATCGCACCTCTTCGACCAAATCCCTTCGAAACGCCGCTTCGAAAGACTCGTTCGAAGCGAGCCTGTTTCCATCGAAAGTGCTGGGTGATCCATCCTTTGCTGAGAGCTCAGATTCAGGAAAAGAGTTGAAGGTGCTCGATATCTACGAATCTTTGGAGGACATGCCGGCGCCGATACCCGTCGCTCGCGCAGATGAGTCGGTCCGGAAAAGCGCCAGGGTCGCTCAACACGAGAAATCCTCCTTACGTCTGACTACTCGTACGCGTCCAAACTTGAAGAGCGCCTCGCCCCTCAAGGCCGCGCTTACCTCAGCGACCCCTGCGCGAGTAGCACCTGCCCCATTCAACCTCTCGCCTTCCAAGGCTGCCTCGCCGAAAGTATTGGCTCCACCTACCTCTTCAATGAAGGGGAAGTGCGTATTAGAAGATTTTGAGGGCCCCAGGCCGGCATCCCCAGCCTGCACAGCTGCCCCCATCATCCGCGCCAAAGTAACTCAGGGTCTCTCGAGTCGTATGACTTCGAGAGCTGGACGTGGGGAACGTGTGCGCCCGGTATCACCGCTGAAGGAGTCCACCAGACAAGGTTTGGGCATACAGCTCGAAGAAGCCCGGTCATCCGTCGTCTACGAATTTGAAGACAATGACCTTGCTGATAGCTCTTTTGTTTACGATGTACCGCGAGAGCTGGGTCCGGGAATGGCGTCAGACGAGCCAGTTGCCAGTAACGCACAACTGGAAGAGCAAGAGACAGTCATGGTCCACGTTCGCTTGCGACCTCCAAAACCACAGGAAGAGTGTGCTTGGCTCACCTCCCCTTACGAATCGTCCATCACACTGGCACCCGCAATCGCAATTACGCGAACGCAACGCGAAGTGGGTCACCCGCATCAGTTCGATGGCGTCCACTCTGGCTCCTCCAACGCCGCTCTTTACGCCGATGTTGCCCGTCCATTAGTTCGCGCAGCATTAGCGGGCTACGATGCTGTCGTCTTTGCGTACGGTCAGACGGCTTCTGGAAAGACTTTTACGCTGAGTGGCGACGAGCAAGGTCAGGAAGCTGGCATCATCCCGCGGGCTGTGCGTGATGTTTTTCGTGGCATCCAGCAGAGCGAGAGCACCCGCGAATATCTGTTGCGTGTGTCCTATCTGGAAATCTGGAACGAGAACGTCAAGGACTTGCTCGATCCCACCAACGTGCCTGTCGTTCGAGATGACAGGCGTAAAGGTGCAAAGGGGACCCTCGTCAAACCCCTGCGGGAGGAGATCGTCACCTCGCCTGCAGCCGTGCGCGATTTGCTTCGAAGAGGGCAGACCAATAGACACGTCGGCGCAACGGACTGGAATGAGCGATCATCAAGGAGCCACACATGCTTCAAGATGACTATCGAGAGCTGGCAAAGATGTGTCGACATGAGCCCAGGCAAGGGTGGCCGCAAAGTACGAATTTCGGAGCTCAGCCTGATTGATCTGGCTGGCTCGGAAAAATATGTTTCGCAAGGTTCGGACCGGAGAACAGAGGGTGCTCATATAAACAAATCACTACTCACTCTCGGCAAGGTGATTCTGTCACTCTCAGAGTCCAATGCTACTAGATCTGGTAACAGTGCAGCGCCTCCGCAGCACATCCCATACCGTGACTCCAAGCTCACGCGCATCCTGCAGAACAGCCTTTCTGGAAACGCCAGGGTCGCAGTTGTATGCACGCTCAATCCGTCACCCAACGCCGTTGAGGAGAGTATTAGCACGCTCAACTTTGCGCATCGCGTCAAGAAAGTGACGCTGCATGCCAAGCGCAGGGAGATCCAGGAGTCTAGCATGGGCACTGGAGGAATGGGGCACGAGGCACAGGCACTTCTCATGCGGTACAAACTGGAAGCTGAGTCACTGCGAACGCAGGTTCAGCAAATGCAGAGCGGAGATGAGCGTTTACTTGAGGTTCAGAGGCGCCTTGACTTGCTGGAAATGCTCAAAGTACGCGGAGGCGACCGCGGCAAGCGAGGGCAGCCAAGCCTCAATGACGCAGAAAGCGATGAGGACGTAGAAGAGGTGAGCTGGATAGCCAACTCTTGTTAAAAGGTATTAGTCTGACTCGACCCGCTATTGCAGTTGAATCATCTTCCGGCTCGCCCAGTGTCACCTATGAAAGGCGGATCCGCCTTCGACTTTGACGAGCCTTCCCATCTGCTGCGTGAGAAGCTGTTCACTGCCGAAGAGCGTATTGCCCAGCTAGAGGAGCGGCTTGCAAATCAACCGCAACTCTCGCAAGAGGCGCTGAGCTCCGATGGCCAGCTGAAGCTCATTGCCGAACTCCAAAGGAAGGTCCAGGAGCTCGAGTTGGTCTGCGAGGCGCAAGCGGCTGATCCGCCGCCCAAGGTGCGAGAAGACGTAGAGAGGGAGTGGCAGGGAAAGGTGGATGAGTTGCAGAAGAAACTCGATCAGCGTGAGCAATTCGTCGCTGTTCTGACTCGCCAATGCGAGGAACTGAGACAGGTACGCAGTCTGTCTTATTCACGAGAGGAGCTGGGTGTCTAAAACTTCCACGCGCACTTACAGGCAAAGAAGCAGCTGTGGAAACTTGCTCATGGAAAGACTGCGGACATCTTTTCCACCATACATACACCATCTTCCTCCCCTCGACCAGACCAGCCGGTAAGGCCGGCTTCGGTCGTGGGAACTGTTCGCATCGAACCTCCTAGCACCAGCGCTAGCCCTCTACTCCGCAAGGCGCTGGCAGACCAGCAAGGAAGGGGAAAGAACCGCCACCCACCGCCATCTCTGCCAAGCGCTGCTCCTGACAGCCCATCCTTGAGCACTCAGCGCAAGCGCGGCCGACGATCCCACTCCTTCAGCGCGGTGGACCACCTGCAAGTCATGGACCAGATCGCAGCCATGGCGGACACCATGCTTGCGGCCTCGTCCACGTCGGAAGGAAATGAAGATGTGCCGCAGCGAAGAAGTGCGCTCAACAGTGGCAGCGACCTCAAGGCCGAGAAACTCTTCCTGGACGTCAGCATGCGTGATATTCATGCCGAAATCGCGACTGCAGCACGCGGCAGACTGGTCAGCGGAGAGTTGAAGTAAGGAAGGCAAGTTGTCTTTGGGTAAAATACTAGATTCAGCTGTCCGCTCTGCCACCGTAATTTAAATTGCCGTAGCTCATATACCATGTATCAAGTCTCCAGCCTTGCAAAGATGGAACTTCGCAACATCGGTCGCGAAGCCCCTCGATGACTATCGCTCTCGTCGCCGTGGTCTACAAGGGACTTGAACAATGCAACATCGACCTGAGAGCAAAGGAAGGTGCTTGTGAGAACGGAGACGAGCTCTTCAAACATGGGATACATCTCACTGGCTGTTTGAATACCGCAAAGACGCTGATGGTTCGTAGCACTTGTTAGTCCGGAGTCTGAGCCGCAATGTGGCCTCCGAAGGGGGACTCACTGGGTCGCATCATGTGCCGTCCGGAATTCGCAGCGAGAGCAAAGGTCATAGCTGGCCGTACAGTTGCAACACCGCAGCCTACAATGGAAAAGATCAGTCTGCAAGCTGGGCAAAAGCGTATCCATCAAACCGACTCACCAAGCGCCTTCGATCACCTCAAAGCAAGAGTCGCACAATATCCACCTGGAGTAAACGAAACTTTAACTTTATCTCCGCAAGGATCCACAACACCGGGCAAACCCTCACGGATGGATTAGATGCGCTATTGGGACCAAGTTCAGCTCCGTCATCCGCCGCGCCTGACCGATGCGAGTCATCTCAATGTCGCGCGGCTCGCGTTGACTGAGCCAGCTGTGCACCGGTCGTTGGATTGAGTATTGCGGAGGCGAGCCACCAAGCGAGTACCTTCTAGCAGCGATGCGAGTGGCCTCGTAAAGTGCCGGCAAGAGCGGTCCGCCATCAGTGAGGCCGGGGTCGAGCAGTGCGTGCGACATCGACCGTGCAATCTTGAGGAAGAAGTGGGAGGGGTCGTGTATGAGAAGAGAGCTAACCTCGCAAGATTGGCATAGGCTGTACCCGAAATGGCCCGAGGACGAGCGGCTGAGAGGGCAGCGAGCGCATAAGAACCTTGGGCCGCCGGCGAGATCTTTACCGCATTCTGAACAGCCTGGTGGGGACTGCATTTCCAACCGTGCTTGAACAGAGCCATTACTTCGAGACAAGTTAGAATCTTGGCGGCCAGATGGGACCCCAGGTGAACGGCTCATGGCCAGGGTGGGAGCGTGCGCGCGACTGGTCACCTGGTCAATCAGCCTCGCTTGTGCTGCGATGAGGGAAGAGACCACTGAATTGACTAAGCGGCGATTCATCGGAGCGGCGAGCTTGATCATGATGTGCGAATCAGAATGGTCCAGCCCATTGGCTGGGGAAGCCGAGAGGCCGCGTTCCTCGCATATGCCGCAGAAGTCGGCTCCGGCGGGACAGCTGGCACAGTGAAAGCGGACACCGATAATAGGGAATGTGTGGCATGATGCGCACTCAATGCCGTTATGCACCGGGTCTTCGATGACCGGGACATCAATAGCACCCAACGGGATAGATGGAGGCAGAGCAGGTGGCGGCGGCGCAGGCATCCTCTTGAATAGATGCGGTGCGTGGCTTGACACGAACCGCTGTCAGCTTGGCGCTTGCAAAGGCTACAAATACTACTCACAGCGTGTGTACGCTGAGGAAACAGTCGCCGCAAAGCTGATACTTGTCGCATTGTGAGCACTTAAAGCGTCCCCCCAGCCACGTGTCCTGTTCACATTGCTCGCAGACTGCGTCACCCTCTTCTTCTGTGTTCACAAATATACCTTCGGTCAGCTCGTAGACCGACACCATTGCACATGCGCGCGCGCGCACTCACTCACCGACAGATCTCCAAACACCGTCCTGATATACTAGCTCGAAGAAGGTGTGCCGCTTCTCGTTCCGAGTAGCGTACTCAGCGACATGCTTGGACCCGTGCTCGGCGATGCAAACGAGACACAGCTCACAGCCTTCGATCTGCGGCGCAGACGACGTGTTGCTCGAACGTCGTGCACGAGTGAACACGTCATCACCTCTCTCTCCTTCTCCTCCTTCTCCACCATCGTGTCCTTCCCTCAATGCCTGAACTGCTTCTTCTGTTTCGTGAGAGGTATCCCCAAAGACACCAGGAATGACAGAACTTACTTCGCACACCTGACTCTGAGACCAAGCAGAAGGCAAGTCGTCCATCAAGTCATCGCGTACACATGCAGAGGCTCGCGATGTCGGCGTGGATTGCTGCCCTTCGCCTACCAGTCTCTCGCCTGCCCATCCATCTTCAGCCACTTGAGGCTGTTCGCCGCTCGAACCAGCCATCGAGGTAGCAGACGAAGCGGAAAGCGACGCCCTGCGCGGTCCGCAAGTGTCGCAGACGTAACGCAGCGAGTCGGCTTGGAATGGCGTCGAACAGATTGAACATCGACACGAGCACTCGTCCGGCCTATCTTCTGCTATGAGGTCCAAAGCGATTCCAGTTCCTTCGGCCTTAACTACGGCCACAGCAGCCATGCGGCAGGGCTTTTGCTGCATGATCTGCAGCAAGCGCATATCCTCGTCGCTGTACTTCTGCTGCGGCGGCTCGCTAAGGGGTCCTCGCACCACGCCTTCTGGGGCGATATTACTGCCGCTGGTCCCAGCTGCGTTGGATCTGAGCCTTCCCTGTCCGCGATGATGGATCTCTCCGCGACTCGCTGGCCTGCTCCCGCCTCCACCACTGCGCGAAATGGTCCCGCGCGAGTCGTCCGATTCCTCGCCTGCATCGTCATCCAAATCGAGCGGATCAAGTCCGCTGCCGAACAGCTGGACGGACTGCGTGTCCGCATCGGACCGCCTGCCGAGCTGCGAGAGGCCCTCGTCGAACGTCAAGAAAGGGTCAACCTGCCCCGACAACAAGCTTGTGGCGGAGAGGCAAGGCGATGAGGACTGCGCTTCCTTGGTAGAGCGCCCCGGCTCTGATTTTGCTCTGACTCGTGGAAGCCCATCTGTAACAGCTGGCGCTACTGCTGTTGACGGAGTATCAGTCAACACGTGTTTCTTCCCAGCGTGAGGCTTGTGTCCGTTCAACTGCAGCGGCATATCTCCGAGTTTGCGCTCGTTCAGACCGCCCTGCCAGACTTGAGCCGGCTCGCTGCGCCTGCGTCGCCAATCTATGCGAAATCGATCCGCAGCAGACATATTCGAACGATTTGAGGGAAAACTTTGGAACGGGGCACCAGCTTCATCCGAATGCGACGACCGATCGCCTTCGCCACCGCTCTCACTGCTGCTGGAGGTTTCTCCCTCACCTTCCCCCTCGCTCTCCTCGCCCGAGCCAAGCATGTGTAAATCAGAGTAGTGTAGACTGTCGAGGTCCGCATCGCGTCCCTCAGCACCTTTCGCAGACGCCAGCTCCTCTTCGTTGAAGCGCACTTGACGCTGGTATTGTGGCTGGTTCGTCTTCCTGATGCGATGTAAGTGCTGGTCGTCCTCGCGCGCATGCTCGTTGTGCAGTCGCTGACGCGGATCGCGTTCGCTTTGTATTTGGTTCCTATATCGCTGCTCGTTAGAATCCTTTCTGAGTGAAGAAGTTGCTGAGGCAGAAATAGAGGGTGACTGCGAGCCAAACGTAACGATACTGCTACTGTTGTAGCCGCTATAGCTGCCGTGGCTCAAAACACCCATACTCCCACCGCTAGGAGAGCGGCTACCGTCCGCGTATTGGTCTTTCTGAGCGCGGGCGTGACCGTTCGATATGTGCATCCTAGCGTGTTCGTGCTGCGAACTGTAGGAGCTGTATCCACTATATGAAGAATTGATCAAGCTGCCCACCTCGCTTTCCAGGTCCAAGTCTGTACCCCAGTCAGAAAGGGTGATGGCGGTCCGGAGCCGCGCGACAACCTTCATCTGCACGAAACGCTGTTGATTTTGCTCCTCCCTACGCAGATGTGATGGAAATGAAGTCGAAGATTCGCTTGAAAAGGCTTCATCGAGGGTGGACGGTGTAAAGTACGCGATCGCCTCTTGCAAGTCGTCTTCGGAGCTAATCTCGCACTCCTCGCCGTCGTCATCCGTGTAGGATATGTCAAACGTGGTGCGACTGCGACCCGGGTGGTCGTTTGGTCGTATATGCCCTGCACAGTCATGCATGGAAGAGGATGAGGTTAATGACGCATGATGCTCGCAATAGCTTGAGGATGGGCTGTACTCCGATCTGCCATCAGCAAACCCGTTGATGTGTGCATCATGACCCCCACTACGAGCGCTTGAGAGGTCCATCCGATGGCTCCAGTCATCCAGGAGCTGAAAAGAGCGCGCAATCCTCGCTCGAAAGTCGTGGTACGTGACAGATCGATGACAAGGGAAGCGGAGGCGCTTTAGGCGATTGTCCGACGAGCACTTGACGATCAGCGGGATGGACAGTGGAGGAGGAGCACGACAATGCGCAGAAATCGAAGTGGAAGGCGTCGCTAGTCCTTCGAAGGAGGTTTCTGAGGTCTGAACTGTCGAACTTGCTTCTTCGGAGCCGCCATGTTCGAATGTCCAACATGCAGAGCTTGAAGGCGCCGAAGTGTCTATGCTTGACACGTCCGACGGCGGCAGTGCGACGCTGATAGAGCTACTATCACTGCAAGCTTTGCCATTGACACCACTGCTTTGCCCGTCAGCAGCGTCAGTGATTGGTGGTATCATTGTTGCCCCCTTTCGTGAAGCTTGCCTATTATAGAAGTGATTTGGTCCGCTGCCGCTGAAAAAAGCGATCCCTGGTAAGCATCACATCGGTCGCATGCGGCGGTACCAAGGGCGAGTTAGCCGCCTGGCAGGCTTCGCGACCCGAAGAACGAAAGCGCCAAGGAGCAAGAAGCTAGCTAGAGGTGCGGAAGAATTCTCAACAGGTTTGCCCGCTTGCTCGCTATTCCGTATCTTCCGTAGAACAGGCTGCGAGAAGGGCTTGTTATCAAGCGTGGAATGCATAGTATTTGATCCTCGGCTCGCGTGCGCAGCAGTCAAGGTCCCCTCGTTGCTGCTGCGGAGAGAGATCAGCAGATGCATCCGCAGAATGTCTGGGACGGCGAGAACGACTTCAGAAAACACCGAGTAACATTTACACAACCCTACTGCTTCTCGCTTTTATCGGTTTCCCCTCGGCCTCCTCGTCCTCATCCAATTTCTTCAGGGCTGCATGTAACTCTTGGGTCTCCGGGCGACCTCTCCGCCCCCCATCATCGTCGTCTTCGTATCTCCTGGTACAATGTGGCCCATGGCACGGTTGTCTGTTATCGGCCCCAGCCGCAAAGCAGATAACAATGAATGAGGAAAAATGATTATAACCGCCTTTCGCCCGATCCCTTTTCATCTCCCGCAGACAAACGCTACCCTCCGCCACGATTCTTCTATCCTTCATCAGCAAACAAAGTCAGCCGCCGATGATGTGAGGACTCGGCTTTGCTGGAATGCAGCCTAAGCCCCAGTCAATCTCATTTGCTTTCTGCTGGTATGCACGCCCTTTCTCCGGAACCGCATGGTACATCCCTGTTACCTTGGCACACCCGCCCCTTGGCAAAGCTAACGCGCACGAGTGGCTGTCACATGCCACAGCGGAAAGCTAACAAGCATCTTTGGAAGAAATCTCTCGGCTCCAAACGGCACACAAACTGGATTTGACCAAGATGAAACCGTCCGTAGATCGAATGGCTTCAGCTTGTCGTGTATCAAGTCACTCGAGTTCGCAGCATCAGAGGGAGGAGCGCTTATAGCCTTTGGCAATACGGTCTCTGTGGCGATCCGCGATTTTGACGAGCCATGCCGAGTTTCCCCTTTTCGCAATGCCTTGTGATCGCGCTCTCGCCACTTCCAAGCTGAAGGGGCTTGGTTTGCACAGTCGAAATTGCATTTACCCCACTCGACGACTCCCAGCTGGAGAAACAATGCTTCGTGTTTGTACGGCTACACCTCGCTCCAAAAACTCAACGATCAAGAGACGTGCAATCCTAATCATGCCACTAGTATCGATACGTTTGGCGCGCTCTGTGCTAAAGCCTCCCTATTTACAGTGCCAAAGGCCTAGCGACACGCTTTAGGGTCATAGTCCCTTTTCAGGGCGGGAACTGCATATTCCTTCATGAAAGACGCTATAAATAGCAAGCGCTTCCGTGCTCGCCTTGTGCCCCAACCTGATTTAGATCTCACATGTCTTTCCTATCTTCCTCTACCTCGCCCTTCTGTCCTTCGCCTCTCTTTGGCTCTCCTCTTCAGTCCCGTTATCACGGACAACAATGCAGCTCATCACCAAGTCCCTCATCGCCGGGACCGTTCTCTCGCTAGGTTCCGGGTTTGGCACCGGCATCGGCATCGCCTCGGTTTCGGCGGAGACGCACCTAATGTTCAACACATCTGCACAGTTCAATTACAACGCGTATCCGTGGCATCAGTCCTTCAATCTCCTCTGGGAAACCCTGATGAGTATTCGAGTGAGTGATCGAATATACACGGATATCAGGCAGTCGGTCTGGGTCTAGCATGCTGAGGCCTGAGGAGTGTACGCACCGTATAATAGACCCGCATCGGGATCTGGCCAACGGACACGTGGACAAACTACGACGATATCGAACTCATCTTCAATAACCTCAAGTCCGCGTATGGCAACGTATCTCCCAATGGATTTGACCAGGACAAGTGGGCACTTCCCTTTCTCCAACATGGTAAAGAGCTATATAGTCAGGCCAAGAGCTACGAGGGTAAAAACAACACGCTGGCCAGCGAGATGTATCTGTGAGTGTCTCAGTGGCATGGTGAGTTGCGACCGAGCAAGACTAAACATTTCCTATGGTTGCCTGCAAATTCTTATTTCCTTGTTCAGGCGCACTGCCTCGGTCTTCCGACTTGGGTGGTTCCCCTGGGTGCACTCAAATACGAGCCATTCGTCCCTCAAGAAGGCTTGTTGGGACCTAGAAAAGCAAACGTACGAGCGCGGACTGGCGTAAGTGTGATATGCGGCTCATTTCTCCTTCCGGCTCTTTGCCTGACGCATGGATGCTTTCCTTTTCTGCACTTGAAAGCCTCGCGCACTACAGCTTTGAAACCGTCAATATCCCTTTCAAGTTGAAACCGCACGACAGCGTGTACGACACGATTCCGATCTACGTGAACTACGCGTTGAGCAAGGGAAAGCGCAACGGCGGCAGCAACCGCACAAAGGCAAAAACGGTCATCCTTGTTTGCGGGCTGGACCGCTACCGCTCCGGCCAGCTCACAAATGTACAGCTGCTCCTCTCCCTCGGCATGAATGTCATCACCGTCGACATGCCGGGCACAGGGGACGCGCCGATCACCGGTCGTGACACGGGTGCCGACACGTTGCTCTGGCGCCAGCTGCTCGACTGGATCGAGGCGAATGCCGGCGCAAAGGGCTTCGACAAGGACAATCTCTGGGCGTGGGGTACGTCGACGGGGAGCTACTGGTCGATAAAACTCTCACGCGCTGAGAAGAACAGGCTCAAAGGAGTCCTGGCACAAGGTGCCGCGAGCCACTACACATTCACCAGGGACTGGCTTGAGTCGGCCGACCACCTCTCGTACGCCGTCGACCTCTGGGCCCCACTCGCCTCGACCTTCGGATACGTTGACGATAAGCATGCTTTCGCCGATGTGGCTTCCAACTATTCGCTGCTTAACCAGGGCGTACTTGATCAGGACGCCGCTAAGCTGCTCTCCATCAATGGTGTCGAGGATACGACCTTCCCCATCGGTGAGTGCGATCGTGATTCCACGGTCATATTGAGCAACGGTGACTTCTAACTGCTTGCTCGCTTCGTTGTAGATGACACACTGATCCTGAGCTACTATGGTAAAGGTGCCTTCCTCCGCATGGCCCCGGGCTTCGATCACATGGGGGAACCTGCCGCTACGGAGTGGCTCCAGAATTTCTGGGCCGCCGTCGCGGATGGGAGTGTCGCAAACAAGTATTAAACTTGTTCATCTCCCGCCATTGGCCAGCTCAGGAATGGTGCTCCAGAGGTCATTGTGGAAAAATTATGTCAAAGGCCCGATAAAGCGATATGCAAAGCAAATGCGAATAAGAGTGGTGCTGCAAGCATGCGATAGACTACACCGAGAAACAAAAGAACTGCTAATGTGGCTTTTTAAATGTTTCCATCACCTTTCTTCTTGTTTCACTTGCGACGAGATTGCTGCATTCCAAGGATCTGGACCATGCGGACGAAGATGCTGGGTAGAATGAAGGAGGATGAGATGCGATCAGCGAGCATTCCGAATAAAGAAACGATGATGAAAGGTGAATGACTCACTTGATGAAATCAAGCTCGAGGCCGATGCTTTCCCTGAGCGGGTCCGGTCGGACGACTCCCTGCTCAGCGAGACGCGCATGCTGCAATACCTTCTGGCAGTCAAAGAGGATAAACCCGCCAAACACCGCCAGACCGCCGTACAAGCTGAGTGCCTCGGAGACTGCGAGCGTACGCAGGTAGTGCGCAGGCAGGATAAGTGGGGACAAGCTGGAGAGTGCGACAACCGTGACGCCCGCAAGGAGCGGACCGCCCATCCAGAGGAACGCGTCATCCTTGGCTGTAGCGCCGACGTAGCACAGGCTTCCGACGACGCCAGCGGTGTAGAGGCCCGCTCGTGCCAGCAGCGCGGGCGAGAAAAATAGCAGCGGGCTGAGCACGGCAGCTTGGGAGAGATTGAAAAGGCCCCAGCAAAGGTACTTGGCTGGAGAGTCGGTCGGCAGCGATTGCGCGCCGATCATGCCTCCAATCGAAGTGATGAGTCCGAGGCCGATGACCATCCACGGGCTGGTGGTCATCAGACGGATGGAGAAGCCGGTGCGATGCAGCGCAATGGCCGAGAGCGCCGTAAGCGTAAGACCGCCGGCGAGCCATTGGAACGTCTGGTGCAGGTAGTGCGTCGCATAGTCGGACAGCGGGTGGTCGCGTTGGGGACGGTTGAAAAAGAGCTGAGCGGCAAATGCGGCACCGGCGACGATGCCAGCGTTGATCAGCAAACGAGACCAGCCGCCAGGCTGCGAGAGCGAGGTAGGTACACCGAGGCCGGGAGATGTATGAGGGGCGCTGAGGAAGCTGCCACCAGTAACAGGCCCGCTGCCGTTGATATTCGACGCAAAGCGACGTTGGGCGAACAAGACGGTGGTGTTGCTGCTCCTGCCTTTTGGAGCAGCCGGTGCTGCCTGCCGCGCAGCTGACGAAGTGAAGTTCCTTCGCGCAAGCGATAAGATGCTGCTGCTATTAGGCTGGGGTTGGGTGAGTATATTTGTCGCTGGCTTCCTTGAAAGCGAGCTGCGCATCAACGTCAGAGGATTCATGCCGGCCGGAGTGGCTGCCCTGCAGAAGCTGACCTGCAACGGCCGCATGAGTCCGGTTCGCATCGCCATCTCGCACCGTTGAATCGAATGACCCTTGTGATGAGAGCACTTGCCTGTCTTGGCACTTTCGGTCTTCTGGCGAGCGCGTGGACGTTGCCACCATGGACGGCTTGCTCGTTGAACAAGTGTGAGAAATGAGAATGTGTATGGTGCAGCGCTTTCTCTTCGAAACATGGTCACGACGACGTCACTGATGCCTCGGAGGCCTCTTCACCCGCCGATGCGCCGTTCCGCTCACACTCGATTCGATGAGAATCAGCTTCTTACTATTTGATTGCATGTGGACCACACTTTCCACGACATTCCATGCAGATACGTTCGCGGTATGATATGCCACTTCACGGTCCGAGTATCTCTGTCGCTCGGGTCCTGTAACGACGCTTCCGATCGTGGTGCAATCGCCCCAGAGCCGGAAGACCATCCGGGTGCCCTGCAGTGAGCCTGCCATCCAGCGGTGATGTTGGCGTGGAGAGAATGGGCGCGACGATGTGAGAGGAGATTCGCATTGCCATGCAAGCTTCGAAAAAGAGCGCTCTAATATGTCTTTACCGCTATTTATACATGCTTATTCCCTCAAATATTCCGAATGCGGTCTCTCGTGGGACACCCGAAGAGTATTGCGGCTGCCGCATCTGACGTCGCAGCAGTTTCCGCCGACTTACCAGCGCCTGCAAAACGTACACTCCGCGCGCATCACGAACCGTTGGTCCGTCGAGATCCGCTCTTTTCAGCAGACGGCGCTGCACGCAGAGTCCTACTTTGCCGCTGCGGATCAACTGGAGCAGCATGGAAGTGCTGCTCCATCAGCGACGGCGACGACGGCCGCGCAGGCTACATCTTCCTCGAGCATCCGTGCGCGCATGTGGCATCTGACAACGAGCGAGTTCCCCGGGAAAGTCTTTGTGTACGTCGAGTCGCCTCTGCCGACAGAGGCATGCGCGCCAGGCGCGGATGCGATCAACAGCCATGGTACGAAAAGCAAGGGCCGCCGCGCGCTTCGACGCACTCTTTTCGTCGCAACTTCATCGCTTGCCTTGCTCATCGCCAAGGCTAACCTTCCACGGCCGCTCGGAGGAGATAGCGGCGGGGCAGGAGCAGTTAGTGGTGCAGCTGGTAGCGGGGGCGGCTCCATAGGTAGTGCTGGAAGTGCTGGACGAGCGGAGCGCGATAGGGACGGAGCTAGCGGGGCTGTTGGGCCTGGTGCCTGGATCGCACGAGGAAGCGCGATCAGCATCGAAGGCGTCATACTCGACTTGCCGGACCGGCCCCAAGGTGCGTATACGGGCGGATACGGACACATCGCACCGTCCCTGCCACCGGCGCCGCCGCCACAGACCGATGGTCAGCTTGAGAATGCGAGCACGAACGGCCAAGCACAAGCACAAGAACCGGCACAGGAATCCGCCATCCAGAAAGGCTATGGCTCAAAGTGGCCGCTTCCATCAATGTGCGGTACCCACGGCATATATGGTACACGGAATTCGAAAACGAACGTACTGCTCGATAGCGAACGCGGCCTCCTGGACGATCAGGCGCCCCACGAATGGGTGCTACGATTGGGTCAAGTCAACGTCGGGAGTCGCAATGCGGGTGCATTGGGGCAGGTGAGCATCCTGAACCTCGAGCGAGTGCATGTGCAATCTACTGACACCTCTTTATCCCTTTTGGGACGCGACAGCTGGAATACCTTCCTATCTCGTCGGCTCGAAGCCCAAGTTCACCTGCACAAACACTCCCACGCGCGTTTGCCGCCTCGCTCTTTCCCGAACAGGCGAACACCGCGACAACCGGCACACCCGGCCTGTTCATCCATCCTCCGCCTAGCGCACAACTTGCGCGGGAGTTGGACCTCGATGACGAGGAAGAAGACGAAGAGGAAGGTGCAATGCTCGATTATTGGGATGACCAAGAGGAAGGCCTAGCCACAGCGGAGGACAGCCGTGCCGTGGAGGACATGCGGCGCACAGCTTGGATGTACTTTCAGACACTACGCGCAGAAGGTATGCTGTGATGTAAACCTGGACTATTTCACATTGCTCGGTGCTCGGTTCAATGGTGGAATTTACGACATTGCATGAGCAACAGTTGAAGACTGCCAGTGGCGCAGATAACGACCACCTGCTGGAATTTCCGAACACATTGTCGGTGGCAAAACATCCCCTCTTCATTGGCGCGGCCTAACATCACGGTTAAAGGAAGGCCGGCCTCATTGAGAATGCTCGATATCCCAATTGGTCACAGATGCAACGATCTTGAACTTTGTGCCCATCGGGGAAGGCTGCTCTATCCATTACCTACACGGTCCCCCAACCTGCTCGTCTGCATGCCAGATGGAGCTTCGTTGGCGATGCGCGAGTACTTACTGCATGCTCTACCAGTCATTGTGTCATGCCGCGACTTTTGGTCTGCTGAGTCGCTGCATACGCATGTCCCGTAATCGGGACGGGATGACGTATTCAACAATTTGGTTTCAGACTAAGGTTTCTTTTTAATAGACTTAGTTCACAAGCATGTACCTCCAATGCATGCCACCAGCTGCCCGCCATCTGCAGAAGGTGCGCCTACTGGCGTTAGGCTGTAGGCAAGCACCAAATGATGTATGTTGGACCGGCGGCCGGGGGTGCTCAGTGCAGACCACCTTTCGGCCGAGAATATGTCCGTCCACATTCAGACGAGTGTCCTCGCTTGCCTCCTTCATGTGCTGTACATATAGACTGGTGCGCCACATGGTGGTTGATCTTTATCCCGTGCAAATGTCGTTACCGTGTGGCATCACTCGTGTACATACATCCTTGACGGAGAACAGAATGGGCTCCAACACCGTTGCTCATGACCGACGCTATCGGCAGCGGCAGCGGCGACGACCAGCGGTCGGCTTGTCCAAGGTGCCACCGCCGGCTGTGCACTTTCCGCTTTATGAAGGATGAATTCTTAAAAGGATTTCTTTGGGTGAGCTGCAGAGGACCCCCGTCGGTCGTGGCTCAAGAATGAAGCCTCCAACATCAAACTCTGCACACCTTGCCGGACCTCCTCATCTGGACATTGCAGCGCGCTTTACCACTCACACTGAAGATTTCCCTTTAATATGGCCGCACTAAGCTACGAGCAGCTCAAAGAGACCGTCGATAATCTGTGAAACGGACGCGTCGCAAAGAAGGCCGCCTATTTTTGAGTAAATGCAGCTTGCCGCTCCTTCAAGCGCGGACAAGGGCCGAGGAATCCCCGTACATATCTATGAGCCGCCGAATGGGAAGGACGGCGCAAGGGACCAGCGGCGATCAGCTAGTGCGTGCGAGTCGTTGTTCTCAGAGCTGTTGCCCGTTGTATTCTCACTGCTCCATTGCCCCACTTCCTTTTTGCCAACAGTCACGGGCCTGGATTCGTCATGCCTTCCCTCGGCCAGAATGCTGCGTGGTGCTCGCGCACCGCTCGGCGCCTTGGCATTCGCGTAGTGGATAGTGACTATGCCAAAGCGCCCGAGCACCCCTTCCCGGCGTGCTGGCAGGATGCAGCAGACGTG